ACTTGTGGGCTTGCGGACCTCAACTCCCAGAAGTCCCCAGCCAGCCATGCTAATCTAACCCTTAGATTAAGATTGAAAACTCAGTAATTGGAGCCGTGGTGGGATTCAATATTAGCCGTGCAACTAATTTAAGAACTGAGGTGATTCGCTTAATAGCTGTGTCAAGAAAGGTCTTACAATGGGGCAAAATTCACTTAACAAATGTCATTTTGTGAGATTATGGAGATTCTCACTCATCCAGGTCATGGGTGTCCTAACAGTGTTTCCCAAACTTGACAATTTTAAGGCATGAGGAATTCAACTCCCAGAATTCCACAGCCAGCAACGCTGGCTGTGGAATTCTGGGAGTTGAAGTCCACATGCCTTAAAATTGTCAAGTTTGGGAAACACTGTGATCTAAAGAGGCTTTTTCAAAAGGCAACTGGACTCTGTTTTTCCTTGAAGATGTTTTGCTTCTCATCCAAGAAGAAATTTTGGGCTCAATTTTGGCCATAAATAGAGGATTATCTGTATTGCCGACTTAGCTATGGATGAATATTAATGCAATTCTCATTAGCATCAACAATTCACTTACTTTGCTGGTTTCCAATCTGCGATCTCTTAAGTCTGGATCCATTCCAATGGAAAGAAATAAATTTACAATACATGAGAGGCATCATGTATTTTAAATGAAGACGCAATCAAGACAAATATGCAAGACGACAATAAATTACAAATAAGGGTCTTCATGTATTTCAAATAAACTACTATCATTCAGCTGCTCTAGCAATTCTGCTGCAAGGAATCAAAAATTGTGCTCAGCATTATCCCAAACTTCCTGTGCACTAAATTCTAAAGCAGTGATGGCGAACCTTTTACAAACCAAGTGCCCAAAATAATATGAGAATATTTCTATGATCACTATGCTTAGATGGAATTCCAGTCGAGTCTTATAAAAAATATGAGTGTTACTACAATGAATAATGTTGGATTCCTAGTAAGTAGTAGAATATGAAAGAAGGAAAATGTAAATAAGAAACAATGGGGCAATAAGGACAAATATTTCAAAGAAGAAAGATGGGGGAAATGTAAAGAATAGAAGAGTACTGTTACAAACTGCTGTTAACAAAAAAGGATATATTACGTGTGTACGTGTGTAATGTTTGTTGTGTTTTGTTTTGTTTTGTTGGTTTAAAATAAAAAAAAATTTAAAAAAAGAAACAGAGTGCCCAAACTGCAACCCAAAACCCACTTATGTGTTGTCGAGTGCCAGGTGGTTATGGCCCACTGGGTGGGCGTGGCCCATTGGGTGGGTGTGGCTGCAGTGATAACGGCAGAGTGGGTGGGACTAAAAAGTTCAATCAATCAATTCCAACCTTGCAAGATCTTTTTTTTTTTCCTGAGAAGTTGAAATGGACTGATTGATTGAACCGTTTTGGGGGTTTTTTTGCACACGGCAACGGAGGCCTAAAGCGAAAAGGTTTTATAAAACCCCGCTGAAGGCCTAGGACTGGGGCGATGGTGCGCGTGCCCACAGAGAGGACTCTGAGTGCCGACTCTGGCACCCGTGCCATAGGTTCGCCACCACTGTTCTAAAGCAATCTCATTTCTTCATAAATATTTTAAAATTAAAACGTTAAAATAACTTTTTAAAAATTGGATTAAAATTAAACACCAGAAGAATGCAAAAACTCACCAATGTATAAAGAAATACAACTTTAAACAATGTGTTTTTTTTAAAAAATCTAATAAAATAAGAAACAAAACTGAAAAGGTTATTATTTGATTGCTATATGCCATCCAGTTGCGATTTGTGAGTGAGCAGCTATGTAAACTCCCTCTTCTTTGTGGCAGCCCCTAAGATATTGGAACACTGCTAACATGTCCCCCCTCGTCCTTCTCTTCATTAAACTAGAGATACCCAATTCCAGCAACAGTTCCCCATATTGTTTTAGCCTCCAGTCCCCTAATCATCTTTGTTGCTCTTCTCTGTACTCTTTCTGTACTGGAGCAGTATTCCAAGTGCGGCCTTACCAAGGCATTGTAAAGTGGTATTAACACTTCACGTGATCTTGATTCTATCCCTCTGTTAATGCAGCCCAGCACTGAGTTAGCTTTTTTGGCAGCTGCAGCAGACTGCTGGCTCATATTTAATTGATTGTCCACCAGGACTCCGAAGTCCCTCTCACAGTCACTACTATTGAGCAAGGTACCCCCTATACTATACCTGTGCATTTAGTTTTCTTGCCTAAATGTAGAACCTTGCTTTTTTCACCTTTGAATCTCATTTTGTTAGATAGCGCCCAGTGTTCAAGTCTGTTCAGGTCTTTCTCTTTTCTTGTTTAAAATACTTAAAGTGGGTTTGGTTGCAAATGTGCATGGTTTTATCAGTCATGTGTAATATTAGTTTTTCCGATGGAAGTGTCTGTGGAGTCAAAATGGCAGCAGTTTTAGAAATCCTTCGCTTATGTGGACAATTGAACATTTTTAAACCAACAGCCATTATGAATTAGAAACGGAGACAGAGCCGTATCAACAGACAAATTCCTTTTCAATTAATTTGCAATCTGGATCAGGAACTGATTTTGACCCAGAATCAAAAGTGGTGAGTGAAGTTTCCCAATAATTTCAAGAGAAAGGAAAAGGTCTTATTTCATCCTTGTAGTGAAGGGCAAATTATGTTCTGTGTGCAAAGAAAAAGAGGAGGCAACTATGCCAGCCAAATTTCCTTTTTTCTTCTGTTTCCAGAATGCTTTGCTTCAAAACTTTATTCTGTTCTTCCCTTTCTCTTAGACATACATGAGATAACAGCTGGGAGAGGGAAAAAATGAGGAAATAAACGTGTTAAGCAATCTCACATCTTTGCTTGTTCTCAGAAGCCACTTTCAGCCTCCTGCGCGGTTGGTTTTTGGTAATTTTTTAAAACCAGAGATAACTCCATATTCTGGTCTGTTTCATGTACTTGGGTTATTGCCACATAAGCAGGGAGGTTTATTTGAGACAGGGTGGTTCAGTGGGAGGGCACGGATGCCCGCTGCATCTGTTGAGGCACATACAACTGAAAGCAAAGGTGGTTTTGAGTCAGACCCTCACTTTTTCCTGTTTTATCATTTTGCCATATTCTTAAGAATTCAGAAGTCTGGGTCCCGCTTTACAGCCTGGGATTGTTCTAGCGAAGGTGTGGCTTTAATAGCATTATGTCACATTTTAATGTTTTTAACAAGCTTCTCCTTTCTTTCCTATTGTTTACCTTTTCTCTTTCACCATTTTGCAAGCAGCTGATTTTTTTAAAGACAGGGTCTCTGCCCTCCAGCTTCAAGGACTGTGCTACTTCAATCAACAAACAACTGAATCATATTGCTGAAGACCTGGCTTTTCGCCCCGTGCACTGGGATAAGATTGGATAATTGCACTGTCATGGTGCTTGCTAGGTCTGTTGTTGCTTTTAGTATTTTAATGTGTTCAGTGTTATAATTTTAATAGGATGTTTATGTCTTGTTATAACTCAGAGTTGGTTGCATAAATGAGGGGGGGGGAGAGAGAGAGAGAGTGAAGAAAGGAAGAAGAAAGGCAGGAAGAATATGGGAAAGGAGGAAGGAAAAAAGAAAAAGAAAGAAAAGAAGAAAAGAAAGGAAGGAGACAGGAAGGAGAAAAGCAAGAATATGGGAAGGAAGGAAGGAAGGCAAGAAAGGAAAGAGAAAGTCAGGAAGAATATGGGAGGGAAGGAAGGAAGGAAGGAAAAAGAAAGAAAAGAAGAAAAGAAAGGAAGGAGACAGGAAGGAGAAAGGCAAGAATATGGGAAGGAAGGAAGGAAGGAAGGAAGGAAGGAAGGAAGGAAGGAAGGCAAGAAAGGAAAGAGAAAGTCAGGAAAAATATGGGAGGGAAGGAAGGAAGGAAAAAGAAAGAAAACAGGAAGGAAAGGAAGGAAACAGGAAGGAGAAAGGGAAGAATATGGGAAAGAAAAAGAAAACAGGAAGAAAAGGAAGGAAGGAAACAGGAAGGAGAAAGGGAAGAATATGGGAAGGAAGGAAGGCAAGAAAGGAAAGAGAAAGGAAGGAAGAATATGGGAAGGAAGGAAAAAGAAAGAAAACAGGAAGAAAAGGAAGGAAGGAAACAGAGAAAGGGAAGAATATGGGAAGGAAAAAGAAAGAAAACAGGAAGAAAAGGAAGGAAACAGGAAGGAGAAAGGGAAGAATATGGGAAGGAAGGAAAAAGAAAGAAAACAGGAAGAAAAGGAAGGAAGGAAACAGGAAGGAGAAAGGGAAGAATATGGGAAGGAAGGAAGGCAAGAAAGGAAAGAGAAAGTCAGGAAGAATATGGGAGGGAAGGAAGGAAGGAAAAAGAAAGAAAACAGGAAGAAAAGGAAGGAAACAGGAAGGAGAAAGGGAAGACTATGGGAAGGAAGGAAAGAAAGGAAAGAGAAAGAAGGAAGAATATGGGAAGGAAGGAAGGAAAAAGAAAGAAAGGAAGAAAAGGAAGGAAGGAAACAGGGAGAAAGGGAAGAATATGGGAAGGAAGGAAGGAAGGCAAGAAAGAAAAGAGAAAGGAAGGAAGAATATGGGGAGGAAGGAAAAAGAAAGAAAAGAGGAAGAAAAGGAAGGAAGGAAACAGGAAGGAGAAAGGAAAGCATATGGGAAGGAAGGAAGGAAGGAGAAAGGCAGGAAGAATATGGGAAGGAAGGAAAGGGAAGGGAAGATATAACCTTCAGCAAAGCAGCCTCCCGGCAAAAGAAACCCATTCCCACTTATGCGAGCAGACGCGTGCCCTCACATGCAGCTCCCTCTCCCCCCTCCCCCCCAGCCTCCCTTAAGCCAAAAACCTCGCCCTGCCTTAATTGCAGGCAAAACCTGCCCAAAGCCCAGCCAGCCCGTGCAGAAGCGCTGCCTGCTCGCCTTTCCAGGGCGCTCCAGCCCAGCTTCCTTTCCTCCCTTTGAGCTGGCTGGAGGAAGGTGGGTGTGTGTGTGTGGGGGGGGGAGAGAAATCTGCAAGCATGCCAACTGGGGCGGCGGGTGGGGCCGGAGGAGAGCCGGAGCGAGGAGAGGGGCCAGGAGGACGCGTGACCAGCTCACCCAGCTGATCCAGGCTGAGCTCCTCCCGAGCGAGCGAGCGAGCAAGCGCGCAGGCCGGGTGAGGCCGAGGCAGCTTTGGAAAGTGAAAGCAAGCATCGGGCAAAGCTGAGCTCCGTTTCCCGGCTTGCCTCCGCCCCTCGGAGCCGGGAGGCGCCCCTTTGGAGAAGGAGGAGGAGGAGGCGTCACCACCCCACCCCGCGCTTTCTCCCGGGCTGGGCATCTTTGCGCTGCTGAGTGGCCGAGCGTTTGCTCCCTTCTCCTGGCCTACTGCAAGTCCCCGGACTCCGGCGAGCCTCTTTCCCAGCCAACGATGAAGCGGGTCTGCCTTATCACGCTGGGCATGCTGGCGCCGGCCTTCCTGATCGCCGGCATCGCCCTCCTGGCGGCCCACACCATGGAGAACCTGGTAGACGCGCAGATCAAGCAGGTGAGAAACGGGGCGCGCATCTCCCGGGCTGCGATCCCCGGCGGGGGGGGGGGTCGTCTCCTTTGGGGACTGAGACTTCTCTTCCAGCCCCCCCCCCCACACCCATCCGGTGCCCGCACGTGAGAAAACTCCCGGCTCTGCGCCCTGCTCCCCACGATCCCTGCAAATGCGTGTCCGGGCTCTTGGTTGCAGCCACTCCCTGCAGGGCCCCTAACCGCTCTTTGCACCCTGCTTTTCTCGGTCACCCTTCAGGGTGGCACCTTGCAAAACCGAACTTGTGAATGCGGGCTTTTCTTTTTTTTGAAATTGATGCGCCTCTCCAGAGGCGAGAAAGCCCACGCGTGCAGCAACGTGACATTTTCACGGCGAAGAGAAGGGTCTCAAAGCAGCTGTTTGTGAGGGAAGCAAATGCATCTGATGCACGTTTAGGGCAAGAGTGGGAAAGAGCTGGGATTGGCATCGGCCCAAGCAAAGCGACATTTAATAATTGGCAGTTGCGATAAAGATCTAATGGATTAACTTAAGATATGAGAAATCCAGGTATGCATTGTACAAACGAGTCTAGAATTTGTAGTTTCAGGTGCAAACATGCCTGATTTGCCCATACGGACCCTAGCAATTTGTGCCAAGATTTTTTTTATTTATTGAACATGCAGTTCCGGAGTTAATTGTCTCCTTCAGCCATGATATTATTTCACTTATTAAATCAGGTTATAATTATTTTTTAGTTTAAGCAAAGAGCAGCAGAGAGCTTTCCAGAGATGTAACTGTACAAAATAGTTCACAAAACCTGAAACGTGATTTTCCCCAGAGATTGTAAACTACACCCTCTTTTTGTTGATATCTTAGCCTACAGTGAAGCCACCAATGGTTGTTTGGCTGAGTTCATGATTCCAATCAGATGTCATAATTAGTTCCTGAGTGCTCCCTTGTACGGAGAGCAGTGGGACTGTCACATGCAGAAAATTAAAAGTATCTAGAAGAAAAAGAAGAACTTATTTCTGATGAAAGAGAATATTTGTAGCTTAGGGTTGAACTGTGGGGGCCTTGGTGCGCTCTGAGCTTGGCTGTTTTCTTGAAGACGTTTCATGACTCAACTAGGTTACAACATCAGTGCTAATAGGGAGTGCGGTTTGCTCTCATTTTATATACTAGTGGCTTGGCCTATTAGTGTTGGTGGGAGTAAATTTGATAGTTCTTTGATTGGGCTGTTACAGCTTTCAGACAAGTAAGCTAAGTATAAACAACAGCCCAATCAAGGAATCACCATTACTATATAAAATGATCAAATGACCAAACTCTACTCCGTTACTAGCACTGATGATGTTATCTACTTTGGTAATGAAACGTCTGCAAAAAACCAAACAAGCTCAGAGAACACCAAAGGCCCCACAAAAGCTTATTCCCTAGTGAGGTTTGTACACAGAGTCACAATGTGTACTTTTCATAGATCTCTTTTCTCACTGCTGCATTATAGTCTTAGAAATATGGATATTATCAAAATGTTAGCAGGGTTCCAATATCTCAGGGGCTGCCCCAAAGAAGAGGGAGTCAAGCTATTCTCCAAAGCACCAGAAGGCAGGACAAGAAGCAAGGGAGGTAAACTACTCAAGGAGAGAAGCAACCTGGAATTAAGGAGGAATTTTCTGACAGTGAGAATAATTCATCAGTGGAACAACTTGCCTGCAGACATTGTGGGTGCCCCATGTTTGGAGGTTTTCAAGAGGAGATCAGACAACCATTTATCTGGAATGGTAGAGTCTCCTGCTTCAGCAGGGGGTTGGACTAGAAGACCTCAAAGTTCCCTTCCAGCTCTGTTATTTTGCCTTCATGCTCAATTGTATTTGCTGCTTTTGCTAGAATTTCATTGCTTTCTTTTTTCTTTTTGATTTTTCTTCTTTAGGGATCAGTCCTAAGAAATAATTCGGAAACTTTTGAATACTGGGAGAATCCTCCAATACCCCTTCTCCTGCAGTTCTATTTTTTTAACTTGACTAATCCTTTGGAAGTGCTTCAAGGGGAAATCCCTATTGTCAAGGAAGTTGGCCCCTACAGCTACAGGTAATGTGATTGCCTTCATTTTCAACCTGATAACCGGGGATTTAGTAGAGAAGATTTCCAAAGGAAAATTCCTAGGAAGGGATGGAAAATTTGGAGGCAGTTGTGAGTTTCTCTTTCCCAAAGAAAAGAGCTTGCAATTTGCAGTAAACTGTAGAGATGGGATTTGTACAAAGCATGCTTCTAGCCCTCATGAATGTAGGTGGTGAAGTTGCAGGGAATAGATGGTTGAGAATATCCCTCGACTGAGGGATCGCATCAAGATCGTGAGAAGTGATAGTACCGCTTTGTACCACATTAGTGAGGCCACGCTTAAAATCCTGTGTCTAGTTCTGGTCACCACAATACAAAAAAAAATGCTGAGACCCTAGAAAGTGTGCAGAGAAAACAACAAAGATGTTCAGGGGTCTGGAGGCTCAACTGTGTCATGAACGGTTGAGGGAGCTAGATATCTTTAGTCCAGTGTTTCTCAACCTTGACAATTTTAAGGCATGTGGACTTCAACTCCCAGAATTCTGGGGGTTGAAGTCCACATGCCTTAAAATTGTCAAGGTTGAGAAACACTGCTTTAGTCTATCAAAGAGAAGAACTAGGGCAGGGGTAGGCAACCTTGGCTCTTTTATGACTCGTGGACTTCAACTCCCAGAATTCCTGAGCCGGCATAGCTCAGCATGGAAACCTCTCCATTTCTCCTCAGCATGGCTGGCTCAGGAATTCTGGGAGTTGAAGTCCACGAGTCATAAAAGAGCTGAGGTTGCCTATCCCTGGCCTAGGCCTAGACCACTTTATGACTCGTGGACTTCAACTCCCAGAATTCCTGAGCCGGCATAGCTCAGCATGGAAACCTCTCCATTTCTCCTCAGCATGGCTGGCTCAGGAATTCTGGGTGTTGAAGTCCACGAATCATAAAAGAGCCAAGGTTGCCTGCCCCTGAACTAGGGTGACATGATAGCAGTGTTCCAATATTTGAGAGGCTATCGCAGAGAGGAGGGGGTCAACCTATTTTCCAAAGCACCTGAAGGCCAGACAAGGAATAACAGATGGAAACTGATCAAGGAGAGACTCAACCTAGAAATAAGGAGAAATTTTCTGACAGTGAGAACAGTGGAACAGCTTGCCTTCAGATGTTATGGGAGCTTCATCGCTGGCAGCTTTCAAGAAGAGACTGGACTGCCATCTGCTTGGGCAGGGGGTTGGGCTAGATGACCTGCAAGGTCCCTTCCAACTCTCTTATTTTAACTGTCCCCTTGTACTTGAGGGGCTGTCACAGAAAAGAGGAGATTGACTTATTCTCCAAAGCACCAGAGGACAGGACAAGAAATAATGGGTGGAAGCTTGTTAAAGAGAGATCCAACTTAGAAGTAAAGAGAAATTTTATGACGGTGAGAACAATCACTGGAATGGCTTGCCTCCCACAGTTGTGGGTGACCAGCTCAAGGTTGACTCAGCCTTCCATCCTTCCGAGGTGGGTAAAATGAGGACCCAGATTGTTGGGGGGCAAGATGCTGACTCTGTAAACCGGTGCTGTAAAACACCATGAAGTGGTATATAAGGCTAAGTGCTAAGTGCTATTGCTATTCTCAGTAACCAGAAATGGAAAATACACTGTATTTTCAGAGCTGGTTGTGATTTCAACGGGAGCCAGAGAGGAACGAATGAACATACTCAGTAGTAAATAAAGCCTGCGCAATGTCCCATGTTCAGCCCTTGGTACCTCTTAAGTCTCCTGTCTGAAATCCCGGAGAGCTTCTTATGTTGAGGCTCCATGCCCGCACACCGATTCAACCCCCTTCCCATTCTGCATTCCCAAGCAGACATTCCCAAGCGTGATAGCTGAGAATATTCCAATCACGAATATTTGTGCAATCTCTCCCTTGCTTATATAGCATTTTCCTGGGAATCAGGGATAGTTGCCTCATTGGCTTCAGCCTTTATGCTTTGCCTGTCGCAATATATGCAAGGTGAATTAATGTGGCGGTTCCTTATGAAACCGTCGTAACTTCCAGATCCAAATCAAGGGTGTGTATGTGGGTGTACATGTTGGCTGTGCTCAAGCTGAGTCCATTGATTGTGTGGCTGGTTTGTTTGTGGCATAATTTGCTTTGCAAAGCTCACCATCTAGGTTTGTAAACCCATGGTTTATAGCTTAGCACCTCTGTGCTAAGCTATAAACCATGGTTTACAAACCTAGATGTACTTTCAGCAGCCCTCTCCCCCCTCATACACACAGACCAAGCTTCCTGAGATCATGCTTCCGAAATTTAGCTGCCAAATGATGAAATACAGAGAGTCCTCGACTTACGGCCACAATTGAGCCCAAAGTTTCTGTTGCTGAGCGAGACCTTTGTTAAGTGAATTTTGCCCCATTTTATGACCTTGCTTGCCACCGTTGTTAAGTGAATCACTGCAGTGGTTAAGATAGTAGCATGGTTGTGAAGTGAATCTGGTTTCACCTTTGGTTTTGTTGGTCAGAAGGTGGTAAAAGGGGATCACAAGACCCCAGGACACTGCAACCGTCATAAGTACGAGTCAGTTTGCCAAGCATCTGAATTTTGATCATGTGACCCTGGGGATGCTGCAACGGTCATAAGTGTGAAAATGATTATAAGTCACGTTTTTTTCAGGGCTGTGGTAACTTTGAACTAAATGAACGGTTGTACGTTGAGGACTACCTGTATTAAGAAAATTCATATGGCTGCCCAACTAACACATGGTGACTCCGGGTAGCTTAAAACAGAGGTCCCCAACCTCCAACTGGGCCGTGGTATGCATGCCAGAAACCAGGCCGCACAAACAAGCAAAGCCCCATCCACGGGATGCAGGCAGCACACGAAACCACGTCTCCTCTGGTCCACGGAAAAACCTCTCCCCACAGAACTGGTCCCTGGTGCCTAAAAGGTTGGGGGCCTCTTGCTTAGAGGAATAAACCCCCCATTATAAAACTCAGTAAGCTCCTACCCTATCGACAACAATTAAACAAATCACTTGATGAGCTCCTTATCATTCGGGGGGGCCCCAGGCCTGTAAGCAAAATCTTTTAAAAAATAACAAAGTGCATCAAGCATCATTTAAAAAAAAAAATGGAATTGCAGATGCTGGTCCCTTAGACCAGGTATGTCCAACCTTGGCAACTTTAAGACTTGTGAACTTCAACTCCCAGAATTCCTCAGCCAGCCAGGGCTGTGGAGTTTCTGGCTGGCTGTGGAATTCTGGGAGTTGAAGTCTTAACAAGTCTTAAAAGTGTGGCCAAGGTTGGATAACCCTGCCTTAGATTTTGCCTATCCCAACCAATTGTGGCCTGTTTATCCAATCACGGTGAAGAAAGTGTTAGGTTTTGTGCATTGTTCAGTTTTGTACATTGTGTGGCAGACAGATGCAGATAGTCCTCAACTAACCACCACAACTGAGCCCAACATTTCTGTGGCTAAGTGAGACCTTCGTTAAGTGGGTTTTGCACCATTTTGCGACCTTTCTTGCCACAGTTAAATCATGGCAGCTGTTAAGCTAGTAACTCAGTTGTTGTGAATCTGGCTTCTACATTGACTCCGCTTGTCAGAAGGTCACAAAAGGTGATCGCATGGCCCCGGGACACTGCAGCCATCATAAATATGAGTCAGTTGCCCAACATCTGAAATTTGATCATGTGTCCATGAGGATGTAGCAAGGATTGAAAGTGTGGAAAATGGTCATAAGTCACTTTTTTTTCAGTGCTGTTGTAACTTTGAATGGTCACTAAACAAACTGTTGAAAGTCGAGGACTACCTGTAGAATGCTTTTTTGCTCATAGTAGGGCATAGCTTTAGTATTGCTGTTCATCTCTGGGAGGGAAAAAGCAAATAATTCTATTAGAGACTTTAGTAAATCCCTAAGTGTTCCTCGTTCTCCAGATCAGCGGTCTAATTTAAGACAGCTTTGTCTGCTGGATGGATGCCTGTGCAAATTTTCTTCAAGTAGAGGACGCCAAGGCAGCCATGCCAGTTAAAAAGGACAGACGGCCTGTGGCAATTAGGAAAGCTTTTTAAGCAGCGGCAATGTCTTATTTTGTAAACTTTCCCTACCTTGTTCGGTTATCCTGGTTTGTTCTGGCTTGCCAAGACAGAGTCAGCCTGAATTTCAATAGGCACTGCAGGGAACTGAATTTCCCTTTGTATTTGCAAGCTTAAATAGCTCTTTATGTAGCTTTATTTGCTTGGGTTGCTTTGCCTTTGCAGAACGCTGAGATGACTGCATTCTTTGTCAAGTAACCTTCCCTTCGTTAGCTATGCAGAATAAATAAGCAGCAACACTTTGCTGTATTTGCTCGGTCTTTTTTTTAAAAAAAATATTTTCTTTGTCCTGTAGCAAAAGTTACAGACGGGGAGAATAAACTCATCCAGAATTTCACTTAACTGTGATCATTTCCTCCACAAATTTCCAAATGTTAACCCAGCCTTTGTCGTTCCTGCTTTTGGAAAACCTTGGGGCTAGGAAGCTACATTCTTTTAAAATGATATTGTGTTCAGGGGAACAGCCTGGGCTTGTTACTGTTGTTGACATAATAGAAAATACTTCTAGCTCGACTTTTAGATTTTGACTGTACTTTGTTCTCCAAGCTTGTTTCAGTGTAATTTCTGAATGTTTCATTACCAAACTCTAAAGCTTCCTCCTTCTGTTATGCATTCAAGAAGGACAGTGAATAATATTTATATGTCTGAAATGATATTAGGCAGGGGTAGGCAACCTTGGCTCTTTTATGACTCGTGGACTTCAACTCCCAGAATTCCTGAGCCAGCGTGGCTCAGCTTGGAAACTCTCCCTTTCCCCTCAGCATGGCTGGCTCAGGAATTCTGGGAGCTGAAATCCACGTGTCATAAAAGAGCCAAGGCTGCCTACCCCTTGTCAGGTAATGTCTGCCTACATATGTTGTATATAGTATGTTTTAAATGTGTGTTAAGTATGTGTACACTTTGAGAGGAAGCAACTAAATTTCATTTTTAATGTGTGCCATTGTGCCCAAAGGAAAAAATGACAATAAAGGTTATGTAATTAATTAAAGTAACATCATCAGTGGAATTTTCTTATCCTATTCTCCTTAACTTATAAATGTCCTGTGTGCCAGTGGGGTCAGTTGGTGGTATGATTGGTTGTTCGTTTGGAGCTATATTTGAATTCTGAGCAGCTGATTGGTCCTCTTGTTGATTGACAGTTCGAATGGTCTGGTTTCTAACTTATTCATATGCTGGATCTAGATCAGTATGCTTGTTAATTGCTCTTTTTCTGGAATACCATGTTTCATGTTTTATTATCGTATTTTATCAGCAAAGTTGAGCAGAGATTTTTAAAAGCGGTTATCCTCTGTTGAAAAACAGCAGCTTCAAGACTCCCCTTTTATTTAATGGATTTATTAAATTTTTATCCTGCCTTTATTACTTTTACAAGTAACTTAGGGCAGCAGTCATACATAATACCCCTTCCTCCTATTTTCCCCATAACAACAACCCTGTGAGATAGGTTGGACCTAGAACAGGGGTAGGCAACCTTGGCTCTTTTATGACTCGTGGATTTCAACTCCCAGAATTCCTGAACCAGCATGGCTCAGCTTGGAAACTTCTCCCTTTCCCTTCAGCATGGCTGGCTCAGGAATTCTGGGAGTTGAAGTCCACAAGTCATAAAAGAGCCAAGGTTACCTAACCCTGGCCTAGAGAGAGAGAATGGCCCAAAGTCACTCATCCAGTTTCATGCCTAAGGCGGGACTAGAACTCACAGTCTCCTGGTGATTGGCCCAAAGTCACCCACTGCCTTTCATGCCTAAGGCGGGACTAAAACTCACCATTGGCTTGTGATTAGCCAGGCTGTCTGTGGAATTCTGGGAGTTGAAGTCCATTCATCTTCCAAGTGGCCAAGTTTGAGACACACCGATTTAAAGCGAGAATAGAGATAGAATCTGCAGAGAAGACTTTAACATTCAACTTTCCTTAAGAGTTGAATTTTATATGACTTTAGTTTGCGGTAGAAAACTGCATTTTTCCTCTTGCTCTTTTTTGTCAGGGAGTGGAAATGGCGACGGGATGTGCACATTCTGGAGAATGGCTCAAAAGTGTCCTCTTTTCAGCCAACCTCTTACTACTTTGAGCGAGAGCTGTCTGTGGGTGACCCGGAAGTGGATCGGATCCGGACAGTAAACTTGCCTGCAGTGGTAAGTCTTGAGATTTGCAACTGGGTAGCAAAATGAGATGCCCCCCCCCCCCAAAAGACTTCATGTGATCTATTGGGTTGACTTTGATTCTGGGCTAAACGAAATCCTTGTTTGGGAGCATTTTGCTTATTGATTCAAAGCTCTGTTCTGGTGTATTTGAAGTTGGAATAAAACTGATTTGTAACTTGTGTTCTGCAAAGCTGTAGACGGGCCTTTTTCTATGTAGAAAAAGGAGGAAAAGAGGTGGACTTATTCTTCAAAGCACCAGCGGGCAGGACAAGAAATAACAGGTGGAAGCTCATTAAAGAGAGAGCCTATCTGGAGCTAAGGAGAAATTTCCTAACAATGAGAACAGTTAAGCTAGAACTAAGGAGAAACTTGCTGACAGTGAAAACAATTAACCAGTGGAACAACCTGCCTCCAGAAGCGGTGAATGCTCCAACACTGGAAATTTTTAAGAAGAAACTGGACAGCCATTTGTCCAAAATGGTATAGGATTACCTGCCTGAGCAGGGGGTTGGACCTGATGACCTCCAAGGTCCCTTCCAACATCATCATCATCATCATCATCATCATTATTATTATTATTATTTGCCTTTTGAAGTTCTGGGTGCTCCAGCACTGGAGGTTTTTAAGAAGAGATTGGACAGCCATTTGTCTGAAATGATATAAGGTCTCCTGCTTGAATCCAGGGTTGGACTAGAAGACCTCCAAGGTCCCTTCTAACTCTGTTATTCTAAGTAGCAAGAGTTCTTGTAACCTCAGTTCTGTAATGGGCATCCTTTGCAAACAAATCCACTCAGTGATGTGAAGACCTTCGCTCCAATTCTACAACCAGCTTCCTTGATGTGAACTGCAACTTTTTAAGCTGTGGCTAATGTCCTTTTTAACCCTTATAGCTTCAGTTCTCCCCATCAACTATATTTTTTGTGTTTTTATGGAATACCTGATAAATGCAGGTACTCTTTGACTTATTGAGCCCAGGTTTTCTGTTGTGAAGCAAGACAGTTGTTAAGCTTGAGTTTTACCCTATTTTACGACCTTTCTTGCCCAAGTTGTTAAGTGAGTCACTGCCATTGTTAAGTTAGTAACACGGTTGTTAAGTGTTAGCTTCTTTTTCTCAGGGATACCACTAATGGGGAGAAAAATACAGGCAAGCCTCGACTTCCGTCCACAATTGAGCCCAAAATTTCCATTGCTAACTGAGACCGTTGTTAAGTGGGTTTTGCCCCACGTTACAACCTTTTTTTGCCACAGTCGTTAAGTGAATCTCTGCAATTGATAAGTCAGTTACACAGTTGTTAAGTGAATCTGGTTTTCCCCACTGACTTTGCTCGTTAGACGGTCGTAAAAGGTGATCACCTGACCCCGGGACACCACGACCATCATAAATATGAGCATCTGAACTTTGAGCATGAAGATTGCACGAGGTTATCAAGTGTGAAAAACAGTCATAAGTCACTTTTTCCAGTGCCGTTTTAACTTTGAGCGGTCACTAGATCAACTATTGTAAGTCGAGGACTACCTATAGCCAATACATGCCTATTGTTATAGATAACAATAACATCTTTTTTTTCCCCTTGATGTCAGGTGGCCATGAATATGGCTCGTAGAACGCCTTTCACTTTTCCTGCAGAGCTGATGCTGCTGGCTTACCAAGAGGACATGTTCACCATCCATACAGTTGATGAGATTTTATGGGGATACACGGATAAGTTCCTCAAGGCGGTGAACAAGTTTTTCCCTGAGGTCGATCCGATTTTCGGCTATTTTAAACAGGTAATATGGTTGTCGTCAAGGGTAGATTGGCTCCTTCTCATGATCTTTGTTTTTAGTTGGTGCACCTTTTCCTTCACCGGCTGCTCCCCCCCAAAACACCGAAGCTGAAATATGTTGATTTGCACCAAGGATCGTAGTCACGTTCCCAATATATCCTTTCCTACATGTAGTCTTAGATGTTCCTTTTCAGAAAAAAAAGATAAAATAAGGGAATTTCAGCCAAGAAAACGTGTGACCCTGTGGAACTCAATTCCCCTCACCTCTTCTGCCTTCTGGGTCATCTACACAGGTAGCCCTTGACTTACGACCACAATTGAGCCCAAAATTTCTGTGGCTAAGTGAGACTTTTGTTAAGTGAGTTTGCCCCATTTTCTTGCCACCGTTGTTAAGTGAATCACTGCAGTTGTTTAAATTAGTAACATAGCTCTAGCAATATTACTTAGACTTATACACCGCTTCACAGTGCGGTGGGGGGCAATATGTGGTTTACAGAGTCAGCATATTGCCCCCCAAAATCTGGGTCCTCGTTTTACCTCACCTCGGAAGGATGGAAAGGCTGAATCAACCTTGAGCCGGTGAGAATCGAACTGCTGGCAGCCGGCAGTCAGCAGAAAAAGCCTGCAGTACTGCATTTTAACCACTGCGCCACCATTGCTCAATCTCTCTTAACATGGTTAAGTTACTATTGTTGACTAAGGACTAACTGTATCCAGTTCAGCAGTGGTTCCCAACCTTTTCGGCTTGGCGACCCGGCAGGGAGAGGGGAGGGGGGGGATGGTTCTGTGCGAATGGTAGGCATGTGCGCAAGTGTGCTCAGCTCCATTTGCCGTCCGCCACTCACGCAAATGGAACTGCGCCCTTGCCCGCTGCTTGCACGGCCCAGTTCTGAATGGGCTACAAGCCCAATAGTGGGCCACGGCCTGGAGGGTTGGGGACCCCCTGCAGTACAGCTTTAGATTATTTGTTCCATTGAAATCCTGTGCTACCCTGCGAATATGGAAATGCTATTCTAGGCAGTCTTGAGAGATGAATATTGCTTGAGGATTGCCACCCCTGCTATTTTTTAAACACGGCAGTGATTAAAACATGCTGTGCTGGCCCAATATCCTATGACTCCAATGTCTCCTAGATATTCGGCTTATTAGCATCTCATTATTGCTCCCTGTCTCTTTTAAATGAGAATAATCAACAGCAGCCCTTTCAGAAAGCTGATTGCCGCTGTCTTTTTTTCTTCAACGTTTTTTTGTTTTGTTTTTTGCCACTAAAGAGGGCGGAAAAAAAGTCCATTCACAGTTTGCCAGTCTCCTTTTGGCACAGGATATATTGTAATGAAGCAAAACAAAGTAGGTGCATTAGACTTCCAGGAAGTTTATGACAATTTTAAGAGGGTTTTTTTTTTTTAAAAAAAAAAATTGCCACTGGAGAGAAAAATAATCTCGAGGCCCAGTTCTGTGACCAGCCACTTGATGGGCTCCAAATCATTCTGGAATCTCCAGCTCATTGGCAGAACCATGTCCTCAGGCCTTTGTGAAAGAGTGTCAACCTGGGGACCAATTTTATCTCCTCAGGGATGTTTCACAGGGAGGGAGGGAGCCACCACCGAGAAGGCCCTTCTTCTTGGTCCGGCTAGCTGGACCTCCTTCAGAGAGGGGACTTGTAACATTCCCTGCCTCCCCGCTCTGGTAGCTATAGCCGGGAAAAGACAGCCCTTCAGATAACTTGGTTCCAAGCCATGTAGAGCAGGGGTCCTCAACCTTGACTTGTGGACTTCAACTCCCAGAATTCCTCAGCCAGCAAAGCAAAGCAAAGCTGGCTGAGGAATTCTGGGAGTTGAAGTCCACAAGTCTTAAAGTTGCCATGGTTGAGGACCCCTGATTGTAGAGCTGGGAAGGTGACAGCCAGCCAACCTTGAACTGGATCCGGAAGCAAAATATATGGGGGAGGGGGTCCCTAGACAATTTTAAGGCATATGGACCAACTCCCAGAATTCCACAGCCAGCAATGCTGGCTGTGGAATTCTCGGAGTTGAAGTCCACATGCCTTAAAATTGTCACGGTTGAGAAATACTGAGCTAGAATCATCTGGAACCACTGTGAGAATACAGATTGTGGTTCAGGCTGATTGTTTATTGGACAACCTGAAAATTTCCCTTTTTTTTTAAAAGCAAAATTAATCTTAAAAAAAAAAACAGCACAAAAAAAATGGTTCTACATTGGCGCCCATCTGTGGAGGACTCCAAATGTTTAATATTTGCTGGCTGTGGAATTCTGGGAGTTGAAGTCTACAGGTCTTAAAGTTGCCAGGGTTGGGGACCCCTGACTTAGGATGTCGAAGAAGAGCAGGCAGCTGGAGGGCGGAGCCAAATGTGCCATCAGTTTAGAGTCCTTGTGTTACCACAAGACCACCCGAGACCAGCCCCTCCCTTGAATTCCGTTGACCCTTCTCCCGCACCAATTCTGCAGTGGCCATTTAGTTGACCAGATTTTTGTACATAGGCTTCAATAAATCGTTAATGCTGCAACCTACCTGAATGGTCCTCATCCTTTGCGTCTAATATGTGTACACTTTATTCCCATTTGGAACCATTTGGAAAAGCTGCCTGAAAGTAAAAAAATCTTTTCTTGCATTTTTTTTTCCTATATAGATGAACGGGACCGATGATGGTGAATATGTCATGTTATCTGGAGAAAATAACTACCTGGACTTCACAAGAGTAATTGAATGGAATGGCAAAGAGTAATGTTTGTTTCTTCTTCTTTTTTCCCTTCACTGGTGTCCTTATATCTCTGTGACAGTGCACGTTGTAATTCTTGCCTTATATTTTAATTCATTCGTTTGATTTTTTTTTATCCCGCCTTCGTTATTGTTTCTAAATAATTCAAGGTGGAAAACTTCCCTATTGCGCCTTCCTCCTCCTATTTTCTCCACAACAACAATCTTGCGAGGTAGGTTGGGCTGAGGAGAGTGACTGGCCTAAAGTTATCTAGCCATTTTTCATGCCTAAGGCAGGACTAGAACTTACCGTCTCCTAGTGATTGGCCCAAAGCACTCAGCCAACTTCCTTGCCTGAGGCAAAACTAGAACTCACCATCTCCTGGTGATTGGCCCAAAGTCATTCAGCCGGCTTTCGTGCCTAAAGTGGAACTAGAACTTACTGTCTCCTAGCGATTGGCCCAAAGTCACCCAGCCGGCTTTCATGCCTGAGGCAAAACTAGAACTCATCATCTCCTAGTCCAGTGATGACGAACCTTTTAGAGACCGAGTGCCCAAACTGCAACCCAAAACCCACTTATGCATCGTCGGGTGCCGGGTGAGTGTGGCCCATTGGCTGGGTGTGGCCAGTTGGGGTGTGTGGCCCATTGGGTGGGCGTGGCTGCGGTGGTAACGGCAGACTGGGTGGGACTAAAGAGTTCAATCAATCAATTCCAACTTTGCAAGATCTTTTTTTTTTCCCCACAAGAAGTTGAAATTAACTGACTGTTTGAACCTTTTTTTTTTTTTTTTTTGCACACGTGGTGGAGGCCTAAAGCGAAAAGGTTTTATAAAACCCAGCTAAAGGCCTAGGACTGGGGCAACGGCGCGTGTGCCCACAGAGAGGGCTCTGAGTGCCGCCTCTGGCACCCGTGCCATAGGTTCGCCACCACTGTCCTAGTCATTGGCCCAAGTCATCCAGCCAGCTTTCATGCCTAAAGTGGAACTCATAAATCTCCTGATGATCAGCCCAAAGTCATCCAGCTGGCTTTCATGCCTAAGGCAGAACTAGAACTCACTGTCTTCTGGTGACTGGCCCAAAGTCACCCAGCTGATTTTCATGCCTAAGGAGGGACTAGAACTTACCGTTTCCTGGGGACTGGCCCAAAGTCACCCAGTTGGCTTTCATGCCTAAGGTGGGACTAGAACTCACAGTCTCCTGGTTGCTAGGCCAGTCCCTTAATCCCTAGAGCAGGGGTGAGCAACCTTGGCTCTTTTATGACTCGTGGACTTCAACTCCCAGAATTCCTGAGCCAGCATGGCTCAGCTTGGAAACGTCTCCCTTTCCCCTCAGCATGGCTGGCTCAGGAATTCTGGGAGTTGAAATCCACGAGTCATAAAAGAGCCAAGGTTGCCTACCCCTGGTCTAGTCTAATGAAGAGAAGGACTAGGACGTGGTAGGCAACCTTGGCTCTTTTATGACTCGTGGACTTCAACTCCCAGAATTCCTGAGCCAGCATGGCTCAGCTTGGAAACTCTCCCTTTCCCCTCAGCATGGCTGGCTCAGGAATTCTGGGAGTTGAAGTCCACGAGTCATAAAAGAGCTAAGGTTGCCTACCCCTGCCCTAGACCGGACCTCCTATTCCAAAATGCTCCATTAGATCTAGTGGTTTTCCCTCTCCTTCCCAAAGATTCTTAATAAGTTGGATAAAAAAAAGTTTCAGATGCTGCTGTTCAGGATTCAAAGGCTAAACCTCCCTTCTTCAGACTCAATAAGATGAGAATTATTTCTTCCTCAGTGCCTCTGAGTAAGTACATAAAAAAGGAGGATGCTTCAAGGAACATCACCTCTATTTTTGGGAAAGTTGGATTTCAGGAAAACCCATAATCCTGATTAAGAAAGAAGGTGGTTTGGGAAAGAATTTATTCTGAGTGGGTTTGTATTAGGGATTGACAATGTTTATTTTCCCTGCCTTGAAAAACCTCAAGCCCGTAATTAGATCACAGACCTTCACAAGATGTTGTCTGAGCTTGTTTCGAAAGAGGATCAGACATATCAGATCCTGGATGAAAGAGGGCCTTTGATCTTTTGACCCAGCAGGATTTCTTTTTATGTTTTAAAACTAATCCTGGATTCCTTCTGATCTCTTCTCGTGATAGCAAGCTAGACTGGTGGACAACACCCAGCTGTAATATGATCAATGGAACAGATGGAGGGACTTTCCACCCACTGATCAGCAAAGATGACACAATCTATATCTTTTCTACAGATTTCTGCAGGTAAGAACGGTGGGAAGCGCTGCCTGGAATTCAACATTGAATCATAGCTTTGCCCTACTGACTCATCCTGGATCTCTTCGCTTGAATTCCTAGTGTCGTGTTTCCTAGTACTGTAAAAGATTTTTCTCAATTCAGTCTATTGTGTCCAGCGAACACAGCCCTTGTGGTACCAATAGAAGAGAATATTTGCTGCTCGGGGTTAAATTGTGGTGTCCTTGGTGCTATCTCAGCTTGGTGGTTTTCTGGTCCACTGTTTCATTACAAACAGGCAGAAGACTAGCAGTGCGCATCCATGAACACCAAATAGCACTCAGAAGACACGATGAAAGCTCAGTTTGACAACACATGGATAGACTTAACCATAGCTTCAGCTGGGAAACTGGACACCCTGGACCAGGGGTAGGCAACCTTGGCTCTTTTATGACTTGTGGACTTCAATTCCCAGAATTCCTGAGCCAGCCAGAGTTGAAGTCCACAAGTCATAAAAGAGCCAAGGTTGCCTACCTCTGTCCTAGACCAAGCCAAGTCCAAAAGCGTGAGAGATTCCTAGAAACCCGGCATTCAGACAGATCGGCCATCATCAGGCACATACAGATAAACAACATCTACATACCACTCAAAATAGACAATCAAAAAGCCTAAAAGGAAACAAAAAGACCAATGCCCCTCCTTGCCAGCAATCAACTTTCATATGAGCAGAGATTAACACCAAGATTAACATTACAGAGATTAACACCGAGGTTAACACTAGACCAACAATCAAATAATACCCCAGAGAAGGAACTACCAATGCAGAAAAACAAGCTAATGGTAAAGAGTACAGAGAAGAGCAACAAAGATGATTAGGGGACTGGAGGCTAAAACATATGAGGAATGGTTGCTAGAATTGGCTATGTCTAGTTTAACGAAGAGAAGGACGCGGGGGGACATGATAGCAGTATTCCAATATCTCAGGGGCTGCCATAAAGAAGAGGGAATTAAGCTATTTTCCAAAGCACCTGAAGGCAGGACAAGAAGCAACGGGTGGAAACTAATCAAGGAGAGAAGCAACCTAGAACTAAGGAGAAACTTCCTGACAGTGAGAACAATTAATCAGTGGAACAGCCTGCCTCCAGAAGCAGTAAATGCTCCAACACTGGAAGTTTTTAAGAAGAGACTGGACAGCCATTTGTCTGAAATGGTGTAGGGTTTCCTGCCTGAGCAGGAGATTGGACTAGATGACCTCCAAGGTCCCTTCCAACTTTACTATTATTATTGATCATCGCACAGTCAGCCAGATGTTCAGACTGGATTTGGCATTTTGTCTACCTATCGAGTCCTTACCCAGGACCTGGGATAGGCAGATGTGGATGTTTGATGGTATTACAGATATCGTCGCAGGATGGAAGCAGTTCCTAATAAGGCCGCCTTTTGCAATTGACTAATAGCGAATTTGTCAATGCCAATGGTGTTCAAGTGGTGCTCCAGTTGTTTTGGGATTGCACCCAAGGAGCCTATTACTATTGGTACTACCCTTGCTTGCTTTTGCCACAGTCTTTCTATTTCTATTTGTAGGTCTTTGTATTTTGTTATCTTCTCCAGTTCTTTCTCTTCTATTCTGCTATCTCCAGGCACTGCCACGTCCACTATCCAGACTTTTTTGTCTTTCTTATCGACAATTGTTAAGTCTGGGGTGTTATGTTGCAGGTGCTTGTCTGTTTGAATTCTGAAGTCCCAGAGCACTTTAATTTTATCATTTTCTATGACTTTCTCTATTTTATGATCCCACCAGTTTTTGCTTACAGGCAAATGATATTTTTTGCAGATCTTCCAATGCACCATTGTTGCTACTTTGTCATGCCGCTGCTTGTAATCAGTCTGTGCAATCTTCTTGCAACAGCTTACCAAGTGGTCCACTGTTTCTTCAGCTTCTTTGCATAGGCGGCACTTACTGTCTGTTGCTGTCTTCTCAATTTTGACTTTGTATGCATTTGTCCTTAAGGCTTGGTCTTGTGCAGCCAGAATTAGTCCCTCGGTCTCTTTCTTCAATTTTCCTGCTCTTAGCCATTGCCAGGTTTTATTATTATCTGCTTTCCCAGCTATTTTTTTCATGTATTGGCCATGTAGTGCTTTGTCTTCCCATGCCTCTATTCTGTTCTTCATTTGGTCTTTCTTGTAGGCCAGTTTGGTCTCTCCAGTAGTTAGTAAGCCTTCCTGATATACTAATTTCAGTGCATCTTCATCATTGTTCTTCAGATATTCTTCCAAAGCCATTTTTTCTTCTTCAACCATCTGATGTACTTGTAGCATTCCACGCCCACCTATTTGCCTTGGTAGATAAGTCTATCAATGTCACTGCGTGGATGAAGGGCATGATTCATTGTCATTATTTTTCTGGTCTGCCTATCCATTGCTTTTAGTTCTGCTTGAGTCCAGTCCACTATTCCAGCTGTGTACCTAATGACTGGGATTGCCCAGGTGTTGATTGCCTTTATGGTATTTCCTCCATTGAGTTTGGACTTTAAGATCTTCTTCACTCTCTTGATGTATTCACCTCTAATCTTTTTCTTGACTTCAGTGTGCTTGATGTTGTCAGCTTGAAGGATACCCAAGTATTTGTAGTACTCTTCCTCATCCAGACTCTTAATGTTATTTTCGTGGGGCATCTTGATTCCTTCAGTTTTCACTATTTTTCCTTGTTTGATAGTAAGTGTGGCACATTTGTCCAAGCCAAACTCCATTACAATATCTTGGCTATATATACGGACAGTGTTGAGCAGCGATTCTATTTCAGATGATGTTTTTCCATACAGCTTCAGATCATCCATGTAAAGGAGGTGGGATAGTCTAGCAGATGTTTTTGATGTTTGATAGCCATGTCCTGAGTTATTCAGTATTGTTGACAGAGGAAACAGTGCAATAACAAATAGTAATGGTGATAATGAATCTCCTTGAAATATTCCTCTCTTGATATTAACCTCTCCCAGCCTCTCACCATTGATCTGCAACTGTGTCTTCCATTGTGCCATCGATCTTTGCACAAATTTTCTGATGTTTCTACTGACTCCTGTTATTTCTAGGCACTTGATTATCCAGTCATGTGGCAGAGAGTCAAATGCCTTTTTGTAGTCAATCCATGCCACATTCAGGTTGGTCTTCCTTCTTCTTGCAGTTTTCCAAGATCATTTTGTCTATTAGGAGTTGATCTTTTGTTCCTCTGCTATTGGGGCGGTTTCCTTTCTGCTCAGGTGGAAAGAGATTGTTTTCAACTAGATGCTGTTGTACTGCATCAGCTATCACACCAGTTAGTAATTTGAAAGTTGTTGGTAAGCAGGTAATTGGCCTGTAGTTACCTGGTGTTGCCCCTTTTGCTGGATTTTTCATTATTAGGTAGGTTTTCCCAGTTGTTAGCCACTTTTCAATTTCTCCTCCTTGTAGTATATTGTTGAACTGCTTGGCAATGAGTGGGTGTATAACAGTTAGATGTTTCAACCAAAACCCATGCAGTTCATCTTCACCTGGTGCTGACCAATTTTTGATTTTCTTTGCTCTTTTTTCTACCATTTTTGTTGTTATTACTAGTTCTTTCATTTCAACTTCTGTTTTATTTGCATCCACCTCTTTTAACCAAGCCGCATCCTTGTTGTATTTCTTTGGGTTATCCCATATCTGCTTCCAGAACTGCACTGTTTCTTCCTTGTCAGGTACTGACTGATTCCTTGCAGTTTCTCCATTGATGGATTGGTAGAAACGTTTCTGATTGGATTGAAATTGGAGGTTCTGCCTATAGTTTGCAATTCGAGCTTCATATCTACTGATTTTCCTGGCTATAGCTGTTATTTGTTGCTTTATTATTTCCAGTGCTTCCTTGATCTTCCTTGTTTCTAAGTGGTATTTCTTGATTAGGTATTCTTTGGTCTTCTTGTTCTTCAGCTTCTTTTCTTTCATCTGTTCTAGCTTGCTTGCATGTGATCTTAACTTGCTGATCTTATTTTCTAGTCTAACCTTCCATTTTTCTGGTGCACTGTTTGTTTGTTTTTCTTCTTTGTTGATTTTGCATCCCAGGTATTCTGTTATAACTGCAGCTGTGCTGTACATTAGTTGGTTTGTTTCTTGCAGTGAATTGGTGCTTATACTTGATATTGCAGTATTTGCATCTTTTAATGCTTGTGCTAGCTGTTTCTTTGGAACAAGCTTCAATGCAGGTAGCCTTATTCTGTTGTTTTTGTGCTGTTCTAGATGCTCAGTTATTCTTTGTTTCAATTCTTTTATTTCTTTAGTTAGAGGGTTTTGTTCTTCCTGAGGTAGAGGTGCCTGGTTTCCAAATGAGAACAGTTGTATATCTCTGCTAGATTCCTTCACTGCCAACTCCCCCTGGTTTGCCTCTACATTCTGAATTACTTCTGGTAAGGCTTTGATTTCTTTGCCCTGGGTAAACCTTTGCAGTTCGTCCAATTCTGTTTCTGTGAATACTTTATTTCGTGTTATAAATCGGCGTTGATCTGCTAGTCTCTGTTCTGTTATTTCTGATTCTGGATGTTTTTCTTTCCAGAACTGGTGCATTCGTTTTAGATATCCTCTTCTTGTTGGACTTGATCTGTAGTAACAGATCATTATTTCTTTGTTTTCCATCACTGTGTATCTGCGATGGGTAAACACCTTTTCTTCCAGTAGTTCTGCAGCTGCTGGCCCTGGTTGCTCAGCCAACAGTCCTGAGTCCTGTAACCCATTTTTCATCAGATATCCAGGAACTCCAATATCTAGCGCGGACCTTGTTAACCCGGGCGACGTCCGAGCCGGTATGGCATTCTGAAATTTACGTCTCACCATATTTTTTATGGGAGAGACACTCTTTTGTCTGACTCCTCTGATGAGACCTGTCCAGTATGGTTGAACCTCTGGCATAGCTCTCATCTTCCTCAGAGTACACAAGCCCCACAACCACGTCAAGGTAGTGCCTCACTGGGGTTTATTATTATTATTATTATTATTATTATTATTATTATTATTATTATTATTATTATTATTATTATTATTATTATCGATCATCGCACAGTCAGCCAGATGTTCAGACTGGATTTGGCATTTTGTCTACCTATCGAGTCCTTACCCAGGACCTGGGATAGGCAGATGTGGATGTTTGATGGTATTACAGATATCGTCGCAGGATGGAAGCAGTTCCTAGTAAGGCCGCCTTTTGCAATTGACTAATAGCAAATTTGTCAATGCCAATGGTGTTCAAGTGGTGCTCCAGTTGTTTTGGGATTGCACCCAAGGCGCCTATTACTATTGGTACTACCCTTGCTTGCTTTTGCCACAGTCTTTCTATTTCTATTTGTAGGTCTTTGTATTTTGTTATCTTCTCCAGTTCTTTCTCTTCTATTCTGCTATCTCCAGGCACTGCCACGTCCACTATCCAGACTTTTTTGTCTTTCTTATCGACAATTGTTAAGTCTGGGGTGTTATGTTGCAGGTGCTTGTCTGTTTGAATTCTGAAGTCCCAGAGCAGTTTAATTTTATCATTTTCTATGACTTTCTCTATTTTATGATCCCACCAGTTTTTGCTTACAGGCAAATGATATTTTTTGCAGATCTTCCAATGCACCATTGTTGCTACTTTGTCATGCCGCTGCTTGTAATCTGTGCAATCTTCTTGCAACAGCTTACCAAGTGGTCCACTGTTTCTTCAGCTTCTTTGCATAGGCGGCACTTACTGTCTGTTGCTGTCTTCTCAATTTTGACTTTGTATGCATTTGTCCTTAAGGCTTGGTCTTGTGCAGCCAGAATTAGTCCCTCGGTCTCTTTCTTCAATTTTCCTGCTCTTAGCCATTGCCAGGTTTTATTATTATCTGCTTTCCCAGCTATTTTTTTAATGTATTGGCCATGTAGTGCTTTGTTTTCCCATGCCTCTATTCTGTTCTTCATTTGGTCTTTCTTGTAGGCCAGTTTGGTCTCTCCAGTAGTTCTAATCATTGTTCTTCAGATTCTTCCAAAGCCATTTTTTCTTCTTCAACCATCTGATGTACTTGTAGCATTCCACGCCCACCTATTTGCCTTGGTAGATAAAGTCTATCAATGTCACTGTTGTTTTGTTGTTGTTGTTGTTGTTATTATTATTATTATTATTATTATTATTATTATTATTATTATAAACCATCAAGAACATTCCCACCAACACTGACAGCCAGGGCAAGCCACTAGCTAGCATATAAAAATAAGAGCAGACTCCACTCCCTTTTAGCATTGATGCTATTACTTAGTTTGGTAATGCAACATCTGTAAGAAAACCACCAAGCTCGGAAAGCTCCAAGGATTCCTCAGCCTTTGTGCCTTGTAAAACATGATTTAAAGCTTAGGGCGTTGCGTGCACTCAAGCAGAAACAACATAGGATGTGTCAACCTGGCTTTTCTCTGCAAATTTACGTGTCTTCACCAAAGTAGACTTTTAATGTTATTTTGTTCTTTTCCAGGTCTATATATCTAAACTTTGAGAAAGAGTTAACCGTTTTGGGAATTCCAACTTACCGGTTTACCCCTCCCTTGAAAATCTTTGCCAATGTCTCGGTTAATCCAGACAACGCTGGGTTTTGTGTCCCTGCTGGCCACTGTCTGGGGTCTGGAATCCTGAATGTTACCGCTTGCAAACAAGGTTAGTGTGTCACAAACCGGAGGGAGTCAAGTACCAGTCTTCATAAATTCTCTTAACTAGGTAGTTCTTGACTTGGTGACCATCATGGATCCCAGAATTTCCATTGTATGTCCTGAGGGTCGTAGGTCAAGGCACCCACACGACTGACCCAATTTTGTGACAATTTTGGCAGCGTTCGTTAAGTGAACACCGTGGTCATGAAGTGGACACATGGTCATTAAGCAAACACATCATCCGCCGTGGAGTTTTTTTTTTTTTTTGACTGGAAACCAGAAGTAAATGCTGGTTTCTGACAGAAAAGAGAGTCACACGACAGCGGGATGCTGCAAATGGCCGCAAATGCCGACTGATTGCTGAGCACCCAGAATGTGATCATGTGAACATAAGGAGGTGGGGCCGTCAGAATTTTGAATCCAGGTCATAAATCCCTTTCTGGAGATCAGTCGTAACTCAAGCAGTTCCTAAGCAAATTGGTTGTCAGTCAAGGACTACCTGTACTAGCCAGGATGACTGAAAATAGGTGCTTGTCATGGATTTAACCCCCAGGCCCCTTGCCAGGATTAGGATGAGTTTGAGTCTCCAGAGGAAAGCCCAGAACTGAATGTTGGTCAGGATCGAGGCTCGGAAAGTGCTAGCCTGATGGAGCAGCCTCAACTCGGTTGATCAAATAAGTGACAGGCTGAGACTGAGGGTGGTGAGTTGCAGCTGCAGCGAGTTCACCATGCTCCAGGCACAGCTGCCACCCGTTAGTAATGAGAAGGAGGTGGAGTCCACACCTCCTCCCGATCCAAGGACATGGACGGCAGAGAGGAGACAGGCACAATGCTGGTCAGCTAGGCTATTTGCGCGGAGGCAACCTTGCCTCTCATGAAGGGCTGCACCGGCGTCGCCTACTTAACCCGCCCTGAGGAGTTCAGTGTTGTTGGAGCAATGCGGCCATTTCCACATCTTGTGTGCTCGTGCCATGTATCCTGACCCGTTCGACTCGTGGACTGCTTGTGTGTGCCCATTGGATTTGGTTATCCAGTGACTCTTGCCATGCTGAGCTTGGAATCTGGATCTGCGCAACAAGGTCCTGTTTGGGGGGCTTTGAACGTAGACTCTTGCTGTACGTGCAGATGTGTGTGAGTGGGGAGGGGGGCAGCACAGTGCTCCATAATTGCCAGGCAGTATTACAGAATTTTCGATAGTAATGGTTATCTGATTTTTAACAGATTGAGGAATGAGCATGATAGCCTGGAGTACAGCATGCTGCATTTGAGAAATGGTTATGGAATCTGATCAGGTGTACGGGAGGCATTTTGAAATACATGGGTGCCTGATCATTCCTTATTTGTTCATTTTTAACCCTTTTTTTGTCGTCGTTGTTACAGGGGCACCAATATTCTTATCGCTCCCACATTTCTTCCGTGCTAATGATACCTACGTCAAGTCGGTGGACGGCATGCATCCAAATAAAGAGAATCACGACACGTTTCTTGATATTAACCCAGTAAGTCTCTATTTCTATGGACCTCAAAATCATTTACAGATAGTCCAATTTAAAATGGAATTGGAAGCTTAGTGGGTCAGAGAATCCAGTTTCAGAGTTTTATTTGGACGGTGCTTTTGTGAGTGTGTGGCTTTTTTGATGGCGCTTCCCGGCCCTGTTAATTCTCTCCTCTGCATTTGGTCACGTTGGCTTTGCAAAGGTCTGAGTCATCTGAAAAGCAATGACTATTCCTTTGGAAAGGACTAATGAGGTTGGAAAGTCAGGCCAGCCTCCGGATCAGTGCAGGAATTCAAATTAAAAATCTCCCAGGCACGTGAATAAATCAAATGAAGGAGAATCCACCGTCTCCTCTGAGTCATGGGCTCCACTCTTCGTGTATTTACTGCTAGGAAGTTGTTCCAAACCTCAGCTGGAATTTGCCTGCTTGTTAACTTAAATCCATAATTCTGTATCTTGTACTGTGGAATGAGAGGATAACATCCTGGCTGCCTTTTCTGGAATGCAGTCATTCCTTCTCGGCTGTCTTTTTTTCACGGCTAAACCCATCCATCTTCTGTCCCTTTTCACATAGCGTTAGCTAGTTTCTATTTTTCTGAACCCCTCTTAAAGGGTGGTGCTCATAGGTAGTTAAAATATGAAGGTGGAACCTGTACAACAGCATTGCTGGCTGTGGAATTCTGGGAGTTGAAGTCCACATACCTTAAAATTGTCAAGTTTGGGAAACACTGCTGTACAATAACAAAACCCTGGAAGCCAGCCCAGCCACCAACAGGCACAAGGAGATAAACAATGTCTGCATATCATTCCAAAGAGACCATCAAAAAGCTAAAAAGGAAACAAAAGAAACCAAAACACCTCCTTACTAGCAATCAACGCCCAGATAAGCAGAGATTAACACAAAGGTTAACACTAGACCAGGGGTAGGCAACCTGGGCTCTTTTATGACTCGTGGACTTCAACTCCCAGAATTCCTGAGCCAACATGGCTCAGCATGGAAACTCCCTTTCCCCTCAGCATGGCTGGCTCAGGAATTCTGGGAGTTGAAGTCCACGAGTCATAAAAGAGCCAAGGTTGCCTACCCCTGCACTAGACCAACATCCTGGTTGTAAAGCATACCCCAATCAAGAAACTACCAACTCAGACCAACAATCAGGCAGTAAACAACAGCCAAATCAAGGAACCACCAAAGACAAACACTGACAGGACAAGTATACCAGGATACACAGATCAAACCCCACTCCCTTCTAGCACTGATCATCAAGAAAACAACCAAGCTCAGAGAGCACCAAGGACCCTACAGGGTAACAAAATATTTCCTGTGATTTGGAAATTATGCTTCTGAAATTACATTTGCCTTTTTTTTGCAGCTAGCAGTCTGGCTGGGGGAATTCTGGGAGTTGAAGTCCACACATCTTAAATTGCCCCAAGTTAAGAAATGCATCTCTAGGTTATTCACACAGCTCATTATATTGTCAGGGGATTGGTTTCTTAGCCTGGTCTACCTCGCTGGGTTGTCGCTTACCTCCAGATTGTAATATCTGGGACTGAACCACCAATTGTGTTTGTCTTCCACCAAGGATATGGTGGATGTAGCTGCTTGTAACCAAGGTAGGAATACAGATAGTCCTAGACGTACGACAAGAATTGACCCCCCCAAAAAAAATTTCTGTTGCTAAGCGAGACACTTAAGTGAATTTTGACTCATTTTATCACCTTTCTTGCCATAGTTGTTAAGTGGATCACTGCAGTTGATAAGTTAGCAGTAACCTGCTTGTTAAGTGAACCTGGCTTGCCCGTTGACTTTGCTTGTGACAGGGTGATCACATGATCTTGGGACACAGCAACCGTCGTAAGTATGAGCCAGTTGCCAAGCATCTGAATTTTGATCATGTGACCAAGGGGATGCTGCAACGGTCGTAACTCTGAAAAACAATCCTAAGTCCAATTTTTCAGTGTTGTTGTAACTTTGAACCGTCACTAAACAAACGGTTGTAAGTTCGAGGACTACCTGTACTAAATTTGCACTGGATTGGTAAAGTGAATTTCATTTTTAAGCGAAAGCACGTTTCCTTTTCCCTTTCAGCTGACGGGAGCTTTGGTGCGGGCGAACAAAAGAATGCAAATCAATGTTTATGTTGAAACACTCCCCCAATTTATGTAAGTATTGTACAGAGAACTTGGCAGTGTTTTAATATATATTCATTCATTCCGAGAAATGGAATAATAATATACATACATACATATTTGTTTTCTGAGGTTTTCGCGGGTGTTTGTATGTAGGTCTTTGGTTATTCGGGTTTTCTCCCTCGTAAAATTGGAAGTGTCTTCGCGACGTTTCGACGAAGTCTCATTCGTCATCTTCAGGCTGGTGTTTTCAGCTTCGTGCTTCTAGGAGCTCGTGCTCCTAGAAGCACGAAGCCGAAAACTCCAGCCTGAAGATGACGAATGGGACTTCGTCGAAACGTCGCCAAGACACTTCCAATTTTACGTGGGAGAAAACCTGAATAACCAAAGACCTAATATATACACATATATATATATATATATATATATACATGCAAATAATGCATCGGTGTATTTAAACCGCGAGAAAGATACTCAGCAGAAAAACCAGCTTATGAAATAGGCTGTGGTTTAGTTTCACTTCTCTCCTTACTGTCTAAACTCAGCAAAACAGACAACCAAATCAAACCAGTTAGCATGGGAAAATAATTTCAGTAAATAAATAAGATGGTCCAATTGTGCTTGATGCTGCCACGGTGAATTTATTCACCAGGTAGGTCAGCGTTACTCAGCCTCAGCAACTTTTAAGGTAGTTCGCTAAACTAATCTCCGCTTCCGAGGAAAAATAAAACGGGACTGAAGAGCTCAACCTCACCCTCTCTGGAAATATTATAGCATTGTGTCCCATTTCATGGGGGGGGGGAGCTAAGGGGCTCCCCAGAGTGAAAGCCCTGCCTGATAAGGGGTGGGATGGGACCTCACTGTAAAGAAACAGGCCAGAGATTTGCCTCTGGGCTGCATTCCAAACAGGTTCGTCCTTGCATGATTAAAAGTAGTCCTCGTTTAACGACTGTCTTGTTTAGCAACTGTGTGACAGTGATGGAAAAGTAACTTTGCCACCAGTCCTTGCATTGGCAACTTTGCTTGGGGTCTGGAGGCTAAAACATGTGAGGAACAAGATATGTCTAGTCCAGGGGTAGGCAACCTTGGCTCTTTTATGACTCGTGGACTTCAACTCCCAGAATTCCTGAGCCAGCATGGCTCAGCTTGGAAACTCTCCCTTTCCCCTCAGCATGGCTGGCTCAGGAATTCTGGGAGTTGAAGTCCACCAGTCATAAAAGAGCCAAGGTTGCCTATCTCTGGCCTAGGCCTAGGCCACTTTATGACTCGTGGACTTCAACTCCCAGAATTCCTGAGCCAGCATGGCTCAGCTTGGAAACCTCTCCCTTTCCCCTCAGCATGGCTGGCTCAGGAATTCTGGGAGTTGAAGTCCACGAGTCATAAAAGAGCCAAGGTTGCCTATCTCTGGCCTAGGCCTAGGCCGCTTTATGACTCATGGACTTCAACTCCCAGAATTCCTGAGCCAGCATGGCTCAGCTTGGAAACTCTCCCTTTCCCCTCAGCATGGCTGGCTCAGGAATTCTGGGAGTTGAAGTCCACGAGTCATAAAAGAGCCAAGGTTGCCTGCCTCTGGCCTAGGCCTAGGCCGCTTTATGACTCGTGGACTTCAATTCCCAGAATTCCTGAGCCAGCATGGCTCAGCTTGGAAACTCTCCCTTTCCCCTCAGCATGGCTGGCTCAGGAATTCTGGGAGTTGAAGTCCACGAGTCATAAAAGGGCCAAGGTTGCCTACCCCTGGTCTAGGGGGTGACACGATAGCAGTGTTCCAATATCTGAGGGGCTGCCACAGAGAAGAGGGGCTCAAGCTATTCTTCAGAGCTCAAGAAGTAACAGATGGAAGCTTAACAAAGAGAGATCCAGCCTAGAATTAAGGAGAAATTCCCTGATATTGAGAACAATTAATCAATGGAAGGGCTTGCCGTGAGAAGTTGTGGGTGCTCCATCACTGGAGGTTTCTAAGAAGAGACTGGACAGCCATTTGTCCAGAATAGTATAGGACAGGGGTCTTCAAACTTGGCCCTTTTATGACTTGTAGACTTCAACTTCCAGAATTCCTCAGCCAGGCACGCTGGCTGAGGAATTCTAGGAGTTGAAGTCCACAAGTCATAAAAGGGCCAAGTTTGAAGACCCCTGGTATAGGATCTCCTGCTTGTGCAGGGGGTTGGACTAGAAGACCTCCAAGATCTCTTCCAGTTCTGTTATTCTGTTATTATTCTGTTACAATGCAAAGGAAAGCTGAAGTACATTGATCAGCACAATTGCACTTGGCCTTATCAACTGCTTCGCTTAACAACTGGGTTGCCTATCTCAATTGTGGTCGCTCCACGAGGACAACCTATATTCCAATTTTTCCGGAGCTCTGAAGGCTAATGAGATGCTTTCCCATCACGTACCCTCGAAGCAGGATAATTCTCTTGAGAATCACTGGAAAACAGTACTCTGCTTCAATCTACGTTTTTGTCTTATTTCAGTCAAACAGGGAAAATCAGAAGAATGCCCTATCCAGTGATGTATGTGAATGAGGTAGGCACTGCTCAAGCATCCCCACCTTCCCCCTGGAATTTGTAAGGATGTTCTCTGAATCTGGGACGGGAACTGGAGAACGGTTGCAGGAACTGGGCATGTCTAGTTTAATGAAGAGAAGAATTAGGGGGGACGTGATAGCAGTCTTCCAATATCTGAGGGTCTGCCACTAAGAAGAAGGGAGTCAACCTATTCTCCAAAGTGCCTGAAGGCAGGACAGGAAGCAATAGATGGAAACTAACCAAGGAGAGAAGCAACCTAGAACTAAGGAGAAACTTCCCGACAGTGAGAACAATTAACCAGGGGAACAACCTGCCTCCAGAAGGTGTGGGTGCTCCAACATTGGAGGTTTTTAAGAAGAGATTGGCCAACCATTTGTCTGAAATGGTTTAGGGTTTCCTTCCTGAGCAGAGGGTTGGACTAGACCAGTGGTTCTCAACCTTTCTAATGCCGCAACCCCATAATACAGTTCCCCATGTTGTGGTGACCCCCAACCACTTATACATCACCGGGTACCAGGGGCATGGCCAAAGAAAAGGGGGGGAAAATGGCGGACAGTCTTGTTTGGCGACCCCCGTGAAATGGTCGTTCGACCCCAAATGGGGTCCCTACCCACAGGTTGAGAACCACTGGACTAGATGGCCTCCAAGGTACCTTCCAACTCTATTATTCTGACTTTTCATGCATGGTAGACCGGGACCTGTTGAACATTTCAGCCTCAACTCTTAGGAGGAAGCGTCAGTCTATTGATCAGGAAGTCCATGAGAAGGAAGAACCAGCATCTCACAGAGTTGCCCCCCATCCTAATATACTCAGTCATAAATAAAGGTTGGAGTATGCTTACCTGGTTTGCCCCAAGCCTCTTCTACTGGCCTTAAATCTGGGGCTCAGCCTTCTTCTTCCAAAGCCAGACGTGACCACAGGGGTATGGGCAGATAAAGCCAAGATGTGTCCCCTTCTCCATCTCCTTGTTTGTTCTTTCCCTTCTCAGAGTTATATGCTGGATGATATGAATGCAGGAAAACTCCGGGCTGTTTTGCTTGAATCCAATCTGGTCCAAGCTGTCCCATTCATCGTGTTGGCACTAGGAATTATTTGTGGAGCAGTGGTTCTGGGAGTCACCTATTGGCCCAGAGGGAAAAAAGAGGAGGTAAGGTTGTTGGTGGGTCTGCTCATTTCCCTGTTATTTTATTTTAGAAGCAACTTCCTTGCTTCCTATCTTTTCCTTCCTTCTTTCCTTCCTATCTTTTCCTTCCTTCCTTATTTTCTTCCTATTTTTTCCTTTCCTTCCTATCTTTTCCTTCCTTCCTTATCTTCCTTCCTCATTTCCTTCCTATCTTTTCCTTCTTTCCTTCTTTCCTTCCTATCTTTTCCTTCCTTCCTTCTTTCCTTCCTATCTTTTCCTTCCTTCCTTCCTTCCTTCCTTCCTTCCTTCCTTCCTTCCTTCCTTCCTTCCTTCCTTCCTTCCTTCCTTCCTTCCTTCTTTCCTTCCTATCTTTTCCTTCCTTCCTATCTTTCCTTCCTTCCTTCCTTTTCCTTTCTTCCTTCTTCTTTCCTTCCTATCTTTTCCTTCCTTCCTTCCTTCCTTCCTTCCTTTCCTTCCTATCTTTTTCTTCCTTCCTCCCTCCTTTCCTTCCTATCTTTTCCTTCCTTCCTTCTTTCCTTCCTATCTTTTCCTTCTTTCCTTTCTTCCTTCTTTCTTTTCTATCTTTTCCTTCCTTCCTTCTTTCCTTCCTATCTTTTCCTTCCTTCCTTCCTTCCTTCCTATCTTTCCTTCCTTCCTTTTCCTTTCTTCCTTCTTTCCTTCCTATCTTTTCTTTCCTTCCTTCCTTCCTTCCTTCCTTCCTTCCTTCCTTCCTTCCTTCCTTCCTATCTTTCCTTCTTTCCTTCCTATCTTTTCCTTCTTTCTTTCCTTCCTCCTTTCCTTCCTATCTTTTCCTCCTTTCCTTCCTATCTTTTCCTTCCTTCCTTATTTTCTTCCTATTTTTTCCTTTCCTTCCTATCTTTTCCTTCCTTCCTTATCTTCCTTCCTCCTTTCCTTCCTATCTTTTCCTTCTTTCCTTCTTTCCTTCCTATCTTTTCCTTCCTTCCTTCTTTCCTTCCTATCTTTTCCTTCCTTCCTTCCTTCCTTCCTTCCTTCCTTCCTTCCTTCTTCCTTCCTTCTTTTCTATCTTTTCCTTCCTTCCTATCTTTCCTTCCTTCCTTCCTTTTCCTTTCTTCCTTCTTCTTTCCTTCCTATCTTTTCCTTCCTTCCTTCCTTCCTTCCTTCCTTTCCTTCCTATCTTTTTCTTCCTTCCTCCCTCCTTTCCTTCCTATCTTTTCCTTCCTTCCTTCTTTCCTTCCTATCTTTTCCTTCTTTCCTTTCTTCCTTCTTTCTTTTCTATCTTTTCCTTCCTTCCTTCTTTCCTTCCTATCTTTTCCTTCCTTCCTTCCTTCCTTCCTTCCTATCTTTCCTTCCTTCCTTTTCCTTTCTTCCTTCTTTCCTTCCTATCTTTTCTTTCCTTCCTTCCTTCCTTCCTTCCTTCCTTCCTTCCTTCCTTCCTTCCTTCCTATCTTTCCTTCTTTCCTTCCTATCTTTTCCTTCTTTCTTTCCTTCCTCCTTTCCTTCCTATCTTTTCCTCCTTTCCTTCCTATCTTTTCCTTCCTTCCTTCCTCCTTCCTTCCTTCCTTCTTTCCTATCTTTTCCTTCCTTCCTTCCTTCCTTCCTTCCTTCCTTCCTTCCTTCCTTCCTTCCTTCCTTCCTTCCTTCCTTCCTTCCTTCCTTCCTTCCTTCTTTCCTCACCTACCTGCTTGTTCATTCTAGGGAACAGGTTTAATAGACCCACAGTAAATACGTCTCAGCAACATTCTGCTGGTAACTTATATCTCATGGTAAGACAAGCAAACTTCGCCTCTTCTTGGGGTCTCCAAACTAAGGGCCAACGAGGGAACTCTGAAATCTTAAAACTTGGTTTTGCACATGTACCAGCCACTTAGCGGCATTGTGACTTCTATGGGCGCAGAAATTCCTATTGGTTAATTAAAATTGTATCTCATAAATGATTACTATCCCTTACTTTGAGCTCAAGCAGGGACTATTTGGAACTTTGAGCATCACAAAGTAGAAATTATACATGTGTGAACCAGTTTTGAGATTTAAATTGTTCTGCTTTAATAACCTAGGCCACTCTCAGCTCTCTGTAGATTACAACAGCCTTGGGATGGCTTAGCTGGAGCCATTTAAAAATGAAACTAAGGTGATATCCTAGATTAATCAGGCCATTTATTACTTTTTAACACTGGTGCTTGCATAAAAATTGCACTTCACGCATGGTTGGCCATGAAAGCCATTCTCTTCTATGTGCCAAAGGGATACCGTAACACCAACTAGATCCATTTTTCCCAACCTTGGCCAATTTGAGAGTGTGGACTTCAGCTCCCAGAATTCCCCAGCCAGCAAGCTTCCACAGTGGGGCATATGGCAGCCACCCTCCCCAAGGGCCCCACATCAGGAAACCTTTGTCATTTCAAGTGGCTGCTGAACGAATGCTCGTAAGTCGAGGACTGCCTGTGATGATGGAGAGTAGGAGTAATTTTGAGGAACTGAAGAAAGAGCTGCTACCAAAATGGCGGCCAGAGAAAAGAAACCCGAGTCTGAGCTAGAAGAGTAATTCGAGAAAGCGTCTCCGGCAGGATCCTCTCTATGGTTCTCGCAAAGATAAAGGGAAGGATGGAGGAAGAGCATTCCAACTTGCAAAGTTCTATTACTGGAGCCTTATCATAAAAGTCACGTTAGCCTTCATAACTCTGGCTTCCTACTCTGGTCCACCCTGAAAAGCTAACATATATCTAGGACAGGGGTTCTCAACCTTGGCAACTTTAAGACTTGTGTACTTCAACTCCCAGAATTCCTCAGCCAGCAAAGCTGGCTGAGGAATTCTGGGAGTTGAAGTACACAAGTCTTAAAGTTGCCAAGGTTGAGAACCCCTGATCTAGGAAGTTACCCCCTCTTTTTTTTTCTACATAACTATTAGGTGGGCCCTTGCACAGACTGGGGAGAAGCTAGACTCCCCCCCCCCCCGTCTTAAGTTGAGCATCCCCCCAGATAAGTAATTCTTGATTTACAACAGTTTGTTTAGTGACCGTTCGAAGTTACAACGGCACTGGGAAAAAGGGACGTATGACCGTTTTCCACACTTAGCGCCCGTTGCAGCATTCCTCAGGGGTCACGTGATCAAAATTCAGATGCTTGGCAACAGACTCCTATTTATGACGGTCTCGACGTCCTGGGATCACGTGATCCCCTTTTGCGACCTTCTGGCAAGTAACGTCAGTGGGCACACCTGATTTCCCTGGTACTAATTTAACGACTGCAGTGATTCACTTAAGTGCGGTGGGAAGAAAAGTCAATAAGATGAGGCAAAATTCACTTCAACGACTTTCTCAGAAAGTTTGTGCTCCATTGTGGTCGTGATTCGAGGGTCTACCTTGGGTAGGCAACCTGGGCTCTTTTATGACTCGTGGACTTCAACTCCCAGAATTCCTGAGCCAGCATGGCTCAGCTTGGAAACCTCTCCCTTTCCCCTCAGCATGGCTGGCTCAGGAATTCTGGGAGTTGAAGTCCATGAGTCATAAAATATCCCTGAACTAGGGGCACCCTTGTGAATAAGGACCCTCAAATCCAGCCAGGACTTGGAAGAGACACACTGAGGTTTGGCTCTTTTATGACTCGTAGACTTCAACTCCCAGAATTCCTGAGCCAGCATGGCTCAGCCTGGAAACCTCTCCCTTTCCCCTCAGCATGGCTGGCTCAGGAATTCTGGGAGTTGAAGTCCACGAGTCATAAAAGAGCCAAGGTTGCCTACCCCGGGTCTACCTATTCATACAGGACAGGCGAGGAGGAACCTCTGAGAAAAGGACTTCCTGCTTTGACTTCTGGGTGCTGCATATTCTAAGCAGGGGTCCCAAACTGTGAGAGGACCCCCCCCCAACATTCTGTGCTGGGGTATTTCTTGGGCTTGATCTATGGGTCTGTAGGGCTTTAACTGGTCTGAAGAGTGGAGGAAAACTAGAAGGGGTTCCTGTAGTCGCTCGGTTCACAGTGCCATGCTCACTTTTCTGATCTTTAAAGGGATTTATAAATATTGCTCTTCAGGGATCCTATAGATTTGGTTAGGCCTGGTCTAGTGGCTCTGGTGAAGGTACTTTACTAGCTGGGTTTACCTTTCTTTTAAAACAGCTTGGTGTTTTTACATATTCTTGGGAAAGGAACAAGGTAGGTTTAAAGAGATGTTCTCCTCAGCATTGGGAACCCAAAGGTAGGTTGTGCTTGTTTCATGTTTTTAGAGCCCAGATCGAAAGATCCACCGACTCACCCAAACTTTGCGGCTGAATTGCAGCTGAATTCAGCAATCCAATATTGTTACCTCTGGCTAATGTGGTCTTCTCGTATTCACATTCCTTGCTTGAGTAGTAAACATGGGGAAAAAAAACCAGACCAACACTTTTCTCCTGCTGTAGGAATACAACAGCTCAGGGAAATAACAATTTAGCTAAAAACATCTCCCTGCTGGCGCCACTTCTCACCAGAAATTGATTTAAAAGGCCATTTGAACATGTGACCCTTTCCCTGTAGTCTAAGATAGGACTGTCTTTGGAACACAATGCCACTGTAGTTCAGATTGTGTGGGGTCCTTGGTACTCTCTGAGCTCGGTTGTTTCCTTGCAGATGTTTCATGACCCAACTAGGTAACATCATCAGTGCTAGAAAGGAGTGGGGTTGCTCTCTGTTTCTATACAAATGGCTTCCCCGGTCAATATTGATGGGAATTTTCTGGATGGTCCCTTGATTATTGTTTATTGTTTGATTCAGAGGTCCCGAACCTTGGCAACTTTAAGACTTGTACACTTCAACTCCCAGAATTCCTCAGCCAGCCAAGCTGGCTGAGGAATTCTGGGAGTTGAAGTCCACAAGTCTTAAAGTTGCCACGGTTGGAGACTCCTGCTTTGATTGTTTGTCAGAGTTGATTGGGAAATTGTTTCTCGCTTGATGGTCTAGAATTAATCTTGGCATTAATCTCTGTTTATCTGGGTGTTGATTGCTGAGTAGCTTTTCGGTTGTCGCTTTTTGAATGGCACGTAGATGTTGTTTACCTCTATGTGACTGTTGAGGGCAGATTTGTCTGGAGTGCTAGGCTTCCAGGAATTCTCTAGTGGTTTTGGACTTAGCTTGGCCTTGGATGCTCACAGTTTCCCAGCTGAAATTATAGTAAAGTCGGCCTATGTTTTTATATACTAGTGGCTTGCCCTGTCAGTGTTGGTGAGACACTTCTGTGTTGGTGGGACACTCTTTTCTAGCACTGATACTTACTCAGGTAATGAAGCATCTGCAAGAAAAATGTTGTGATTCCATGCCAGCCTGTGATCCCGGTAGGTCAGTGGTTCTCAACCTGTGGGTCGGGACCCCATTTGGGGTCGAACGACCATTTCACGGGGGTCGCCAAACCACGCTGTTCGCCATTTTTTTCCCTTTTCCCTAGCTGTCCTACTCTCTCTTATTGGTGGCCACACCCACTTGGGGGTCACCACAACATGGGGAACTGTATTATGGGGTCATGGCATTAGAAAGGTTGAGAACTACTGCGGTAGGTGAATCTGGGGAATCAGAGGAGGAGGAGGAGGAAAGGCCTGGAGAGCCATCAGAGTCGGAGGGAGGCTCTGATGAGCTGCAGGACTTACAAACTAATGAAGAGGCTGGTCCTTCCACTCGTGATCAAGCTGAGAGCCAGCTGTGCTGGGAAGCTGAGTCGGACTTGGAGGAAGCACAACTGGAAGACCTCAGAGACACTCATAAACCTAGACAGGTCACACGAGTAGGACAGAGGGAGACAATGGGGCGACTCCAGGTTAGGAGGAGAAAGCAGTGAGAAGCCACGCCTTGGGGGCTGCGTAACAAAAAGGGAATGTGTGGGCAGGGCTGGTTGCTGGAGGCAACCGTTGGCAAAGAACTTCAGTGTCAAGAGATCATGGTCTGTCTGTTTTGCCTGTGAGTTATTTCCTGTTTGACTCGTGCTCCGTTTTGCTTTTGGACAAGGTCTCCATAGGAAAAATGTCCTGTTGCTTTTGTTTTCTGGGACAATTATCAGGTCTGTAACTCAAATAAAAAGGGTTTATTTTCCAATCTACTGTTAAAGAGGGGTTGTCTTTGTGAAGTAACATTCGTAGGCTGGGACAGAACAAAAACCACCAAGCTCAGAGAGCATCACAGACCCCACCTCTGCACCCTGAGCTGCAAATATCCCCTTCTATCAGATCAGCTTAGTTAGAGACCACTTATCAACAATTTATCTGTGAACCGGACTTGAGAAAAAGTCTGCTTGGATTCTGCTGAGCTTTGCCAACTCCAGCAAAGTTGCAGAAGCCGATAGATGAAATGAGTTGTATAAACACAATCTCTTAAATTAACGCTTCTTCTTCTTCTTCTTCTTCTTCTTCTTCTTCTTCTTCTTCTTTGCCTCCCCTAACAACAGAGTACCGTTGATGAAAGAGCTCCACTTATCCGGACTTAGCCCGATTTCCCTAACCACACACCACGTGTACAAAAAAGAGCTTCACGATGATGACTGAACAGGGCAAACATTTTTAACTGCCACCACAATCTACCACTTCAACAGCTCCCTTGAAGTAATCCTCTCTTTAGCATTTAGTAACCATCTGCTTCTGAGGAAGGAGGGCATTTGTAAGCTAAATCTGAACTGAGGGCAGAATTGCAGGCTTAATAAGGGTTAGTTGGACCCCATTTGCCGCTGCTTTCCCAGCGCGTGAAACTAGCAGTATTTCACTACAATTGCGTTATTTGTTGGACTTCTGGAATTGCACCTGCAGCTGGATCCCTGTTGGCTTATAGGAGGTGCCATGAAAGAGGACGTCAACCTTGATATCCTTGTTAATTTAGGAGGTTTGCTAGCACAGCCTTGTCCTGCCGTAATTTGATTTCTTGGTGAATCTTACGGGCCAGATCTACTCAGGAGTTTTACTTTTCACCTAGTGTAAATCTTTGCACTGGAAAAGGACAAAAAAAAAAAAAAAAGAGGAATAATTCTGCATACAATTTTTCTACAATTTTCCATTTTTGTTCAGGCCGTCAGATGTCCCATTCACTGTTTGTTTTTTAAAGTTTCCTTTTGAGGTAAAGTCTCAGATTGGCTTTTACCAACCTGGCACCCTTTTTAGAGAACACCAAATTGAAGTAGGCTGGCTCAGGTATTCGATAGTGAATTCTCTCCTATTTCTGTATCTATGGAAATAGAGTTTAAAAGATCCAGCCTCTAGGCCAAAAGATGTATTGGGATTCTAATTATTATTATTTTTTTTAAAGCACACACACAAAGTATGTTTGAAGGAGCCATCTCTTACAAACTGGACATATTTTCCAAGAATACAAATCTCCATTTGTGAAGGTTGTTTTCCCTCCCCCCCCCTCTCTCTCTCGTGTCTCCTTTAAAAGTGATTTGGGAATAACGGATTTATTTTCTAAATCCGGCTTTTCAAGATCTAAAGGCTGCTCCCTCAGAGGCATCCAGATGTGCAGTGATTTCCCCCTTCAACCCAGGAGAGAGAAGGGATCAGAGTCTCCACCGTTACAGCCAAAATGGAATTGAAACCCTGCGGGCCGAAGCCTCTGATTGTCAAGTTAACGTGCTTGTTTTGAGGGAAAAAAGGGAAGCTTTACATGATCATTCATTTGCACTGGAGGGAATGAGAAGGGAGCCGACGTCTTTGTTGAGGGAACTGCACTGATTTGGTGAAGGGATGCTGGAATCCTTTTTTGGGATGGTCCTAAAAGTGAAAAGTAGTAGCCAGTAATTTTGGTAGTAGCATCTGGCTAACCCTGCTTGGGAACATACATTGTGCTTGATCATTCGGAGAGGAGATGACAAGGAAAAACCAAGACATATTATGGAAGTTGGGAAAACAAATTCTGGAAGAAAGTGACGGCAAACTATATTTTTCCCAGGAAAACAACTTGGATGTCCATGAAGACACCAGGAGTCAAACTCAACTTGAACACCATTTTTTTTCCTATTAAGGAAGCAGTGAAAACAGATGCTGTGTCCTGATACTTCTCTGTCCTTCATTTCTGTAGTGTAGGGGTAGGCAACCTTGGCTCTTTTATGACTCGTGGACTTCAACTCCCAGAATTCCTGAGCCAGCCATGCTGAGGGGAAAGGGAGGTTTCCAAGTTGAGCCATGCTGGCTCAGGAATTCTGGGAGTTGAAGTCCACGAGTCATAAAAGCCAAGGTTGCCTAACCCTGCTGTAGTGTATCACTTGAATTATTACCTGAAGTCTCACTACGATACTCATAGTTCCCAAATGTCCAATTATTGGAATTCTACTGTTAGAAAAGAAATGGTTCCTTGAATTTGCAATCTTAAAATTCTCCCGTTGGATTAGGATAGATTCCCATGGCTTTTGCTGTATCCATTGTATTCCTTTAATTAATCTTTAAAAAATGGTTTTCCTGGATCCTACTCAGTATCCCTTAGCCTGGGCGTTTCATTACCAGTTGTGCCAGGTAGAGTCCTGGGAAGTTAACCAAGCTTGAAGGTGACGTCTGTGGTAGAATTAATCTAAGAGATCAGAGGTACATGCTTTACAAACCTACAATGGTGGTTTTCTCTGAGGTTGGGCAAATTATGCAACCTAACGTTTGAGAAATTAAAGTCTGAATATCAACATTTTTTCAGCTCAGAAGTGAAAATGTCATATTACGGTGCAAAAAGTTCTTGCAGGAAGGGAGACAGTTTTGAATATTTGCGGAGACAAGGAAAAAGCATTTAATAATATATTGCAGTCTTAGGAGCCCAGTAGTTCTACTACACAATACCGTAGATCAAGATTGTGGACCTGGTCTATTCTGCATGGATAGCTTTTAGCCTAGGAGTGATATAACTGGCAGATTATAGGCACAGTGAAATTACTCTTGCTTTCAAAGGAGAGTCCTCTGTCACAATTACAAAAAAAATGGCCTTTGGAAAAGTTGGCCTGCTAGTCTCTTTAGGGTCCTTGGTGCTCTCTGAGCTTGGTTGTTTTCTTGTGGACGTTTCATTGCCCAACTAGGTAACATCATCAGTGCTAGAAGGGAGTGGGGTTTGTTCTCTGTTTATATATAGTTGGCTAGTTGGATAGTGAAACATTGGCAAGAAAACCACCAAGCTCAGAGAGCACCAAGACCCTCAAGTTTCAAATATTTTCTTCTGTTTGTTAGTCTCTTGCTTTTGATCTGTTAAAAACTAGATGTGATCACATATGGGATTAGTAATTGACTCTCTGGGTAGCAGCTTTCAATATGCAAGGTTTGTAATAGCTGTTAATAAAGCAAAGGGTTAGTTTCTCCTCTTTTCAAAAAGATTAGACAATTTAAGACAATTTGCAGGGGAAAACCACAACTGGATTTTGGTACAGGACTGAGCTGCTTGTGAAGTCAGAACAAATCGAATCTCAAGGACCTAAATGTGCTTGGAATGTTGCTTATTTAATTTTAAACATCTTTTTATAGCTGGCTATAATTGATGGATGGTTGGGGGTTTCTTGTTAAGAAAAAAACAACATTAAAGTCTCCCTACTCTTGAAACCGATATAACTGACAAATGTGTGTGCTGCTGAAGATGATGGATATATTTAAAAGCCAGACTTTAGGATCTAGTAGTCCCAAATAGATTTTCCTATTTTTGATGGTCAAGGCAATTGCTGCTGGTACTTAAGGCCTAGTTGCTTCCCTTGCACAAATTTAGAGATGATGGGCACCATTTGCAAGTTGCTTGCCATTGTTTCTGCTCTTGACATTGAGGCTCACCCCAAGTTCCCAGGAATTTGCAGGTTCCTTGTAATCCAACTGGACATAACTACCAATATGAGTCCTGCAGTTGCACAAGTGTGGATGTGTGCATTGACCAACGTACCGTCTTGGGCTGAAACCATTAGACTGCTCTCTTTAAAATGATTCAAGTCCTCTTCAATTATACAAGCCAAGATCCGGCTGAATCACATTTATCTAATGCTTCTCTTAACTCAGAAAGAGCTTCTGACGTCTCTGTATTCTACAAGTTGCACCAAGTACACTAGTATTAACTCCTTTAGAAGATGGGAAGCTAAGATTGTGCCATAGCTGCTTTTCCATGGTTGTGTTATTGAGTTGATGACAAGCGCTGGCCTTAAAAACAGTCTTGTGTCTCCCTGAAGACTAACACACTTTTATGGCATGTTGGAACTATTCAAGCAGTAAAAGATGTTTTTGTTGTTTCCTTTCGTTATCTTATGTCTTAAAAGGGAAAATGCATTTCATGCTCAGGTGGGCTGGGTGAAAGGGAGGGGTGAGGGAGGGAGAAGGAAGGAAGGAAGGGAAAAATGGGAGGGAGGAAAAATAATGGAAGGAGGGAGGGAGGAAGAAGAGAGGGAAGAAAGAAAGAAATAATGAAATGGAGGGAGGAAAGAAGGAAGACTTTCGTATGATGATACCGAATACATAACTAGCCCAAAAGTTTGATTAGGCATGCTTCTAAAAGCGTGATGCTCATCACCAATATTATTTCATATCCATTTAAAAAATAAAATTTAATTTGACTTCTGCACTTCACGTTTAGCTTTGGAAGCTAAATTAACCAGCGTGACTTATGAACTGGCACTGAATGGTGCTCGATGCAAATTCTACAACTGCTTGTTAGAAGATTATTCAGCGTGTGCGCCAAGCAGATCTTGGTAAATTGGGATTTAAACAAAAGAACATTATTAATAAGTTAACAATATTCTTAAAATCACTCGGAAGTCGCCATCTAGCTCAAAAATAAGCGAGCATGGATACAAACAAGTACAGGTAGTTCTCGACTTAGAACGGTTTAGTGACTTCAAAGTTGCAACATCACTGAAAAAAGTTAACGGGACCATTTTTCACAACCGTTGCAGCATCCCCATGGTTACATGATAAAAATTCAGACTTTTGGCAACTGACTTCTATTTATGATGGTTGCAGTATAATGTAAATCGCCTTTTGCAACCTGACAAAGTCAATGAAAAAGGCAGGCATTACTAACTTAACAATTGTAGTGATTCACTTAACAACTGTGGCAAGAAAGGCTGTATAATGGGGCAAAATTCACCTAACGTTTCACTTAGCCACAGAAATTTTGGGCCCAATTGTCATAAGTCGAGGACTATCTGTAATATAATAAATTGAAAGCAGAGAAAAGATTTGCAATTCTCTTCCAATCCGTAAGGGGGCGCATCGCCCACATTTTGATTGAAGCCGTAGTGTTATGAGTCGCTCTGTAATTTTGGAACTCGGATAACGGCTGCCTCATGGCGTTACTCACGAACAGCGCGCGGATGACGTCCCTCGCTCCGCCCAGTTGCCGGAGCAACCATCAAGCTCCGTGCAGCCGGTTCTCACGCCCGCGTAAACGTCGGCCTTCATTCATAGAGCTAGAAATAGAAGAGTCGCACCTCCGCAATGATTTAATGAGTTTTGCATCTAGATTCCTACCTCAGCCCATTCCTCTTCCGAAATTCAGATGACCATGAATCGAGCCTTTCATCCTCCAACGACGCCGTGAGGAGCCAACGGATTTCCATTAATTTAGAATCGGAAATTGCGAATCTGAGCTCTACTCTACATCTTTTTCGTAGATCTATAGTCCGCCTTCGGCCCTTCTCTCTGGGGTCACGGTTTCCGCCCGGACGAAAGAGGCGACCGGACCTTTGGGGGACTCGGCGGTTGATCGTGCCTCTCTCGGCGCTGCCTCATGGCTTTCAACTTCGGGGCGGCTGCTGGCGCCGCGGCCGCCCCAAACCCCGCGGGTGAGTGCGGAGGCGGGGAGGGCCGCCAGAAGGCCTTGCCGAGACGAGCGGGGAGGGGGGAAGGGAGGGAGTGCTGCACCCGTTGAATGGCCTGCCTGGCTCTTGAAACCCTTGCGGGGAATGGAGGAAGGAGGGAGGGAACCCGCCGGCGTCTCTTGCGTGAGGTGATAGTGTATGTTTATTAAACCGCCGATTGCCTGAAGAAAAAACAAGAGGAAAACGAGCGAGGAAAATAAAATTACCTCACCCAAAGGAAAATAGAAGGGCGGGGGGTGTCAGGGGCCAATTGGTTTGAGGCGGCTTCCAGGAATGCCAAATGTAAATAAATAAATTACATTTTTGCAAGTTTTCGTCAGCTGGGGCTGGCAGGCAGCTGGTTGGGGTCCCTGTCTAAACCGGCTGCCTACGAGCCCCAGCTGACGAAAACTTGCAAAAAATGTAATTTATTTATTTATATTTGGCACTTCTGGGCCGCCCATCTGTCTCCCTCCGAGAGGGACTCTGGGCGGTGTCCAGGACAGGATCAAGGTATAAAATGGCGATATGAGAATTCAAAAGTTAAAAGGTTAAAAGGTGGTACAATTATAAGAAAATCCCACATCTAACCTTGGCGATCTGTGGCCCTCCAAGCTTTGGGGACCCTTGCAGTGACTTTCCATGGTCCTGTTGATGGGGGGGAGGAGGAGGAGGCTGATGGGAATCCATGTTCCTATATTCCTGCTATTGGTTTTCTTGTATTTTGGTAATTAAATGGTTTTATTGCTTAGAAGATGTCTGATTTCTCACTGACTCTATCTTGCTTTCTTTATGCTTCCCACTCATCAGGATTTGGTGGGCTTGAAGCAGCAAATTCCTCTGCCACTGGGTTTAATTTTGGGGGTTTTGGATTAACTGCTAATCCTGCCGTGAATTTTAATATTGGGAATTTTGGTGTCTCTACTACTTCGGCGCCACCGTTTAATTTTGGTAACAGTCTGGCCAGCGCAGGTAGAGAATATTCATGTGATGCTCGTAATTATTTTGTTTCTGATCCAAGAATTCAGTTTACACTTCCCAGTTTTTGAAAGTTCATGGGCAAGTTGCGTTAAAATCCGTAAGAAGTTCTTCAAGCCAAAATTTGACAAAATATTTCTCGGCTTTTATTATTCATTTTAAAAATAATTTACGTGTGATTTCTACCTAAAATGCTTTATTTGTAAAATAAAACTCTGAGATGCCTTTATTGGTGAGGTAGACAGCATATAAATTTAACACATAAATTGTATAGACTACACTAATCTGTTATGACTCTGGGTGGCTTACAAAATATATTGGAAAAATAGTCTGCTTCACAATGAGATGGGCAGCAATAAGGAAAAATAATAATTAAACACATTTATCAAAAGACCAGCATAATAACAGTCAAAAGCAGAACATTGTTCAGGGGTCCATCATCCACCTTAGCACAAAGCCTGATGAAGATCCATTAAATAGTTCCAGAAATTTGCCTGATTTCTTCATTGTTTTATCGGTGATAATAACTACAAGATTCAGCAGTGCTTAGAGAGACAGGAATTATAATGAATATATGTTCTCATTTCTAACAGTAGCTGCATAAAAGAAAGCAGAAATCAAGTTAAATCTGCAGCCAAGGAATTAATGATTAACTGAGAGCTAATGTAAAATTTGCACAGAGCTTTAAGTTGATTTTTTAATGTATTTCCATTCAGATAATAGATGCATAGCAAAAAAGCACACAATCTTGCCAATGAAAGAGAGGGACACACATATATAAACACATGTGTAAATGTGTGCGTGTATAAGATATATAGTGTTCTGGCAAATATATTCTCAGTTATATTTCATAGTGTATGTTTTTGAGTCTGTCTACTCTATACAAACATGCTAATTGTTTTGAATCCATGTGGCTCAAGATTGAGACACATTTCCCCCCCATACGAAATTAGCCCAATTACCTTTAATACAATAGGTACACACAACTGTAATTCCATGGCATAAGGGCTAAATAGTTTCAAAATTTAAAGATATTCCTTTTCTGGTTTTTTTTTTTTTTGAATTCTTGGACTCTGCTACATTTATATATATTTTCCATTTCTTATGTCTCTTCACTGGATTTCAGTTATCATGAATCTACCATCTGTCTGTCAAGGTTCTGTGGAAAAACACAATTATATACGATTAGCACCCAAAACAACAAAAAAATCCCCCGCTGGCTTTGATTAAAAACATTCAATAACAAAGACTTTTTGTTTAAAAACAATCTATTTTTGCTGACTTTAATAGTAATTATCTCTGTACTTACCTCTACTCTTTTGTATATTTCTTTTGTAGTAAATGTTCTAGCTGCTCGTATATGATATGTTCATTCCGTGGTTCCCATCATTTCTGTACTATGTATGCAGACATTTCAACATTTAGTGTATTGTAGATTCATATTCATTGTTAAAGCAATCACTACCTTAAGTAATAATCCTAATAACACTGTTTTATGATTCATTGGAATTGTTTCCTCAGTAGGCATTTCCTGTGGAGCTGCTATTGCAAGGAAAAAATGCAGAAGGGGTACAGAACTACGATATGATCACTACAATTCATATAGAAACTGTGCTGCTTGTTTACATAGGCTCACAGAACTTGTAAAGGTGGCCCAACAGTTGTTGCTATCCAAGTAGCAATAACAAACGGCTTCTGATTCTTTCCATATTTGGAGAAGCCATTTAATAAATTCTGTTGTCCCTGTGCTTGAGGGAGCTCCAGAATTATTAATCCACTCCACTTTCTTATATATTGTGCAGCTTCATTAACATGTTCTTTCTCCTAGCCAACTGTGGCTGATCTGGAAAAGAAGCTTAACAGGATTTAGTTAGTATTTAGATGAAGGATAGCCTGGAAAACTGTAGGCTAGTTTGAGAGTTTGGGGGGGGGGGGAAATGTCCTGCAAGAGAACTATAATTAATCCCTCTGGTGTTCTTGTCAAGATAATACATGAACATGTTCATAAAGTTTCTAGGAATTGATTTTCCTTCCTTCCTTCCCTCCCTCCCTCCCTCCCTCCTTTCTTTCTTTCTTTCTTTCTTTCTTTCTTTCTTTCTTTCTTTCTTTCTTTTCTTCCTTCCCTTCCCTCTTCCTTCCTTCCCTCCCTCTTTCTTTCTTTCTTTCTTTCTTTCTTTCTTTCTTTCTTTCTTTCTTTCTTTCTTTCTTTCTTTCTTTTCTCCCTTCCCTTCCTTATTTCTTCCTTCCTCCCTTCCCTTCCCCTCTCTTCCCCCTTCCTTCCTTCTCATTCTTTTTTTTTTTTCCTCATTCCCACTCATTCACTATCAGTGACTCTGGGCACCTTACAAAAAGCCAATATACAACTTAACAAACATTAAAACCAATACCATCCCACACCCCCGGCAGCAACAGATAACCTGCTCGGTGGGCTCCATCCTGCTCTGGGCTCCCTAGGCCCATTGGCAAAACCAGAGGCTTGAGAAAGAGTGTCCAAGTGGGGGCCAATCTAACCTCCACAGAGATTGTGCCAAAGGGAGAGAATCGCCACGGAGAATGCCCTTCTTCTTCTGGGTCTCGCTAGGCTGTACCTCCTTAGTAAAGGGGACCCACAACATTTCATGCGTCTCCACTCTAGTGGGTCAGGTCTATATGACCAGGAAAAGACCGGCCTTCAAATAATTATAATTAAATTATTAAAAAAAATAATTGTTTTAATGGCATGGCGGGCTGGGGAATTCTGGTTAAAGTCCACACACCTTCAAGCGGTCTCACTGGCCTAAAGTAAATGTCTCACCTCTTATTTGAGTTATGAGCAAAGACTAGATTTTTTTTTTTAAAAAAAAGGGGGGTGGGGTTACAGGTGTATGTATATTTTCTCCAACCATAAAGTAACACTGGCTATTTTCTGCTGTCATTGGATCTTGCGTGAGTATCAGGCCACATCAGCCACATTCATTTGTCACCCGTCTCTCGAATACCAACCAGCATGCTTGTCATTGAACAATTCACTGCCTTGCAAGAAGTGACCCTCCTTTTAACTTTGGTATTTGGTTTCCCAGGAGCCTTTGGGGGCTTTGGAACCACCACCACCACCGCACCGGGGTCTACCTTTAGTTTCTCAACGCCGGTCAACACAGGTCAGTGCCCGGAAGTGACCAATGCAGAGGTGATTGGGCTTTTGCGGGTTGTCGCCTTCTCGGCTGATATTCTTTCTCCTTCCTCCAGGGCTGTTTGGAGCTACCCAGAACAAAACTTTTGGTTTTGGTACCAGCTTTGGAACAGCGGCAAGTACAGGAACTGGGCTTGGCACCGGCTTGGGATTTGGTGGCTTCAACCCTCAGCAGCAGCAACCAAGTAAGTACAGCAGTGTTTCCCAAACTTGACAATTTTAAGGCATGAGGACTTCAACTCCCAGAATTCCACAGCCAGCAACGCTGGCTGTGGAATTCTGGGAGTTGAAGTCCACATGCCTTAAAATTGTCAAGTTTGGGAAACACTGAAGTACAGGGAATCCTCGGCTTAACGACCACAGCGGAGCCCCAGGTTTCCGTTGCTAAGCAAGATGATTCTTAAGTAAAATTTTGCCCCATTTTTGTGGATTTTCTTGCCACCGTTGTTAAGTGAATCACTGCAGTTCAGTTAGTAACACGGTTGTGAAGTGAATCTGGCTTCCCTCCCCATTGACTTTGCTTATCAGAAGGTGGCCAAAGGTGATCACATGACCCCCCAGGACACGGCAACCGTCATAAGCATGAGTCAGTTGCCAAGTGTTCGAATTTTGATCACCTGACCATGAGGATGCTGCCATGGTTGTAAGTGTGAAAAACAGTCATAAATCACATTCTCAGTGCCGTTCTGACCTCATACGTTCAATAAATGAATTGTTATAAGTCGAGGACTACCTATATAGAGAGGTTAAACATTTCCAAAGAGATTATCTAAACTAGTTCTCAACCTTTTTAATGCCGTGACCCCCAACCGGTCGTAAGTCGAGGACTACTCAACCGGTCATAAATTGAGGACTACTCAACCGGTCAGCACCGTTTGTAGAATGGGGCTTTTGGCGGGCTCAGCAGGGCAGAGACAGCCTGGACAATTCCTTTTGGCTTTTGAAAGCCAATAGAATTAGACTCTATTCAAGAGAGTCTATTCTACTGGCTTTCAAAAGCCAATAGAATAAAAGGGAGTAGCACAGCTAAGGAAAAGGGGAAAAAATGGCGGACTGCATTGTTTGGCGACCCCCGTGAAATGGTCGTTCGACCCCAGATGGGGTTCCAACCCACAGGTGGAGAACCACTGATCTAAACTCTCTGTGTTAAGCTGGAGAAATTTCCCTCTTCGAAAGGCAAAGATTTCTTCTTTTGACTGACTGCAGCTAAGAGGGGCAAAGCTATTGTTTCTCCCCCCCCCCCTTATAATCTAATAATCACCCTGTGGTCAAAGAGACCTTATCCAGAATCAATATTCCAATCAGAAGTCATCACAGCTATTTTTAAACAGGATTTTTCAAAAAAAAGATGCTAAAAGCGTTTTTGACGAAAGCGTGGAATAACATAGAGCTGTCATCATTGAAGTATTAATACCACTTTGCAATGCCTTGGTAAGGCCACACTTGGAATACTGCATTCTGGGGGTTGAAGTCCACGAGTCATAAAAGGACCAAGTTTGAAGACCCCCTGCTTTAAGGCATGTGGAATTCCCAGCCACAGGAATTCTGCAAGTTGAAGTCTACATGTCTCTCGAGTTCCCAAGGTTGAGAAACAGTGCTGTAGATTATGAAATACTTTTGAGGAAAACAAGAAGCATTGGGGGGCGGGGGTGAACCTCAGGATATTATCTTGGTAGATTTGATCTGCCTCTTAATCAGGGGTCCTCTCATCCAACCTTAGCACTCGGAGGTCTCTTCAGCCAACCGGCTCAAGCCCCCGCACAGTCCAATCACCTGATCCACACAGCTAGCGCGCTTTCCGCCCCCACCCTCTTGGGAGATGAGCGAGATGCCATTTTGGCCAAGTGGAATCAGCTGCAGGCATTTTGGGGCACAGGCAAAGGGTATTTCAACAACAACATTGCCCCGGTGGAATTTACGCAGGAGAATCCATTCTGCAGATTTAAGGTAGGTGGTCGTTCTCTTGTCCTTGTGTCTGGATTGCAGGGGTCTTCAAACTTGGCCCTTTGATGACTTGTGGACTTCAACTCCCAGAATTCCTCAGCCAGGCACGCGTGCTTGGCTGAGGAATTCTGGGAGTTGAAGTCCACAAGTCATCAAAGGGCCAAGTTTGAAGACCCCTGGTTTAGTTGGTTGGCTGTGGATGAACTGTTCCCTCTTCTGGGAATTATCTCTAATCTTCTCTGGGTCAGCCCAGTGTTAAATTTTAACGCTTGCTGAGTGCTGTGCTTGATAAAGAAAAAGAACCACTGAAAAGACAGTTGTCTCTTCACAGGCTGTGGGCTACAGCTGCATGCCCAACTACAAGGACGAAGATGGCTTGGTGGCGCTAGTCTTCAATAAAAAAGAAACCGAGATCCGTGGTCAGCAGCAGCAACTTGTGGAGTCGCTGCACAAAATCTTGGGTTCAAATCAGACGCTGACGGTCAACGTAGAAGGATTAAAGACCATGCCCGATGAACAGTAAGATTGGATAGTCTTATTTAAAACCAAAAAGAGCCGTGGTGGCGCAGTGGTTAGAATGCAATGCTCTGTGGGTGGGTTTTTTTTGCCCCAAACTGGAAGTAAACACTAGTTTTGGGCATAAATTGGGGTCACATGATTGTGGGTTGCTGCAAAATGGCTGTAAACGTGCGGGCCAGTTGCCAAGCACCCAAAATGCAGTCACGTGACCCTGGAGAGGCAGTCTTCAGAACTTCAAATCTGGGTCATGCGTCCCTTTTTCGGGGTCCATCCTAACTTTGAGCAGTTGCTAAGCGACCAGTCGTTAAGCCGAGGGCTGCCTGTACGTCCAATCTGAATCCTTTCACTGATCTTTTAGAACAGAAATCGTGATCTATGTGGTTGAGCGGTCGCCCAACGGCACTTCCAGGCGCGTTCCAGCCACCACCCTCTATGCGCACTTTGAACAAATCAACATCAAAGCCCAGCTGCAGCAGCTTGGCGTGACCCTCACCATGGCCAGGACGGAGCTCTCCCCAGCACAGGTGAAGCAGTTGCTGCAGCATCCTCCTGCAGGTAACCCAGGCTTGGGATGGATAACCAAGCCTTCCTGTCGTACGAGCGAGTGGATGAATGGCTATTTTTAAGGAGCGAAGGTTTGAGCGATTCTTGGAGCAAATGCCTTATCAAGGGAGAAAAACAGCTTCGTGAACAGGGTTCAGGAACTTTTGATTCTGATTTTAGCTGCAGTTTGGAAAGATTGCAAAAAGGTTTCTCACTAAATGGAAACTCATCAAGGAGAGAAGCAGCCTAGAACTAAGGAGAAACTTCCTGACAGTGAGAACAATTAACCAGTGGAACAACCTGCCTCCAGAAGTGGTGAATGCTCCAACACTGGAAGTTTTTAAGAAGAGATTGGACAGCCATTTGTCTGAAATGGTATAGGGTTTCCTGCCTGAGCAGGGGGTTGGACTCAGTGACCTCCAAGGTCCCTTCCAACTTTATTATTATTATTATTATTAAATCTCTGTGAGGTAGTTTGGACAATATTCTGCAGTTTTAAAAGATACCACCTCAGGACAGGAAGGAAAGAATGTTTGTTGAGTCAGTCAGCACTAAGCACGAAACCTCTCAGATGCTTCTACTTAAGAAAAAAAAGTCCCTGTGTTTGCATTACCTTTAAGCAAGAGAAATTCTATCATTCAATTGTCTTTGACTCATTAAAGAGAACTTCCATCCATCCATCCGTGATTTATATGGCTTCCCAAGTGACTCTAGGCAACATACAAACACACACACACACACACACACCCTCACCCTCGTAACGTACCATCCCCGGTATTCAAGGATCGGGGGTTCGTTACATGAATGAGTTCCAGAAATGAGATTATGTTATTTATTTACTTATTCATCAAATTTATATAGCTGCCCATTTCACCTGAGGCAAATATATAAATTTGCTTATGCACTCATCATTTCCCTGCACTAGAAGAGAGAAGCTGTACATAGGTCTGAGGGTCTGATTTAATTCTGGAAACCAGTTTGCATGCGAACATAAAAGGAAAAGCTCTTAGATCTTAATTGGCACGGTCTGTTTATTACTTCAGCTAGAACACGGGTAGGCAACCTTGGCTCTTTTATGACTCGTGGACTTCAACTCCCAGAATTCCTGAGCCAGCCATGCTGAGGGGAAAGGGGGAGGTTTCCAAGCTGAGCCATGCTGGCTCAGGAATTCTGGGAGTTGAAGTCCATGAGTCCTAAAAGAGCCAAGGTTGCCTACCTCTGGCCTAGGCCTAGGCCGCTTTATGACTTGTGGACTTCAACTCCCAGAATTCCTGAGCCAGCATGGCTCAGCTTGGAAACCTCTCCCTTTCCCCTCAGCATGGCTGGCTCAGGAATTCTGGGAGTTGAAGTCCACGAGCCATAAAAGAGCGAAGGTTGCCTATCTCTGGCCTAGGCCTAGGCCGCTTTATGACTCGTGGACTTCAACTCCCAGAATTCCTGAGCCAGCATAGCTCAACTTGGAAACTCTCCCTTTCCCCTCAGCATGGCTGGCTCAGGAATTCTGGGAGTTGAAGTCCACGAGTCATAAAAGGGCCAAGATTGCCGACCCCTGAGCTAGAATTTCAAGCATTTCCCCTAAACTTTAGAGGCCTAAGGATGAAAACATAACAGATAGTTCTTGTTACAAAGAAAGGGATCCCTTTGCCAGACCCTTTTTCTGATCCTTTGTGGTAGTAATAAAGATGGAGAAGAAATCAGTTCTGTTCTTCTCCCTTTACAGGTGTTGATCCGATCATTTGGGAACAGGCCAAAGTGGACAATCCGGATCCTGAAAAGTAAGTGGGGTCTGCAAGACGACACATAAAAAGTGCACCTTTACGAAGGGAATAACTGTTTTTCCAGAGGAGGGATGGAGAAATCGAAACACAGGTGGTCCTCGACGTACGGCCACAATTGAGCCCAAAATTTTCTGTTGCTAAGTGAGACGGTTGTCAAGTAAATTTTTACCCCATTTTATGACCTTTCTTGCTGCAGTTGTTAAGTTAGTAGCCCAGTTGTTTAGTGAATCTGGCTTCCCCATGGACTTTGCTTGTCGGAAGGACGCAAAAGGGGATCACAAGATCCCAGGACCCTGCAGTTGTCATAAATATAAGTCGGTTGCCGAGCGTCCGAATTTTGATCGTGTAACCATGGAGATGCCGCAGTGGTTGTAAATGTGAAAAATGCTCAGAAGTCACTTTTTTTAGTGTCGTTGTGACTTTGAACGGTCACTAATTGAACTGTTGTAAGTCGAGGACGACCTACAGTTGGTTCAGAAGACCAAAAAAGTAATAATAATAATTCTTGCCGCAAAGAGACTGTTTTGAATATTAGTTGTTGTTTAAGAGAGGCTTTTTTTCTCTCCTATATTCAATTAGTTTCCTTCTCATCAACGCAGTTTTGTTCTCCATTTCTTTTTTCCTTCTCTTCCTAAAGCAGCTAGCCCTTCTTAGTCACTCCCCCTTTGTCTTCTTTTTGTTAACGAGAAATAGCAATTTTGGTAAAGTTAACAATAACAAAGGCTCCTAGTTATCTCCAGAGGAGATCTCTGTTTTTTCCCCCTTTATGATGTTCAAAAGAGTTATTCCTTTACCCTGCAGATTTATAGCACTCGTTCTGTTTCCTCCGTGGCACCAACAGCATTTCATTTAAATTGATGTTTCTTAACCTCGACAACATTTTAAGATGTGCGGAGTCCCACTCCCAGAATTCCTCAGCCAGTATGACTGACTGGGGAATTCTGGGAGTTGGGAGTATACATGCCTCAAAGTCGCCGAGGTTGAGAAATAACCGGCGTAAATTATTTGTTCAATCTCCTGTCTGCAAGGTAATAATGGCCCCAGGACCAGACCACCTTTTAAATTGTGTTTTTTTATTTTTTGCATTTGTATCATCTTATTTTAGGATAAATAGTTGTATTGATAATCTCCTTAATTTTTAACTGCTCTCTGTATATCACACTGAGCTCCTTTAAGAAGAAGGGATAAAATCTGATGATGGCAACGGTCATTTTTGCTGAATCCATGCTCTTAACTACTTCTGCAGGCTGATTCCAGTCCCAATGGTCGGCTTCAAGGAACTCTTGCGGAGATTGAAAGTTCAAGACCAAATGACAAAGCAACATCAAAGCCGATTGGACGTAAGGATCCACTTTTTGAGCCCGCCCCTCTCTTCTGAAATATTTAAAAGCTTGACCAGGGTTGGTGAAGATGATAAGAGCCCTGGAGGTGGCTGCTAGATTGACAGCAGACCCCATCTCCCCTCCCTCTCGCTCTCTGCTCCCCGCTTGCCCATCTTTTTTACTAGTGATATTGATGTGTTTTCTTTGTTTTCTTTTTCTTTCTTGATTTAATTCTATTATTTTATTGTTTGTTATTTTATTTTCTACTCCCTTTTAGTTCTTCTTTTATTTAGCCCCTTGGTGAGATAGTCTAGGGCTTTTCAACCAGTGGTACAGGTACCACCTGTGGTACATTGGCACCTGGCAGGTGGTACGCGTGTCAGGGTTCCGACTAATGAAGCACTTCAAAAAACTTTCAGGCATGTTTCCTAAAATCTTTATTACAGAGCTACAAATTGCCGGTCACCATCATGGACGTTTTGATGCCAGAATCTGACTTCCTCTCGCTGGCATCAAACTTTTCTTGCTAAATCCCTCCCTTATCTTGCAGTCACATTATCCAATTAGTGTGAAGGTCAAAAGTTTACTTCCTCTTTCTTTCCAGGGCTTTTTACCTCCCCCACTCTAAGCTATGTATTAACCCAGTAAATACCAGACAGTTTTGCATATTGTCAAAGCAAGAATATACAGTATTTGCAGCATTGACAACGCAACCATCCTAGAAAAGTGGTAGCGGGGGAGGGGAATGAGCTAAACCGGTGGCAGCACTGCACAAGCCTGAGCGAGAGACGGCTGGAGCTGCAGGGCTGTCAGGGCTCAGCGGAAGCACCAGGATCAGCGCTTCTTCACGGCTGTCAGAGCTCAGTGGAAGCGCCAGGATCAGTGTCAGGCTCCAGCTGGAGCTCGGCGCTAATCCTGGCGCTTCTGCTGAGCCCAGAAGAAGCGCCAGTCAGCTGAAATGTTGCAGCATCTCCAGGGTCTTGTGATTTACATGGAGATGCTTGGCAACTGATTCATATTTATGACGGTCACAGTGTCCCAGGGTCATGTGAAGTGACCCAAACCTGCTTCAACCACCCAGCAGACGGGGGGGAATGAAAACCAAACACCACCCCATCCCCACGCCCGCTGCCAATCCTCAACAGAAATGCTCACAACAGTGAAAATCTCGGACAGGAGGAAGAGCGCTGCCAAGTTGGCAGGCAGGTGTCTTGCTCGGCTGTGGCTTGGGGGGGCACTTTTTTCAGTGCCATTGTAACTTCAAACAGTCACTAAGTGAACTGTTGTAAGTCGAGGACTACCTGTACTTTATCACTTTTTTCCTTTTGGGGGGGGGGTCATCAGGTTTTTGACACCCTTGCTAGGCGACTGGTGGTACTTGGATATTGCCATATCCTAAAAGTGGTACAATGTGAAAAGGTTGAAAAGCCCTGAGATAGGCAACAAATACAATAATAATAATAATAATAATAATCCAGTTAAAAAACGGTTAATCATCTGTGGACAGAATAAATTCCCAAAACAATATCGCAAATGTTTAGTTTTCAATAGTTTTGTCTAGTTTTGATATTCGTTGGCTGTGCAAGGATTGCCTTGTATAAGCTAATGTTTTTACTATCTTGAACGTAGGAAGAATCACATTTTTGGAACTGGAGATGCTTCCTGTTGCTATTCTTTTGTCTGACCATTAAATCTCTAATACTTGTGGTCTTTAAGGATTGTTTGAGAGCTAATGTACAATTCCAGAGTCCAACAGTCATGAAATCTGTGGTGCAGAGACAGAAACCATGTTAGCCCACCATCAATGACTCAGTTAAGGAAGGAAGTATATTTGTTGTTAGTTGCGAAGTCGTGTCCGACCCATCGCAACCCCATGGACAATGTTCCTCCAGGCCTTCCTGTTCTCTGCCATCTTCTGGAGTCCATTTAAGCTCAGGCCTACTGCTTCAGTGACTCCATCCAGCCACCTCATTCTCTGTCGTCCCATTCTTCTATTGCCCTCCATCTTTCCCAGCATCAGGCTCTTCTCCAGGGAGTCCTTCCTTCTCATTAGGTGGCCAAAGTCCTTGAGTTTCAACTTCAGGATCTGGCCTTCTAAAGAGCAGTCGGGGTTGATCTCCTCTAGGACTGACTGGTTGGATCGCCTTGCAGTCCAGGGGACTCGCAGGAGTCTTCTCCAGCACCATAGTTCAAAGGCCTCCATTCTTTGGCGCTCAGCCTTTCTTGTGGTCCAGCTTCCACAGCCATACATTGCAACTGGGGAAACCATGGCCTTGACTAAGGGAGTGTATTAGAAAACTCCTAATTGCTTCCGGGAGGAAAATGTGGACTTAATTCAAAAGAAAGAAGGCTTGGAATTTTAGACTATTTTAGTACGTGCTCGGAGCTCCGTGCAGAACGATAGTTGGAGAGGGATCATCCTGCTATCTGTGTAGACATTGATAAGCAGGCCTTCCTCTTTCTCTCCTTTTGTTCTCCACAGCACTAAAGGATATCTAAAAGTCAGCCTTTTTGCCCAACCATTAAAAAAAATAAGCCGTTTGTCTTGAATGCTTTAGTCTAGTTCAGACAACAAATGTTATTTATTTGCTTGCTTACACATTAATTTCTATCCTGACAGGGACTCTGAATGGAGTTCCATAGGTACCCAAGAGAAGTGGAAAAGGTGAAAAGGTTCTAGGGATGAAACAAACATGGATTGTTCAGAGTGGGTTTCTTTGCCTGTCCCTCTGAGCCGGTCTCTCTTTTGATCTGTAGATCATATCAGAAGATATAAGCGAGCTTCAAAAAAACCAAACTACCACCATGGCCAAAATTGCTCAGTACAAAAGGAAGCTAATGGATCTTTCCCATCGAACTTTGCAGGTAGGCCTGTGCTGGCACATAACCTTTTTTGTGTTTTGTTTTGTTAGCCCTTCAGTAAAAGAGGACGGAGCAGTTTTGCCTTGTTTAGGTTTAAAAATGTAAAAGGTACAGAAATCTTCAATTCAGTCAGGCAGTCCACCCAATGAATGGCATTAGATTTAGGCTAGAGCAGTGGTGGCGAACCTATGGCACGCGTGCCAGAGGCGCCACTCAGAGCCCTCTCTGTGGGCACGCGCACCATGCCCTGGAGATGGCAACCGTCCCTCTTCAACCAGCCACCCGCTAACTCGCCGAGCTCCCATGGGGCTGGATGCATCCCAGCACGGCTGGTTTCCCTCCCCCCCCCGTCCCATCCCTCCTGGCCTCGCATGCTCTCCTTTTCCAGGGCACGACCCCACTGCATTGCCTCCTCAGCTGTCAGCCGACCGTCCAGCTCAATGGCGGCTTCTCTGAACTGCTGGTGGCGGGCTGCGGAGCCCCAGAGTGTGCCAGTTGAGGGGTGGGTAGGCTGTGGCTGCTGACGGACACTGTCGGCCCCCATGCGCTCGCTGACCTCTGTGTGTGGGGGCCGATGGTGTCAGGCAGCAGCCACCCCGGCCCCTGCCTCACCTTGCCCTGTGACAATGGCGCCCCCTTCCTGCCTCGACTTGCCCAGCCTCACCCCGCAGGACGAGCCTCCTGCCCACCACTCCACCTGCCAGAGACCCCCTGGATCTCCCCTAACCCTGCCCAGCCCCCACAGGCGTCCCTCCCCACGAGCAACATCAACGTGACCACGCCCACCTTGGCCACACTCACCCAGTTTGTCATGACTACCACAGCCACGCCCACCCAGTGGGCCACGCCCCCTGGCACCCGGCGATACATAAGTGGGTTTTGGGTTGCAGTTTGGGCACTCGGTCTCTAAAAGGTTCGCTACCACTGGGCTAGAGAGAAAAAAGCACCTCCTAGACTAGTAGATGTATAGAAATACAGTTGTATTCTGAAGAGTTACACTTTCCAAGTGTTGCAGTGCTGTTTATCCATTTATTGAACTTATTTTTAGTCCGTCCAATAGCCTACAAAAACATACGCATTGGGAACGGGAATATTCATAAATATAAGTTAATGGATGTATTAAAAAATATGACATGTAATATATGCTGGAACATTACTTGCCAAAGAGAGAAATACAACGAACTTTTCTAGAGGGAAATGCTTATATTAAGGCAAGATTTTGCAGTCGGTGTAGGGATGAGAAAATAATGAGCTAAATAGAACTGAATTGCTAAGGTTTGCTACAGATCCGTTTTTTCTCCCTCTTCCCACCTATTTTCGATATAAGGAAAAACAGTGCTGGGTTCTGCAATCTCAATATAGCTAGCCAGGTGCTCCGTGCCCTTTCTCTCTTAGTATATGTTACAGTTTTTAACTCTCACTGTGAAACCTCCACATTGCCCTTGTGGCTTAAAGTAGGTAGTAAGCAGTCAGTCACAAAGAACCAGAATGACACTCTGAACTGACCAAAGTTGCTTCTTTATTGTTGCTTGCCTATTTACAGCAATCTCACCAGACCGACTACATTTACTGGCAGAAGAGAGTACTTATAGTTCAGGGTTGAACTGGGGGGGGGGGGTCCTTGGTGCTCTCTGAGCTTGCTTGTTTTCTTGCAGACATTTCATTACCCAACTAGGTAACATCATCAGTGTTAGAAGGGAGTGTGGAGAGGAGGAAGAGGAGGAGGAGCAAGAGGAAGAGAACTGTAGGGTCCTTGGTGCTCTCTGAGCTTGCTTGTTTTCTTGCAGACATTTCATCACCCAACTAGATAACATCATCAGTGCCATTAGGAGTGGGGTTTGCTCTCATTCTATATACTGCGTTCTCTTGGGAACTGCCAGATAAAGGTTTCAGGAATCCCAGACTGGGTGGGGTGATTTTGTGTGTGTGGAGGGGGGGCTCTGTCACTTCCTTCCCTGCGAGGATTCCAAGCTTATCAGTCTTTTCACTCCTCCCCCCGTCTAGCTGGAGATCCCACCACAACATTCATGGCACGTTGCGGGATGGCGTTCCATTGGGATAAACACAGGCCAAGTTCTCCCTGCTCCTACAGAATACAACTTTTGAGACCTGTAATAATTTGGTGTTTGTTTTTAAATATTTGTGACAGGTGCTCATCAAGCAGGAGATCCAGAGGAAAAGCGGGTATGCCATCCAGGCGGATGAAGAGCAGCTCCGGGTGCAGCTGGATACGATTCAGTGCGAACTCAACGCCCCTACCCAGTTCAAGGTGAGCTGCTCAGAAGCTTACCACGAGACTCCGAATGTCAGACTCTAAGCAGCTAGATTTTTAACAGTGTTTCTCAACCTTGACAATTTTAAGGCATGTGGACTTCAACTCCCAGAATTCCACAGCCAGCAACGCTGGCTGTGGAATTCTGGGAGTTGAAGTCCACATGCCTTAAAATTATCAAGGTTGAGAAACACTGAGCTAGAACAACTCTTAACAATAGGTCAAATAGGTTTCTTTATTATTGATCACACGTATTGGGTGCCTTCAGACTCGACAACTTTAAGACTTGAGGACTTCAACTATGCTGGCTGGGGAATTCTGGGAGTTGAAGTCCACAAGTCATAAAAGGGCCAAGTTTGAAGCCTTCTGCAATCCAGACACAAGGATGAGAGAACGACCTCCTACAACATAGAGGGCACAATTCCTCCACTGTGCCTTGCAGGGGTCTCCAAACCTGGCGGATCTGAGGAATTCTGGGAGTTGAGGTCCACAAGTCTTAAAATTGCCAAGTTTGGAAAGCCCTGATTATTACAAGAATTTCGCCAGACTGTCTGCCTCCCCTTGGGAAACAGCAAATATAGACCTAAAAGGGTTTGTCCTCACACGTTTCCTCCCCTGAATGGACTCTTAAGCTGGAATATCTTTTAACACCCTGCCCAATTGCGGCCCCCTCTCTTTCAGCTGTGGTTCCAGTGCTCTGCAGGTAGTGATTAATAATACTTATATGTTGTTGTTGTTGTTGGTTGCAAACTCGTGTCCGACCCATCGCAACCCCATGGACAACGTTCCTCCAGGTCTTCCTGTCCTCTACCATCTTCTGGAGTCCATTTAAGTTCACGCCTGCTGCTTCAGTGACTCCATCCAGCCACCTCATTCTCTGTCGTCCCCTTCTTCTATTGCCCTCCATCTTTCCCAGCATTAGGCTCTTCTCCAGGGAGTCCTTCCTTCTCATTAGGTGGCCAAAGTATTTGAGTTTCAACTTCAGGATCTGGCCTTCTAAAGAACAGTCAGAGTTGATCTCCTCTAGGACTGACCGGTTTGATCGCCTTGGGATTTGCAGGAGTCTTCTCCAGCACCATAGTTCAAAGGCCTCAATTCTTTGGCGCTCAGCCTTTTTTATGGTCCAGCTTTCACAGCCATACATTGCAACTGGGAAAACCAAGGCCTTGACTATACGATTTATATGTTACTTATATGTAAACATACACATACACATACATATACAGTATGTTGTACGTAGCATGTTTAAATGTGTGTTATGTATGTGTACACTTTGGAGAACCAGCAACAAAATCTCATTTTTTAATGTGTGCCGTTGTGCCCACAGGGAAAAAAATGACAAAGTTTATCTACCGTAAATGCCGGCGTACAAGGCGACCCGGCGTATAAGACGACCCCCGTCTTTATAGCCGGGCTGCATTCCTAGAACGTCGTCTTATACGCCGGAAACTACCAGTATTTCCGGCGTATAAGACGACTCGGCGTATAAGACGACCCCCGTTTTTGGCGCCGATTTCAGCGCTCGCGGAAGTCGTCTTATACGCCGGCATTTACGGTAATCTAATCCAGTTCTTGAATGAGAAGCACATTTGAGCCCGATTTTTCCATTGCTAAGCAAGGCGGTTGTTAAATGAATTGTGCCCCATTTCACATTCTTCTTCTGCCCCAGTTGCTAAGCAGATCTCTGTCGCTAAGTGTCTCATGCAGTCGTTACGTGAATCTGGCTTCCCCCCATTGACTTGGCTTGTCAGAAGCCAGCTTTGAAGGTTCACAAAAGGGGGATCACGTGACCCCGGGATAGTGCAACTGTCATAAATACCGGCCAGTTGCCAAGTGCCTGGATTTTGATCACATGACCCTGGGGATGCTGGAGCGGTCAAAAGAGTGAAAAACTAGTCCTAAGTCACTTCTTTCCTTTGTAATTTAGAATGGTCATTAAATGGTTATAAGTCGAGGACGGTATAAGCTTTGAAAGTGAAAGATGTCGTAGTAGAGTTTGTACAGGACATGTTATTTAAATTGCATTTTGGAAGCTCCTTTGAGGGTTTCCAGACAGGTGCATCCCGTTTTAACAGCAGTATTCCTGTTTGAAAATCTTGAATAACAGATTAAGCCAATGGAGTCCTTAGAACAGCTATGGATTTGTTCCAGGTTACAGCTTTAAATGGGTTAACGAGTTAGGTAATCTTTCAGCCTCCCTCAATTCTTTTTAAGTTGCCAGCAAGGAAATCACCCTTTTGAATATCTGACTGTGCAAAACAACAGCGGTGAAGATCTCTTCCATCCAAGGCACTCATTTTATATGCAGAAATTGTGCTTTTGTGTGTGTGTGTGTGTGTGTGTGTGTGTAGGTAGGAAAGTGCAACAGAAATAACATAGCTCGCTCTTCCATCTCATGTAACGAATGCCTAAGCTAGATTTGAATTTTGCAACAATCTCTTGCAGGGCCGTTTGAACGAGCTGATGTCACAGATCAGAATGCAGAATCACTTTGGAGCGGTCAGATCTGAGGAGAGATACTATATTGATGCCGATCTCTTGCGGGAAATCAAACAGGTGTGCAGGGATTGGGATTCATCACAGACTAAATCGATAAACACGGGGCTGAAATCTCTGCTTGAGTCTTCAGAGAATTTATCTAGATCGGGGGCCTTCAAACTTGGCCCTTTGATGACTTGTGGACTTCAACTCCCAGAATTCCTCAGCCAGGCACATGTGCCTGGCTGAGGAATTCTGGGAGTTGAAGTCCACAAGTCATCAAAGGGCCAAGTTTGAAGGCCCCTAATCTAGATTATTATTGTTTTTTAAAAAAAATACTGGGCTGTAACTAACTACTAAGCTATTTATAAAAATAATAAAGGCGGGATAAAAATAACCTAAGTTAAACGCTCAAAGGGACGAATCTCATGCAATTTTTTTTTTCTTTTTAGCATTTGAAGCAGCAGCAAGAAGGACTAAGTCACCTGATCAGTATTGTAAAAGATGACCTGGAAGACATAAAGCTGATAGAACATGGCTTAAATGACAGCATTCCGGTTAGAGGGGGCGTCTTCAGTTGATCTCCTGGCCCTTTCCATTGACTGTACGAGCATAGAAAACACATTGTTTTCCTTGGCTGAAATTCACTGGTTGGTTTGTTTGGTTTTTTTTTGGACCTTAAATCTTAGTGAAGGTTCTGAGCCGAGTGCCAGACACTTGGCATTCAACCATGAAGATCAAAGGGTAAAGGTTAAAAAAAAGCTGCACTTGATTTTTAAGATGGAAAGATACTTTACATACTGCTCTGTGAGCTAAGCCTGCATTTCTATTTTATCAACTTATATCTCGTTTTGTTGGGGTTTTTTTGATTTTCCGAACAACACTTCCAGTGTTAAATGATCAGCAAGGGAAATAACACACCTTCTCTATATGAGAAACAACATAAAACAACTGGTTTAAAGGAGAAACACACCTGCAGTGTTTGGGAAAGAAATGCACAGGTCAAAAGTGTTGTTTTTTTCCCCCTTGTGCTTAACAATCGCGAAGAAAGCTATAATTTTACATCCATTCATCAGAATTTACAATATTACTGAAAAGTAATAAAATCTGCTTTCTGTTATTCAGCCATAGGCTCTCTGTATAGCGGATCGCTTGTTTTCAAGATAGCGACAGATGAAAACTGGATCTAGGAGTTTTAATCTTGCCTAATCACCAATTAATCTGTTGGCCTAAATATCCTCTTGAGATTCAGAGGATCCCTATCCACCATCTCCTGTTCCCAAGTAATACAACAACACAGAAGCCTGCATTTGAAGCACTGCCTGTTGTTTAAACACGGAGCTCTTCAAATTTGGCCCTTTTATGACTTGTGGACTTCAATTTCCAGAATTTCTCAGCCAGCGTGCTGGGAGTTGAAGTCCACAAGTCATAAAAGGGCCCCGTTTGAAGACCCCTGATGTGGATGGTAACTGTTCTCAGGTTTTGCAGTTGTAGTTGCTAAGAATGTGAAGATTGATCAGGAAATGCAGTTTTAAGGCAGTTAATAAGAACCCTGTACTTGTACAGCCGCAGGCAAATGAATTCCCATGCTATTTTTTTCCCCCGTGTTCGTTCTTGCAAATAGAGCAAAATCAACCCAGTATCATTATCAGCACGTTTGTAGAAAATTTCCTGATTGTTACTGATTTGTCAAAAGGATTTTGGTCAACAGCAGTAGACAATATTTTTGCCTATTGGAAGACTGTGGATGGATAATGAGAGATTAATTGGTCTCCTTATCTAATTTAATACCCTTTTAAAAATATAAGACCTAAAAGGGGATTAAAGAGAAAGAAGACTAAGTTAATATTGAAGATTGGAACCTATACTTAAGACTGGAATAAAAAACTGTATTTTTGAAATTTAGATTAGCAATTCTGGTTAGAACCCAGTTTCTTCTGTTTAATTTTTCTTGAAAAATTAAATAACTACAGTGGTTTTGAAAAAATCTGGAACTGTCTGACAAATCAACATGTAAATGAAATAGTCTTGAAACAAAGATACTTTTTGATTTAGGATTAGATATGATTGTGCAAGAGTTAATGTTGAACCTTTTTTTTTTGCTAATGTATTAATCAGCCAAACTTGGCAACGATAACATAAGACATTTTTTGTATTAGACCCACGTTGAAGCTAACGAAAAGGAAACATCCAGTCATTGGATACAGCTGATAAAACTTTATTCGTATTATGCTTTAAAATGGAGTAAGATATTAAAAGCAATGCAGCTTTTTATCACAAGTGTTTGCGTTTTCTCAAGCGCTAAAAAAAGAAAAAGAAAAGTTTCAATGCTTGAAAGTTACTGAGAGGGAAGATTGTCAGATTTTTTTTTTCTTTTGAATTCAAGAAAAGTAAAAACGGCTCCATTTGTAGCAGTAAATAATTCGCCCTTTGGAGTTGGTTCAGAGGCACATTTTGGAGTTAAGGATGAATACAGAAGCACAGTGGGTTCCACCCACCCGTCCAGCTCAACGGCAGCTTTGGCTTTTCATTAGGAAGCTGGCTGTCTGACAAGGCGGAATGCCTCAAGGAATTCGTTGAAGTCGATTCTCCCATCCTTGTTGAAATCAATGCTCCGGGCCAAGTTGCGAATATTTTCATCTGAGATATTAATATTCATATGGGAACTGAACAGCTTCCACGTTTGTTGGAACTCTTCGAGAGAAATACATCCTGCGGGATGAGAAGAAAGAAATCAATCTTGGGATGGGGCGGTTGGAAATAGTACAATAGCACTTAGACCAGTGGTTCTCAACTTGTGGGTCGGGACCCCATTTGGGGTCGAACGACCATTTCACGGGGGTCGCCAAACTACGCTGTCCGCCTTCCCCCCCCCTTTTCCTTAGCTGTGCTACTCCCTTTTATTCTATTGGCTTTTGAAAGCTAATAGAATAGACTCTCTTGAATAGAGTCTAATTCTATTGGCTTTCAAAAGCCAATAGGAATTGTCCAGGCTGTCTCTGCCCTGCTGAGCCCGCCAAAAACCCCAGTCTGCAAACGGTGCTGCACCAGTTGAGTAGTCCTCAACTTACGACCGGTTGAGTAGTCCTCGACTTATGACTGGTTGGGGGTCGCGGCATTAAAAATGTTGAGAACCACTGACTTAGACTTATATATTGCTTTATACTGCTTTCCCAAGGACTTCATACTGCTATATACTCTAAGCGGTTTACAGAGTTCAACATACGGTAGTGGTCAAAATTGTGGAAACCTTTTGGGAAAAGCGTATTTCTGAGGTTTGATGGCTAATAACACCACTTTTTTTTTTTTGCAGTAGTGCCATAAAATTATATATCAATGGAAAGATCATTTAATCAAGAAGGTAATGCAACATAGTTTGTTCAATTATCTGTACTGTATTCTGTGAAAAGTTGTAGCCAAATAACCAGAAAAAGGAAGCACCATTTGCTTAGGTTGATATCAGGTAGCTTTCCTTCCTCTGATTGTAGCCGATGAGCGTGAGTGTTTAGGGAGCCAACAGGTGTCATCTTGTTTTGGCAATGAGCCAATCAGATCACAGTAGGGTTCAGTTATTGACGTCATGTATTGAAGCTGAGAGGAGGACATTGGTCAGTGTGTTACGTGATCGCTGTCAAGTTGGTTGGGGTTTTTTTGTGTTCTTTCACTTAGCTTGTAAAACGTAATAAAATTAAAGTAGTGGTGCAAAGAGTTGACTGGTCGTCCAGAAAGTGATGTAAAATAGTATTATTAAGTGAACAAGGCTACAGTGATAAAGAAATTAGAAGAAAAATTGTTGGAAACTTAACCAAAGGTGGCACTTCTACTGTACACTTTTCCCAAAAGGTTTCCACAATTTTGGCCACTGCTGTAGGTAAAGAAATATCTCTGAAACAATGACCTAAGAAACAACTTGGTTATTTAGTCCTTTATAAAACCAGCAACAGCATCATTCTTGCCTCTGCTGGTTTATTATAAAATACTGGAATGACATTAATACTACTGTACCTTCCACATGGATATAAGACCCTAACACTAGACTTTGTCCTTCGTACATGAATAATCACTTTGGCTATTAAAAAAGGAACTCAGCAGATAATAAAAGGCGTTTTACCTGAACAATCAGTGTCAATGAGGCTGAAGATAGTCTCCAGATTGGATAGGTTTCGGTAAATGCTTTCCAGCAAACTCGACTGAAGGCGCTGAAAGAAACGAGACCACCGTTCACGCAGAAATCCCTTAATCGGTTTTCGAAATTTGGGTAGAATTAGATATGTTTAGCATAGGGTAAAAATATGACATTGAAAACGTATTTGTGTCTTGTGTATGTCTATGGAATGGTGGCTCTTTCTTCAGCCTCACTGGTTGCCATATTGTCACCAAATTCCATAACTGGCGAGACATTTCAGAAAGAGGAAAAGAAGGAATAACAGAATAACAGATTTGGAATAGAATAGAATGGAATGGAATGGAATAGAATAGAACAGAACAGAACAGAATAGAATTTATGGAATGGAATGGAAAGAACGGAACAGAATAGAACAGAATAGAAGTTATGGAATGGAATAAAATAGAATAGAATAGAATTTATGGAATGGAATAGAATAGAACAGAATAGAATTTATGGAATGGAATGGAAAGAACGGAACAGAATAGAACAGAATAGAAGTTATGGAATGGAATAGAATAGAATAGAATTTATGGAATTGAATAGAATAGAACAGAACAGAATAGAATTTATGGAATGGAATGGAAAGAACGGAACAGAATAGAACAGAATAGAAGTTATGGAATGGAATAGAATAGAATAGAATTTATGGAATGGAATAGAATAGAACAGAAAAGAACAGAACAGAATAGAATTTATGGAATGGAATGGAAAGAACGGAACAGAATAGAACAGAATAGAAGTTATGGAATGGAATAGAATAGAATAGAATTTATGGAATGGAATAGAACAGAATAGAATTTATGGAATGGAATGGAAAGAACGGAACAGAATAGAACAGAATAGAAGTTATGGAATAGAATAGAATAGAATAGAATTTATTGAATGGAATAGAAAAGAACAGAATAGAATTTATGGAATGGAATGGAAAGAACGGAACAGAATAGAACAGAATAGAAGTTATGGAATGGAGTAGAATAGAATAGAATTTATGGAATGGAATAGAATAGAACAGAAAAGAACAGAACAGAATAGAATTTATGGAATGGAATGGAAAGAACGGAACAGAATAGAATAGAACAGAATAGAAGTTATGGAATGGAATGGAATAGAATAGAATAGAGCTGGAAGGGACCTTGGAGGTTATCTAGTCCAACCTCCTGCTCAAGCAGGAGACCCTATGCCAGTAGTGGTGAACTTATGGCACGGGTGCCAGAGGCGGCACTCAGAGCCTTCTCTGTGGGCACGCGCGCCGTCGCCCGAATCCTAGGCCTTCAGCTGGGTTTTATAAAACTCTTTCGCTTTACGCCTCTGCCGCCATGTACAAAAAAAAAGGTTCAATCAGTCAATTTCAACTCACAGAAAAAAAAGATGGAAAGTTGGAATTGATTGATTGCACTTTTTAGTCCCACCCAGTCTGCCGTTACCACTGTAGCCACGCTCACCCAATGGGCCACACCCACCCGGCACCTGACCATGCATAAGTGGGTTTTGGGTTGCAGTTTGGGCACTCGGTCTCTAAAAGGTTCGCCATCACTGCCCTATGCCATTTCAGACAAATGGCTGTCCAGTCTCTTCTTAAAAGCCTCCAGTGATGGAGCATCCACAACTTCTGAAGACAAGATGTTTCACTGATTAATTGTTCTCCCGGTCAGGAAATTTCTCCTTAGTTCTGAATAGGATCTCTCCTTTTTAGTTTCTAGCCATTGTTCCTTGTCTTGCTTTGGAAATAGGTTGAACCCCCCCCCCCTTTGTGGCAGCCACTCAAATATTGGAACACTATCATGTCACCCCTAGTCCTTCTCTTCATTAAACTAGATATACCCAATTCTGGCAACTGTTCCTCATGTTTTATCCTCCAGCCCCTGATCGTCTTTGTTGCTCTTCTCTGTATCTTTCTAGAGTCTCAACATCTTTTTATATTGTGACCAAAACTGGATGCAGTTCTCCAAGCGTGGCCTTATTAAGACTTTATAAAGCAGTACTCATATTTCATGTGATCTTGATTCAATGCAGCCAGGGATTGTATTGGCTTTTTTTGGCTGCTGCTGCACACGGCTGGCTCATATTTAAGTGACTGTCCACTAGGACACCAAGATTCCTCTTACAGTTACTGCTATTGAGTTAAATTTCACCTAATCTATACCTGTACATTTGTTGTTTGTTGCCTAAGTGTAGAAGGAGAACACGACTATTGGCATGATGCTGGTTTTCTTCATTCCCACAGACCCTCTGCTGCAGGGGTGTCAAACTGCCGGCCCGCAGACCAGATGCATCATAGCAAAACCGCACCCACCCCACTGCCGGCAATGGCAAAAAAGTTGCGATATGTTGTGACACGTCACATGACGTTGCAAGTTAGACACCCCTGCTCTACTGCAATACCTCTTGGGTTGCAGATCTCTCTTCCGTCACAATGTCTTTCAGCCACGTCCTGTAGTCCACTTTTCCATTGGTCAGTTGCAGTATCAGATGTGGTCTCAGCATCCTCCATGGCAGTCCCAGCTGGAGGACCGACTCGATGGCTTTTGCCCAGTCGTTTATGGTGATGAGGCCTATGAGAACACAAAAATAGGGTGATTAAGAATGACTTGGTGAAGGTCCAGTGTTGCAGGGTGTCCTTGAGTTACGACCATAATGGATCCTGGGTTTGGTGACGGTTAAGTGAATCTGTGGTTTTTAAGTAGCACGGTTCTTAAGCGAGTGCGGTAGTCGTAAACTGAACCAATGGTTCACTGTGGGCACCGTTTTGCCGAAAACCAGAGGTAACTGCCAGTTTTCGGCAAAATTATTGTAAAATGCAGCCACACCATATCACAAAAAAGATGTTGCGAGTTTGGAAAAAATTCAGAGAAGAGCGACTAAGATGATCCAAGGCCTGGAGACTAAAACATACAAAGAACGGCTGCAGGACTTGGATCTGGCTAGTCTAAAGAAAAGAAGAAACAGGGGTGACGTAGTAGTGTTCCAGTACTTGAAAGGCTGCCACAAGGCAGAGGGAATCAACTTATTTTCCAAAGCCCCACAGGGCAGGACAAGAAACAATGGTTAGAAACTGGTCAAGGAGTGAAGCAACCTGGAATTAAGGAGAAACTTCCTAACAGTGAGGACATCCTTCTGAGGTTGGTAAAATGACGACCCAAAATTGTTGGGGGCAATAGGCTGACTCTGTAAACCAAAGGTCCTCAACTCTCAGTCCATGGACTGGCACTGGGGTGCGGCATGCCAGAAATTGGAACGCACAAGCAAGTGAAAACCGCCCCCCATGAAATCACGCTCCCCCCCGGTCCATGGAAAAATCTCTCCATGGAACCGGTCCCTGGTGCCCAAAAGGTTGGGGGCCACTGTTGTAAACCACTTAGTGCTCTATGAAGCAGTATATAAGTCTAAGTGCTATTGCTATTTGCTATCATGGTGCTCTCTGAGCTTGGTTATTTTCTTGCAGACGTTTCATTACCCTAATTAGGTAACGTTATCAGTGTTAGTCTGACTAGCGCTGATGATGTTACCTAGTTAAGGTAATGAAATGTCTGCAAGAAAACAAGCTCAGAGAGCACCAAGGACCCCACAGTCTTCCTCCTCCTCCTCCTCCTCCTCTCCACAAACCCCATTCCCTTCTAGCACTGATGATGTTACCTAGTTGGGTCATGAAACGTCTGCAAGAAAACAACCAACACAAACATCACCAAGGACCCCTCACTTCAACCCTAAACTATAAATGTTCTCCTTCATTGGTATCATGGTGCCATCAACACTCTGCCAAGGTTTTTTTTTTTAAATTTTTATAAATTTTATTGAATTAAAAAAAAGGAATTAAAAACATTGAACATGGTAAATCAACATTTGACAGACATCTCAGTCCATATTTACATTAATTACAAATAAATCTCTTTACAGTAACATTCTAATCTCAATCTTGGCTTTTCTCATTACAATGACCTCCATTTTTTTTCCCCACCATCTATAAAATTTATTCCCTATTTGATAAAAAATCTGATTCATCCTGATTTTTTAATCTTTTAGTTATTCTGTCTAATTCTGCGCAATACATGATTTTCTGAATTAATGTTTCCCCACTCGGTACATCCGTAGCTTTCCATTTTTGCGCAAATAATATCCTTGCCGCTGTGACTACGTGAATGAATAAATATGTGTCATCTTTACTTACATTTTTTTAAAGTATTCCTAACAGCAACGTCTCAGGTTTGTACTGAATGTTTTGCGTAGTCATTTCTATTGCCCATTCCCAGACCATACGCCAATACACCTGCCAAGTTTTTATGGGCAGAGACCCCATCTTGATTTTCTGACCATGTTCATTCCCTGTCAAAAATATGTATATGTCTCTTTGTTAGCCTTACCTGTGTTCTTCCTATCGTAGCTCTTGAACGCTACAGTGAGTTCTGACCTGTGGGCAAACAGCTGCTCTTTTAAAATTTGGTACGCTGACTCCTCCACTCGGCTGATCCTGGGAGAGAAAAAAGGACATTTCTGCCGTGTGAAATTGCACAAAAAAAACATTCAGTCTGTGCCCTTTCGGGATGACTGGCAAACTTTGAGAGACCGATCACAGAACAGAATCATCTATTTTCACTGGAATAAATCAGATGGAATTAAGAGGGGGGGGGGAACTTTGCCTGAATCACCATTTATTTTTCCTTACAAGTAGTCCTCAACATACAACGGGCCATCTAGCTATCTTTCTAAGTTATGACCGACCCTCAGAAGGGGTCCTTGCTGCTCTCTGACCTCAGTTGTTTTCTTGCAGATGTTTCATTATTCAAAATAGGTAACATCGTCTGTGCTACTAGGGAATGGACTGGCTCTCCCTACTAGCACTGATGATGTTACCTAGCTGGGTAATGAAACGTCTGCAAGAAAACAACCAACCTCAGAGAGCACCAAGAGCACCAAGGACACTACAGTTCTCCTCCTCCTCCTCCTCCTCCTCCTCCTCCTCCTCCTCCCTCTCCTCCTCCTCCTCCTCCCATACTCCCTTCTAGCACTGATGATGTTACCTAGCTGGGTAATGAAATGTCTGCAAGAAAACAAGCAAGCTCAGAGAGCACCAAGGACTCTCATTTCAACTTGAGCTACCAATATTCTCCTTTATTTCCAACCCCCCAAAAATATTTACAACCTGGATTCAAAGTGACTGATGATCCTGCAAGGGTCTATAAGAGTGACTTTTTTCAGTGCCATTATAATATCGAACGGTCACTAAACAAACTGTGCTACAGTTCAAGGCCAACTTACGGGTTGCTGGTTTGGAACCCTGCCCAAAGTCCTTTCAGGAGTGGTGGGGTTAGAGATGTAAAATTTCCAGAAATTTTGAAGCCATGAGGGGAAAAAATGTTTTTTCCCTGTTTTTTTCCAGAAAAAAAATGGAAATTTTGGAAAAAAATGAAAAAAAAAGTTCAGTTTTTTTGTAGTTTTACAAATTGCATGAATAGAACAGAACAGAAAATGGGGAATAGAGTAGAGTAGAATAGAGTAGAGTAGAGCAGAATAGAATAGATTGCAATAGAATAGAATAGAATAGAATAGAATAGAATAGAATAGAATAGAATAGAATAGAATAGAATATATTCCACACTCCTTTTTTTTTTCAATTTTTCCAGGAAAAAAAAGTTTTGGAAAAAAAAATGGAACCCCCCCCCTTTTCCCCCCCCCCATTTTTTCAGTTTTTTTTCCCAGGCCTTCCCATCTCTAGTGGGGGTACAACTCTCCGCAGTGCTGGCTGACCGTTGAGTTATGTTCATTTGACGGGATACTCCTTTGGTGGCTTGAAACTGAACCACATGGGGTATGAGGTCAGGTCCCAGTTTGATGTAAGCACCCCGGTTACTGCCCACTGCATAATAGTTGGAAGCCGAAAATATGGTGATGACCTAGTCAAGACAAAACAAGAGTACAACAGATTTACAGGCGTGCCCATGTTAAAGTCTCCAAAACCTACGTGTTCATCTTCGCTTTGCTTTAATCCACATTTGTAGGACCGCGATGCTCGCTGGTTAAAGACGCCGAGCTTGTCAGCTGGAAAGCTGACAGCCTAGGTCAGGGCTAGGCAACCTTGGCTCTTTTATGACTCGTGGACTTCAGCTCCCAGAATTCCTGAGCCAGCATGGCTCTGCTTGGAAACTCTCCCTTTCCCCTCAGCATGGCTGGCTCAGGAATTCTGGGAGTTGAAGTCCACGAGTCATAAAAGAGCCAAGGTTGCCTACCCCTGGCCTAGGTTCAAGACCTGAGCGCCACACAACAGGGTGAGCTCCCGTTCCTTGCTCCAGCTCCTGCCTACCTTGAAAGCATGCAGATGCAAGTAGATAAATGGGTACCACTTTGATGGGAAGGTAACAGCATTCTGTGTGCCTCGGTGTATAGCTGTGCTGGCCACGTGACCACAGAAGCATCTTCAGACAAGGCTGGCTCCCTCATCCAAGAAATAGAGATAAGCACCGTGCTCTAAAGTTGGATACGAATGGCGGGAAAAATCTTTCTCTTTCCCTTAATCCACATTTGTGCATTATTTGCACAGCAAACCCACCGTTAATATCATTCACAAAATGATTTTCACAAATCACCCAAATAAAAATGTAAGCAGCACACAAAAAGAGCGTAGTCACAGTGTCCTGCAATTTATGACTTTTGGCCTTTGCTTCCATATTCTGGCAAAAAAAACAACCGCCCATTAACTACAATGGTTGGATCCCATGTTGTCTAAGTAAGTTGCTGGTAAGTTACTACCCGAAGAAATGGGTTAGCCTGTGGAGTTGCCGCTGGGTTGAGCTTCATATTGATGATACAACCCATGCTTTTATTTCTATAGGTACCCATTAACTTGCAACTGGGTTGCTTAGCAAGTTGATATATACATAACAGATGCTGAATTCCCAGAAAAAAGGCGGAGAAGAGCATCAAAGATGACAACGGGTCTCGAAGCAAAGTCATATGGTGAACAGCTAAGGGATCTAGTTACGTTTAGCCTAACCAAAGTAAGGTTTAGGAGAGACATGGTAACTGTCTTCCAATACTTAAAGGGAATTTATTTTTGAGAGCACCTGAGGGCAGGACGAGAAGCCATGGAGGAAGCTTGTCAGAAGGAGAACCAACCTAGAAATAAGGAAGAATTTCCTGAATGTAAGAATTAATCAATGCAACAGTTTGGCTCCTGGAGTTGTTGGTGCTCCATCGCTGGAGGTTTTCAAGAAAAGATTAGACAACCATTTGTCCAGGATAGTAAAAGGAGTCCTGCCTTAGCCAGGGGGTTGGTCTAAAAGACCTTCAAAGTCCCTTTCAGCCCTATGATTTTATGACTGATTCTCTGAGTCTATGATTCTGTGATGATTCTATGATGACTCTATGATGACTCTATGATTCTGTGATTTTGTGATCCTGTGCTTTTGTAATCCTGTGATTTTGTGATCCTATGATTCTGTAATTCTATGATTCTGTGGTTCTATGATACTGTGATACTGTGATTCTATGATTCTGTGACTTTGTGATTCTGTGATTCTATGATACTGTGATTCTGTGACTGTGATTCTATGATTCTGTGATTCTATAATTCTGTGATTCTGTAACTTTGTGATTCTATGATACTGTGATTCTATGATTCTATGACTTTGTGATTCTATGATTCTGTGACTTTGTGATTCTATGTTTCTTTGATACTGTGATTCTTTGATTCTATGATACTGTGATTCTATGATTCTGTGATTCTATGACTTTGTGATTCTATGATTCTGTGATTTTGTGACTTTGTGATTCTATGTTTCTATGATTCTGTGATTCCGTGATTCTATGATTCTATTCCTTATGCACTTTTGCAACCCAGAAGCTTTTGCTGTTAGCCTGTACCTCTCCAGTAATATCCTAAACACTGATCCTCCACTGGGCCTACCTTCCGACTGTGGTTGAATTCATAACCTTCTGGCTTGCATTCGTGAGAACGGATGATGAACTGCAGGCGGTGTTTCTGCAGAAACATATCTGTTACATCAGGTCCAAAGTAACAGCCTCCGCCCCTTTCCAAATTCATTGTGCATCCAGGTCTAGGATCAGGGTCACTCCATAGAATATCCACAACCTACAAGCAAAGTCACAGATATGGGGGTTGCTTTATTTTAATTTTATTCATGAGTTAAGTATGTAAGTCCACGTTCAAAAGAAAAGTCAGTAGGGAATAGCATCAACATTAGAAATTCTGAGAGTTTCGAATTTTTATTAGTTTATCAAAACATAAAAGAAAAAAATACAAAGAAAAAAATTAAGGAAAAAATAAGGGAAGGGTAAAGAGAAAAATGTAGGAGACTTTTGAGTTGTTTTTAGGGAGGTTGAACATTTTGAACATTGTGGATTATAACCTTGCCTGACTGACAATTTTTGGATGCCTGAGACAAAGGATCACTATAAAATACTGCTTTTGGGACTGGACGTATATTCTGGAATCTATTGGATTATAAAGGCTACATGTAAAGTCCAGAAAGCTAGAGGAAACTTTGTTCTACTCTTACTGAGACTGGTGACTGGAGGATCTCCAGGAATGAAGCTTCAAGAAAAAATAAACATCTTTCAGAAAGAAATATACTCTACACTACAACTAATTCACCAAACAATTGTTGTAGACAAAGAGGACATAAAACGAAACCATAATGAGACTAAAAATAATTTAGATAATATAAATGAGCAAATCTCCAAATTAAATCTACAACTAGAAAGTTCCCAGACGACTACAAAGTATTTTAGCTATATAAATGTAATTAATATTGAGAAAATCATAACTGACAAAGATACTTTAAATATTGATGGGTAATCAAATTTTAACAGAAGCATGAAAAACAGATATTGATTTATGAATTGATAGTATTGTTATTTGTATAATATTAGTAAAATATGACAAAGAGGTTTATATCTAACTTTGTATACATCAATAATACCAAGAATTGTAATTGTGTAATGAGGGGAAAATGGAAACAATATGGGGAAGAAAGGAGAATCAGAGAAAATATACTGGATTGTGCAGTGCTGAATAGATTTATATTGAAGAACTTAATGTTAAATATGTGAACCCGGACAACATGTTGTTTACTAAGCTCCAAAGATTGTAATTCTTAAAAATTAATAATAAAAAAAAGAATTAACAGAATCAAGAAGGGTTGGCCTTGTGGGAGCATAATGATTCTAGGATGATGACTCTCTTGACTCCACCCCCAGGCTCTGCGCTCTTTCTCCTACAGATTGGTCAGCTATTGCTACCTTAAGCTGGATTCATTTCTACTTTTCTGCTTGCTGGAATTTTGGCAGTTCTCCAAATGCTTACCTGTTCAATGTCATCATCTTCATAGCATGTGGATTCATTTGAGTCCTCTGAGTCCACAGATGAACTGGGTCCTGGGATTTTCTGGACTCCAGGGGACATGCGGGAGGATCTCGCAGCTTCCTGGACTGTCTGTTGTCCCCCTTGGGAGACTTTGATTGTGGAACTACTCCTGGCCAGTTTGCCACCTTCAGCTGGGATATACTCTAAAGATTTTCTTCTCTTTGGTGTTAGCACAGAGAGAATCTAAGATGAGAAGGAGACACCAAAGAGGGAGCTATTAAGAAAGAGACTGAATATGTGACTGAGAATCAGGTATTTTTTAGAACCATATTTTCAATCCAGTTATGGAATTGGAAAGAACAAACAAAGTGATCTTGGAGTGCCTATATCTGTGGTGGCGAACCTATATCACGCGTGCCACAAGTGGCACGCAGAGCCTTCTCGGTGGGCATGCGTACCGTCGCCCCAGTCCTAGGCCTTCAGCTGGGTTTTATAAAACCTTTTCATTTTAGGCCTCCACCGCCGTGTGCAAAAAAAAAAGGTTCATCAATCAATCAATTTCAACTTCCTGCAGGAAAAAAAGATCTCGCAAAGTTGTAATTGATTGATTGAACTTTTTAGTCCCACCCAGTCTGCCATTACCACTGCGGCCACGCCCAGCCAATGGGCCACACCCACCCGGCACCCGATGATGCATAAGTGGGTTTTGGGTTGCAGTTTGGGCACTCGGTCTCTAAAAGGTTCCCCATCACTGACCAAGAGGAAGACAGAGGTCCAAAGTTCAAATAAGAAGGAATTTTCTGATCATCTTTAGAGGTGGAGTCCCAGTGGACAATCACCTAAATATGAGCCAGCCGTGTGCTGCAGCTGCCAAAAAAGCCAACACAGTCCTAGGCTGCATTAACAGAGGGATAGAATGAAGATCACGTGAAGTGTTACTACGACTTTACAATGCCTTGGTAAGGCCACACTTGGAATACTGCATCCAGTTTTGGTCACCACGATGTAAAAAAGATGTTGAGACTCTAGAAAGAGGGCAGAGAAGAGCAACGAAGATGATGAAGGGACTGGAGGTTAAAACATATAAAGAAAGGTTGCTAGAATTGGGTATGTCTTGTTTAATGAAGAGAAGGACGAGGGGGGATAGGATAGCAGTCTTCCAGTATCTCAGGGGCTACCCCAAAGAAGAGGGGGTCAAGCTATTCTCCAAAACGCCTGAAGGCAGGACAAGAAGCAACGGATGGAAACTCATCAAGGAGAGAAGCAGCCTAGAACTAAGAAATTTTCTGACTGTTAGGACAATTAATCAGTGGAACAACTTGCCTCCAGAAGTGGTAAATGCTCCAACATTGGGAGTTTTTAAGAAGAGTTTGGACACCATTTGTCTGAAATGGTGTAGGGTTTCCTGCCTGAGCAGCAGTTTGTGGACTAGATGACCTCCAAGGTCCCTTCCAGCTCCGCTATTCTGTTCTGTTCCATAAATAAAAGCAGGTCCTCTTCTAACGCCATACCTTACACCTCTCAATTTTGGCTAGCTGTTCCAAATCGGTCTTATCAGATATGCCTCCATGTACAATCAGGACCTTCCTGTCAATCACAGTTGCCAATGGCAGGCTGCTGAAGACGTTCTTGATCACCGCCAGGAGTCTGTTGGCATGATCCTAGAGGGAAGAGGAGCAGAGTGCAAAAACTAGGCTGCGCAGTTCAGGGGTATCCGACACCACAGAAGATGCAATAGGTAGGCAAACCGGAGTACCTTATATTTGCGTGTGACTTCCTTGGTGAACCCGTAGCTACAGGCAGAAGAGAAGAGAAGGCTTTAAATAGATGTCTCGGAAGGAGAGCAAAACAACAACAATGACAATCTTAAAAGTGTTACAGGTAGTCTTCAACTTACAACAGTTCATTTTGTGACTGTTCAAAGGTAGTACAGCACTGAAAAATGTGCCATGATCGTTACAACCGTTGCAGCATCCCCACAATCAGGGGGCCAAAATTTAGATGCTTGACTCATATTTATGACCTTTACTGTGTCCCAAGGTCATGTGATCCCTTTTTGAGACCTTCTGACAAGCAAAGTCAGTGGGAAAGACAGATTCACTTAACAGTCAGTTTACTAACAGATCAACTATGGGGATTCACTTAAAAACTGTGGCAAGAAAAGTTGGGGCAAAACTCACTTAACAAATGACTCACTTAACAACAGAAATTTTGGGCTCAGTTGTCGTCGTAAATTGAGGACTACCTGTAGTTTTGACTTATTTTCAGCCCTGCGAGATAAAGCAGACCAAGAAACCTACGTCATGTAAGAAGGCACTAGTTTTATTGCAACAGGTATAGTAACAGAATCTTGCCAGTTGGAATGGGCTTCCCCCCTCCATCCTTTTAGTTTGGTACGAACTAGGGAGGGGCTTGTCCGAGATACTTTCTTTAGAAATTCTGTTTCACATAAAGGACCACATAGAGCAAACAAAGAGCACAGTCACCATGTGCTTTACTGCTCAACTCTACTAATATAACAGGAAACAGGAAACTCTTCTCACAAAATAAAGAAACCATAGATTATAACCATAGATGCATACTAAACACTGCCATCTACTGGCTGAATAATTCTGTTGCAATACAAAATACATTCGAACATATATTCCAACGCTTTCTCAAGTTACTTTCTTGGCCAGGGCTCAAGATCCACTTATCTTGCTAACCGTTCTTCCTCCTAGTCATCTAGGTTATTCCCTATAGCTTTCACCTCAACTTATAAGAGGTTGTTTAATGACTATCAAGGTTTATGAATATGTTGAAGGGTACTGGGTCTAGGACAGATCCTTGGGGTACCCCACTACATGCTTCCCTCCATGAAGTTGTAGTTCCGTTAAGCACTACACACTGGATGCGGTGGGTCAGTAAATTGCAGATCCATCTGTCGGGTGACGCCGTCTATCCAATAATAATATGTACACTGAAGAAAATATTTATTTATTTATTTTAAATATATATATATATGGCCATCCAACTCATGCTCAGTACCTCTGGGTGGCTTACAAAGATAAACAAAATAAAAAATAGACACCCTACTTTTCTGCAAATGATTTAAATTCCATACCGGAAATTGATCATGTAATCCTCATGGTTGCCTCGATTCAGGTGGACCTCTTTGGGGTAAATCAAGAGGAAAACAAAGAGAATGATCAGGATCTCAATGGAATGCTTGCCTCTGTCCACAAAGTCACCATTGAAGACGTACAACTTCTGCGGAGAAGGAAGTCCGTTCTGTAAGGAGGAAAAAAAAAAATCTCTAAAATGGAACTTCAGTGGGACGGCAAGATTAGGAGATAAGCTTCCAGGAAGCCTTAATCTGTGGGGTCCTTGGTGCTCTCCTGAGCTTGGTTGTTTTCTTGCAGATGTTTCATGACCCAACTAGGTAACATCATCAGTGCTAGAAGGGAGAGGGGGAGGAGGAGGAGGACAACTGTGAGGTCCTTGGTGCTCTTTGATTTGATTGTTTTCTTGCAGACATTTCATGACCCAACTAGGTAACATCATCAGTGCTAGGAGAAGGAGGAGGAGGAGGAGGACGACGACGACGACGACAACGATGACAACAACAACAACTGTGAGGTCCTTGGTGCTCTCTGAGCTTGGTTGTTTTCTTGCAGATGTTTCATGACCCAACTAGGTAACATCATCAGTGCTAGAAGGGAGTTTGGTATGAGGAGGAGGAGGAGGAGGAGGAGGAGGAGGAGGAGGAGGAGGAGGAGGAGGAGGAGGAGGAGGAGGAGGAGGAGGACAACTGTGAGGTCCTTGGTGCTCTTTGAGCTTGGTTGTTTTCTTTCAGACGTTTCATGACCCAACTAGGTAACATCATCAGTGTTAGAAAGGAGAGGGCTTTGCTCCCTGTTTATGTACTAATGGCTTTTCCTGACAGCGTTGATGGGAGTGTTCTTCACAGATGCCAAGATTCATTGATACCGAGGAATGTTGTGTGTTTTATTGCTCTACCATAGCAAGTCTAACAATCAGCAAAAAGTATAGTTAATTTGTTTTATCTTGGTTAAGGAAGAGTTACCATGCCTTTTCTTGCAGGGAAAATTAGAATCGAGGTATTTTTGTCAGGATTGATTCATTTCGATTGCTTTTGACATATCGTCCTGCACGCTCTGCTTACCTTGTAAAATATGTGAAACAAGTCAAATATTTGCCCATGTAGGTCTCCTAATAAAAGAAAGGGAGAAAGTGTTATCTCGGTGAAGAATTTGATAGAACCCTAGAATGTATAAATTGGAAAGCATCTTTAAAGTCAATTTAATCCTGTGCTCCTTGCACAGTGCAGTGGTTTGATTTAACATCAAGCAGGACATTACTGAGCTTGAGAGAAGACTAAGCTATCAAAATGCCAAAATATTTCCTTATTGCTGGTAAGATATCATGGGCAAGTCTATCAGGAATTAAACTAAACTCCTGGAAGATATGAATTCTTGTAGGCCGCTTGCTATCATAGCATGTAGCCGTAGACAGTCAACCTTGGCTAGACTGTTGAATTTCTGCCTGCTAGTTTTGGAGTTTGAGCAACAGTCACACAGAAGTCTCCTACCCCTCATTTAAAAGCCCAAACTTCACCGCATATTGCAATGGTTTAGAGCAGGTCTCCAACTTTGGCAACTTTAAGACCTGTGGACTTCCACTCCCAGAATTCCCTAGCCAGCCATGCCGGCTGGGGAATGCTGGGAGTTGAAGTTCACAAGTTTTAAAGATGCCAAGGTTGGAGACCCCTCGTTTAGACCTTTAGGCAAATCTCTCTCTCTCTCTCCCTCTCTCTCTCTCTCTCTCTCTCTTCTTTTTTGTTTTGAAACAAAATTATTAATTTTCTAATTTTACATTTAAATATTTGAAAAGCAACGTGGCGGCTGAGTTGGTCAATAATTCAATAACATACAAATATCTTTAGTACAGATCTCAAACTATTACATTAAATAATTCCTCTCTTTCCCCCTCTCTATCCTATATCTATCTATCTATCTATCTATCTATCTATCTATCTATCTATCTATCTATCTATCTATCTATCTATCTATCTATCTATTGAGATAGATATAGATGTAGATATATAGATATAGATATAAGCTATCTAGCATAGCTATCATCTATCTGTCATCTATCATCTATCTATCTATCTATCTATCTATCTATCTGTCATCTAGCTAGCTATCTAGCTATCATCTAGCTAGCTATCTAGTTATAGCTATCAACTATCTATCTATCTATCTATATCTAGCTATCATCTATCTAGCTTAGCTATCTAGCTATCATCTCTCTCTCTCTCTCTCTCTCTCTAGCTGTGTCTATTTATCTATCTATCTATCTATCTATCTATCTATCTATCTATCATCTCCCTCTATCATCTATATCTATCTAGCTATATCTATCTAGCTATCATTTATCTAGCTTAGCTATCTAGCTATCATCTATCTATCTATCTATCTATCTATCTATCTATCTATCTATCTATCTATCATCTCTCTCTCTCTCTCTCTCTCTCTCTCTCTCTCTCTCTCTCTCTCTCTCTCTCTCTCTCCTCTATCTGTCTGTCATCTGTCTATCTAATCTGCCACCCATCTCACTATGGAGACCAGCTCTAGGTGGCTGAGTGCAACTCAGTGCAATAACATAGGGACATAAATCCAGGTATAAATATAGAAACAGCTGCAAAGACAGGAAGGAAACAGAGAAGAAAGATTTTCATCTTGTTCTGCTTTGGGTATCAGGGGAAACAAGGCCAGGTCTCCTTTGCTGGACTCAGGAGCGCTCTTCTCTTCCTTGCCACTTTGCCAAGGGGCTCTACCTATTTACAACAGGTAGACTCACCACACACGGTGATCTCCTCACTGTAGCAGGTAGAGATTCTGTTAATATTTGGCAGCTGGCTGAGATGGTGTTCCGCCTCTTGGAAGAGTTTTAAAACATAGTAAGGATGAAGCTGCTACTGGGAATAAAGAAAAAAAAAAAACATTAGAAAAGGCAACGGGAGAGAGGTTGAGCCTTGACCTGAATTTCAGACAGTCCTCGAATTACGACTGCAATTGGGCCCAAAATTTCGGTTGCTAAGCAAGACACTTGTTAAGCGAGATTTGCCCCATTTTATGACCTTTCTTGCCATAGTTGTTAAGTGAATCCGGCTTCCCCATTGACTTTGCTTGCCAGAAGGTGGCAAAAGGGGATCCTGTGATCCCAGGGCACTGCAGCCGTCATAAATGTGAGTCAGTTCCCAAGTGTCTGAACTTTGATCACGTGACCATGGGGAGGCTGCAATGGTCGTAAACGTGAAAAACGGTCATAAGTCACTTTTTTCGATGCCGTTGAAAACTTTAAATGGTCACTAAACAAACTGTTCTAAGTGGAGGAAGACCTATATTTCCAAAAGCTGCAAAGAGCAACACACACACACACACAAAATGTGTATATGAGTGCAAATGCACTGGGTAGTAAGAAATGTAAACTAACAATACACCCCTCTCCATTATAGGCAGTCCTCACTTTACAGCCACAATTGAGACTAGAATTTCCATTGCTACGCAAGGTGAGTTGTGCCTGATTTTATGAGTTTTTTTGCCACAGTTGTTAAGTGAATCATTCGGTCATTAAATGAATCTGGCCTCCCCCACTGACTTTGCTTGTCGGAAGCCTGCTGGGAAGGTTGCAAACGGTGGTCACATAACTCCAGGATGCTACAACCATTGTAAATACATGATGCTCTCTGAGCTTGGTTGTTTTCTTGCAGACGTTTCATGACCCAACTAGGTAACATCATCAGTGCTAGAAGGAGGTGGGCTTTGCTCCCTGTTCATGTATTAATAACTAGTAGCTTCTCCTGTGTTCTTCACTCCCACCAACTCCAACAGAGCGAGCCAATTAGCGCTAGCTAGCCAACAGGACCTTTACACACATAGTCCTCGACTTAGAATAGTGCATTTAGTGACCGTTCAAATTTACAATGGCACTGGGAAAAATAGCCTGCCGGGAAGGTTGCAAATGGCGGTCAAGTGACTCCAGGATGCCACAACCATCGTAAATACATGTGGTGGTCATACATCCAAATTCAGATCACATGGTTGTGGGGATGCTGTGATGGTCGTAACTGCGAGGAACAATGGTAAGTCACATGTTTAGTGCCGTTGTAACTTCAAACGGTCACTAAACGAAAGCTTGCAAGCCAAGGACTACTTGGAAAGATGGGGACTGCAGTCAAGAAATTAAAAGACGCTTGGTCCTGGGGAGGAAAGCTATGGCAAATCTAGACGGCATACTAAAAAGCAGAGACATCACCCTGTCAACAAAAGTACATATAGTCAAGGCCATGGTTTTCCCAGTTGTAATGTATGGCTGTGAAAGCTGGACCATAAGAAAGGCTGAGCACCAAAGAATGGAGGCCTTTGAACTATGGTGCTGGAGAAGACTCCTGAGAGTCCCCTGGACTGCAAGGCGATCCAACCGGTCAGTCCTAGAGGAGATCAACCCCGACTGCTCTTTAGAAGGCTGGATCCTGAAGTTGAAACTCAAGTCCTTTGGCCACCTAATGAGAAGGAAGGACTCACTGGAGAAGAGCCTAATGCTGGGAAAGATGGAGGGCAATAGAAGAATGGGACGACAGAGAATGAGGTGGCTGGATGGAGTCACTGAAGCAGTAGGCCTGAGCTTAAATGGACTCCAGAAGATGGTAGAGGACAGGAAGGCCTGGAGGAACGTTGTCCATGGGGTCGCGATGGGTCGGACACAACTTTGCAACTAACAACAACAACCTGGAAAGAGTTTTAGGGATCTCTGGTCCATTCCCAGAAGCAACATTGAGATAGTTGTTCTTCAAGTACTTACTTGATTGTTTCTGAAGGCGTCCAGGATGTTTACCGCATCGTCCGGTGTCAGGGGGAAACTGAGTCGAGGGCCTCTGTAACTAACTGGTACCTCCATAGATTCCATTCCTTTTTCCAGTTTGATCCGTTTCGTATTATCTGTCTCCGACAGGATGCGGTTAAGGAAATCCCCTTGGCAGGAGTAGAGCAAAATTTTAAGATATTTCAGATATTAATGCAGACAGTTCAGAAAAGTTAAAAATGTGCCCGCAGGTAGTCCTTGACTTACAATAGTTCATTTAGTGACACTTCAAAGTTACAACAGCACTGAAAAATTGACTTGCGACTGTTTTTTCCCCCACACTTACGACCTTTGAACCATCCCCATGGTCATGTGATCAAAATTCAGGCGCTTGGCAACTGACTCATACTGATGACCGTTGCTGTGTCCCCGAATTATGTGATCCCCTTTTAACATATTCACTCCAGTCGTTCACTTAAGAACTGTGGCCAGGAAGGTCATAAAAAGAGGCAAAACTCAACAACTGTATTCCTTAGCAATGGAAATTTGGGGCTCGGGGAGCATAAATCGAGGACTATAATTATATATACACTTACTGTCTTTCGTGTTTTTTGATGCGACGTTCTCCATGAGATAGTCAAAGAAATGGCTGAGCTGCAGAAGATCAAAATAATATTGTCAAAACCTAGAAGAAACATACATTTATTTTCTCTTTTCTTATTTTTGCCCTCCTGGGCTACCCTCCTTCACCATAACTATGTCTAGGTATGTCTAGTTTAATGACATACAACTATGTGTAGAAATGTCTTCTAATGAAAAGAAGAACTAATCGTAATGTATAAAGATATTTTGAACACTGAAGGGAAAACAAAATGGAAACAAGAGCTGGGAAAGCAAGAATATTGGTCTAATAAGGTGACCGTAATTGCAAATAAAATTGAGTTACAAATCGGATAGAAAAGATGTTATAATTTAGAAGCAATTGTATCAGTAGAATACAATATCAGAAAAACATGATGATGAAGAAACATATATTCAATATTGTATGTATATGTATTAATAGTAGAAAGAATTGTATCTGTTTAGTATTTAAAAAGTGAAGAAACATCACTTGAAGAAGAGAGGATTAAAAAAAATGTCAGAATGTGCAGAAACTAAGAGCGATATTGAAGAACAAAGAAAAGGAAGATACAGAATAATTTTAAAATGTATTGTTAAGTAAGAAAATGATCCCAGACAACACGCTGTTTATTAAGCACTTATGATTTGTAAAAATTAGAAAATCAATAAAATTTTATTGGAAAGAAAAGAGCAATGGATGTAAACTAAATCAAGGAGAGAAGCAACCTAGAACTAAGGAGAAATTGCCTGACAGGGAGAACAATTAACCAGTGGAACAACCTGCTTCCGGAAGTTGTAAGTGCTCCAACACTGGAAGTTTTTAAAAAGAGATTGGACAACCACTTGTCTGAAATGGTGTAGGGTTCCTGCCTGAGCAAGGGGTTGGACTAGAAGACCTCTAAGGTCCCTTCCAATACAGAATTCTGTATTCTGTAAAGGTTCAGAAGAGAAGGACTAGGGGTGACATGATAACAGTGTTCCAGTATTTGAAGGGATGCCACAATCTGTTCTCCAAAGCACCTGAAGGCAGGACAAGAAACAACAGATGGAAACTCATCAAGGAGAGAAGCAAGCTAGAACTAAGGAGAAATTTCCTGACAGTGAGAACAATTAACCAGGGGAACGACTTGTCTCCAGAAGTTGTGGGTGCTCCATCACTGGAGGTTTACAAGAAGAAATCAGACATCCATTTATTTGGAATGGTGTAGGGGTTCCTGCCTGAGCAGGGGGTTGGACTAGAACAGCGGTTCTCAACCTATGGGTCATGACCCCATTTGGGGTCGAACGACCATTTTACGGGGGTCGCCAAACAACGCAATCCGCTATTTTCCCCCCTCAGGGGGCAGCGCTGCGCATGCGGCCCGCATGTGGGGGCAGGGCCCGGGCATGCACACCGCGCACGGGGGCGGGGCCGCACATGCGTGCTGCGCACGGGGGTGGGGGCGCACGTGGGGGTGCCGCTGCGCATGCACGGCGCATCCGTGTGACGGGGTCGCCGTCACACGGATGTTGAGAAACGCTGGACTAGAAGATCTCCAAGGTCCCTTCCAACACAGTTATTCTGTATTAAATAACAACTGGGAGCTGATGCTTCCACACACCTGTTGCCACCATACCTTCATGTGATCGTGTTCTCCCGCATATTCTATGGATTGGAAGATACGCCAGGTGCATCTCCGTCGCATTTCGAGCCGGGCTACATAGCGTCGATACCACCGCTGGATCAGAACAGCTGATCTAACGGCTGAGGTGCAAAAAGAAAGAGCAAAAGGATCAGGAAGCAACCACCATATTTAAGAGGCACAGTTTTATTTGAATATGTTATTATGAATAATGAAAGCATTGCTAACATGCCGCACCTTCTCTCCAAAAGACCGTTGAAATTCCTTGTGGTGTTCCTCTGGCAATGTTGTTAAAAATGAGCACAATTCTGGCTACAAAGAACTCCTTGACTAGGGACCATTTGAAGTTACAACAGCGCTGAAAAAAAAATGACTTATGGCCATTTTTCACACTTATGATCCTCACAGCATCCCCTAGTCCAGGGGTAGGCAACCTTGGCTCTTTTATGACTGGTGGACTTCAACTCCCAGAATTCCTGAGCCAGCCATGCTGAAGGGAAAGAGAGAGCTTCCAAGCTGAGCCATGCTGACTCAGGAATTCTGGGAGTTGAAGTCCACGAGTCATAAAGCAGCCTAGGCCTAGGCCAGAGGTAGGCAACCTCTTTTATGACTCGTGGACTTCAACTCCCAGAATTCCTGAGCCAGCCATGCTGAGGGGAAAGAGAGAGCTTCCAAGCTGAGCCATGCTGACTCAGGAATTCTGGGAGTTGAAGTCCACGAGTCATAAAGCAGCCTAGGCCTAGGCCAGAGGTAGGCAACCTTGGCTCTTTTATGACTCGTGGACTTCAACTCCCAGAATTCCTGAGCCAGCCATGCTGAGGGGAAAGGGAGAGTTTCCAAGCTGAGCCATGCTGGCTCAGGAATTCTGGGAGTTGAAGTCCACGAATCATAAAAGAGCCAAGGTTGCCTACCCCTGCGCCTGGTCACAGGATCAAAATTCAGACTCTTTGCAACTGACTCGTATTTATGACGGTTGCAGTGTCCTGGGGTCATGTGATCACTTTTTGCAACCTTCTGAAAGCAAAGTCAAGGGGGAAGCTAGATTCACTTAACCACCACATTACTAGCTTAACAACTGCAGTGATTCACTTAACAACTGAGGCAAGAAAGATTGTAAAATGGGCCAAAACTCACTTAACAACTTTCTTGCTTAGCAACATATAATTTGGGCTCAATTGTGGTTGTAAGTTGAGAACTACCTGTAGTGTTTTTCAACCTTATCAATTTTAACATGTGTGGGCTTCAACTCCCAGAATTCTCCAGCCAGCTAGCAGTGTTTGTTAACCTTAACAATTCTAGGATGCGTTTTTATTTTAATTTAAATTTAAGATGCAAGCTGGCTGGAGAATTCTAGGAATTGAAGTCCACGCAACTTAAAATTGCCCATGGTGAGGAGCACTGCTTTAAAGTTCACTATTTAGTTCCGAGAGAACAAATCTAGAAAGGATAAATGAAGACACCAAATCAATAATTTGTGGTCAGATTTTTTTTGGGGGGTGGTGATCCTAATTCATGACTTGATAACAAATCAGATCAGAACGTGTGGATTTGAATCGCGACCTCCATTTTGGCAGTCCCAACATGCCTCTGTACTGACCTGAATCCATGGTCATTTTTTTCTCCGCACCAACCGGAGGTTTTCTCTGAAACTCCATCCTTCTTCAGTTGCTTCTTTTCCATACTTTATAACTGCATCGTTTTAACCGGTACCCAAGGACATTCTAAAACAAACCAAGCCACCTGATTTGCAGCCCGCTTCCCCATTGTCTTAAATCACCCAATGGGGAAAAACTGGCGAGCAAAGAAGAAACATTCTTGGCTTCCATTGGCCGGAATCTTTGATAAGAGAAGAGGTCCATTCTATAGCTTGACTTCAGAACTTAACAGAATAACAGAGTTGGAAGGGAACTTGGAGATCTTCTAGTCCAGGGCTTTTCAACCAGTGGTACGGGTACCACCTGTGGTACATTGGCACCTGGCAGGTGGTACGTGACCATCCTAGAAAAGTGGTAGAGGGGGAAGGGAATGAGCTGAACCAGCGCAGTACCGCACAAGCCTGAGAGAGAGATGGCTGGAGCTGCAGGGCTGTCAGGGCTCAGTGGAAGCGCCAGGATCAGCGCCAGACTCCAGCTGGAAAGTAGCACTAATCCTGGCACTTCTGCTGAGCCCAGAAGAAGCACCGATCAGCTGGAATGTTGCAGTATCTCCAGGGTCTTTTGATTTACATTCAGATGCTTGGCAATTGATTCATATTTAAGACGGTCACAGTGTCCCAGGGTCATGTGAAGTGACCAAAACCTGCTGCAACCACCCAGCAGATGGGGGGAATAAAAACCAAACACCCCCACCCCACCCCCACTGCCAATCCTCAACAGAAATGCTCACAATGAAAACCTCGGACAGGAGGAAGAGCACCGCCCGGTGGGGGGCACTTTTTTCAGTGCCATTGTAACTTCGAACAGTCACTAAGCGAACTGTTGTAAGTCGAAGACTACCTATACTTCATCACTTTTTTCCTTTTGGGGGGGGGTCATCAAGTTTTTGACACCTTGCTAGGCGACTGGTGGTACTCAGATGTTGCCATATCCTAAAAGTGGTACAATGGGTGAAAAGCTTGAAAAGCCCTGTTCTAGTCCAACCCCTTCTCAACGGGAGACCCTACACCATTTCAGACAAATGGTTGTTCAGTCTCTTCTTAAAATCCTCCAACAATAGGACACCCATAACTTCTAGAGGCAAGCTGTTCCACTAATTGTTCTCACTGTCTGGAAATTTCTCCTTAGTTCTAGGTAGCTTCTCTCCTTGATTACTCTCCATCCATTGCTTCTTGTCCTGCCTTCAGGTGCTTTGGAGAATAGATTGACCCCATCATCTTTTGTGAAAGCCCCTAAAATATTAGAAGACTGCTCTCCTGTCACCCCTAATCTGTCTTTTCATTAATCTAGACATACTCAATTCTTACAACTGCTCTTCATATGTTTTACTCTCCAATCCCTTGATGGATCAACCTTGATGGATCAAGCCAAGGATATAGCTAATCTAGCATTCTGTGTAACACATAGACCAGGGGTAGGTAACCTTGGCTCATTTATGACTTGTGGACTTCAACTCCCAGAATTAGCTGGCTCAGGAATTCTGGGAGTTGAGGTCCATGAGTCATAAAAGAGCCAAGGTTGCCTACCCCTGACATAGATCAATGCGTTGCTCTGGGGGCATTCTTAAACATGAATAGGAAGACAGTAGATCATCTCCACCATTGCTTCCTAGTAGACTTGATGAACATGATTTTGGAAGACAGTAAACAATCATCAGATATCCCCACGGAGCTTATAAGTCAATGAATTTGGACAGGTTTAAGGAAAGCTGCAGGAAGTCTGGTGGACAGAAGATGGATCACCTAAAGCAGGGGTGTTCAACCTTGACAACTTTAAGAATGACTTCAACTACCAACATTTCCCAGCTAATCATGCTGAGTTGAAGTCCAGTTGAAGTCTTAAAAGTTGCCAAGACTGGACACCTCTGATCTAAAGCAACGAAATCACTTTGAAGATATAACGTATTTATTAAGCATTCAAACCACAAAGACTGAGCAAACTCCCATTACCAGCATACTAATGAAAGGCTTGAGATGACTAAGAGCTACTCCTTCAATGTTCCTTCTATAGAGCTATTTGGAAAAACCATATTCTCCCCATAATTGATAGGTATCCTGGTTATTCAGAAAGAATTTATCTCCAGTGGCTGCTTAAGGACGAGCAGGCAATGATCACAGCACAGGTGGCTAGATCCTGCGCAGCAGCATTGGGGATTCGCCAGAAATACAAATACACATTTTAGATCTTTTTAATAATCTTTTATAATTAATTTTATTACATGTTTTTATCCAGCATTAGACTCTACTCAATGTATTTTTACGTCAGGTCAGTATGATTCCGTTTTTCTGAAGGTAGCCACACTTTGCTGCTGATTGTCCTCTTCCCGTTCCTTCCATCTTCCCCAGCATTAGAACTTTCTTTCCAGAAAGAAAGAAAAAAAAACAAAAAACAGGCAAGACGTCGCCCTTTTCCAAGTCAATTTATTTTCAGCCCTATCATTAAGTATTTGTGATGATAGACACAAAGAATAAGGAAAAAAAAAAAGGTTTTGGCAGGTTTTAAAACATGGCCTGAGGCTTACATTTAAAGATAAACGACATTTCAAAGTATAAATCCTGATGCTTTTGCGACACTAAAACTACTAGCAGGAAAGGATCTTAAAATTTTAATTATTATTATTTAAAATAATTACAGGAAACATAGCAGTGTATTTGTAGTTGACACTTGAAAAAGGGACGGCAAGACCCCATTCTTCTAATCTAGAAGGACAGAATTTTCTTTGCCTATCTCCTATACCAAGGGTCCCCAACCTATGGGCCACAGCCTGGTACCAGGCTGCGGGCTCTTGGCCAGCGGCCCGCAGAAATGGCTGGCCAAGGCACACACTCGTGGGCGTGCATTCCCCACTTGCGCTAGCGCCCACGGCCCTGCGAATGGGGATGCTAGCGCGGGGGGGGGCGGTGCGCCTTGTTTGTGCATGCATGAACGGGGTGCTAGTGTGTGTGTGTGTGCCCGCAGCCTATTTGTGCATGTGCAAACGGGCGCTAGCCGCCGCAGGGGGTGCACGGCTGTTCACGCACGCACACGTCGCCAGCGCATGCACGAACGCAACCGCTAGTACTGTGCCAGTGGGCGCGGCCCCATTTGCGTGCACACAGTAATTTGGAAGGTGCTCTCCCCTCCGGGCCGCGAGCTCGGAAAGATTAGACAACTCTGTGCTATACTTTGAAATACCAACAGAAGAAAATATTTATAGTTCACAATTGAACTGTGGGGTCCTTGCTGCTCTCTGAGCTCCATTGTTTTCTTGTATATAAACAGAGAGCAAACCTCTTCTAGCACTGATGATGTTACCTAGTTGGATAATGAAACGTCTGCAAGAAAACAACCAAACTCAGAGAGAAACTACAGACCCCCCCCCCCATTTTAAGATACATTCTGCAAAAGCTGGGTATGCAGAGAGCTCTTTGTCCATCTTGGAACTTAACAGCTGTCCAAACTCATTTTTCTAGGGTTTTCCGTAGGAGAATAGAGTCACCATAAATATCTATGTGTGTATCTGGCCGTTGGCCAAATACGTAGATCTAAGATAATCCATCTAAGTCCTGATGTAAACCACACATATCTTATGGTTTCTCAGGAATATCAAATAAAGTGCATCTAATCAGGACATAGCCATGTCATACAGCAACAGGGAAATCTGGTTTTTGTACTGATGGGCTAAAATAGCCAATAGGACATGATGTTTAATCAAATAAAAGAAGGGAAACTGGCTCTTATCCCACGTCTATTATTTCAATAACCATTGCCTGCACACTAAGCCCTAAGGCCCTGAAGGCAGCAAGTTCTTTTTTCTTCTTTTAAAGATGGTAGTTTGAAGAGAATACTATATATACATCAGTTCGTTATTTTGCCTATGCAGTTAATAAACGTAGCTCCTGCTTTTGCGTTTTCAAAGATTTTCATTCCTTCATTTCCTGATTCACAAGAGAGAGAAAAAGAAAGAAAAAAAGGAGAAAATGAACATTTTAAAAACATTTTAAGGTGAATTGCAGCCATCAGCCACGTGACCTATTGACAGTATGCTCTTTCTGTAACTAACTTTTATCCCTTTATTTGATGTCATGCTATCCAGCCACAATTAAAAAAAGGTCTCTGAGTGGCTTGCATAAAGTCTATTCAAGTTTGTTGAATTCAAAAATGTAGTTTAATTCTGTCAATTAAAATAAAGCCTTCTATCATCATCATCATCATCATCAAATCTAGAAAAGCCCATTGGGGTATCTGACACCCACTGAAACTTTGCCACCTTAAAAAGCTCCCTGAATTTTTATTCAGACGCTAAGTGCTTAAGCAAGAAATAAAACCAGCATCTGGAATAATAAAACCCCAGGAATTCAGAGGCATCATCCTGGATTTCAGTGATAGGCTGCACAGATCACAGCATGGTACTCAGAAGAATGCTTTTAAGAAATCTGGAATGGATGATATCGAAGGGCTTTAAGTTATTTTATCTGGGAGTCATATAACATTAGGAAGATGTTTAATTAAAGCATGTTATTCAGTTGTTAAGTGAACCAGATAGTTGTTAAGAGAATATGGCTTCTCCCATTGAGTTTGTTTATCAGAAGCCAGCTAGGAAAGTTACAAATATGATCCTGGGACAGGGCAACCGTCATAAATACAAGCTAGTTACCAAGTGCCTGTATTTTGATCACTTGATCATGGGATGCAACAGTCATAAGTGTCAAAAACGATAATACATTTTTTTCCCAATGCCGTTGTAAACTCAGACAGTCGCTAAACAAATGTTTATAAGTCGAGGACTATTTGTATGTACTTATAATGTCCCAAATGATCAACCAAGATGGTCAACAGATGTCTATCGACTGCCAGCAGCAAAATTCTATTTGAATCAGGGTTAGATGTCGTATCAATGTTCAGTTCCCAAACTGGGTTTGGTGGAAACTAAACTCCCAAGAATTTGCAAGAACTGCAATTGACTTGGCAGGGTTCCCATTTCATGCGCCACTGAACTGCCAGATTTGCATGTTGAGATGTTAAGCCCTTCTCTTATTTCTCAAGCCACAGAACAGTTATACTTACAATTGCAGTCTATCAGGTGCAAAGGATCAAGACCATACATTAAGTTGCAGTTCAAAAGATGTATTGCTCAAATCTAGGCACCAGAATCTAGTCAACTAAAGTTTAATGATGAATTGGCACCAGATAAAGGTTGACAGAATTCAAGAGAGGCTGGACATAGAGCATTCGTTGGAACATAACGATTCTATGCTGATGACTCACTTAACTCCACCCCCAATTCTGCTTATGCTTCTCCTTCCTACACAGTCTGTCAGTGGGTCTCTTCTGCTTTGTTGGAGTTGTTTTAGGAGAACAAAGAAATGAGGATCAAGGCCTTAATTAACATTTTTAGAAAACATGAAGAGTAGAATTGGAATGAAACTTCAAAGGCTCAACAAATGGCCATCACCAGGACTTACACATTTTCACTCCAGTGTCCTGATCCAAGTCTGATACTTGTCCGGATCTGCGTTACTCATCAAAGTAGTATAAATGGTGAGCCTGATGAAAGAAAACCACACAGAAACACACAAAAACCAATAATGAAGTCCAGAACAGATCAAATTTTCAGTCCAACCCAACTGGAAGAGAATTAAAATCAGATTCATCACAGTGTCTGTGTTTGCCTGACAATTATTTGGACAATACACCCGATGGAAACTGTCCAAGGAGAGAAGCAGCCTAGAACTAAGGAGAAACTTCCTGACAGTTAGAACAATTAACCAGTGGAACAACCTGCCTCCAGAAGCGGTGAATGCTGCAACACTGGAATTTTTTAAGAAGAGACTTTTCTAGTCATAATGTGATTTATGACATCAGAATAACAGAACAGAGTTGGAAGGGACCTTGGAGGTCGTCTAGTGCAACCTTCCAGTGTTGGAGCATTCACCACTTCTGGAGGCAGGTGGTTCCACTGGTTAATTGTTCTAACTGTCAAGAAGTTTCTCCTTAGTTCTAGGTTGCTTCTCTCCTTGATTAGTTTCCATCCGTTGCTTCTTGTCCTGCCTTCAGGAGCTTTGGAGAATAGCTTGATTCCCTCTTCTTTATGGAAGCCCTTGAGATATTGGAACACTGCTATCATGTCCCCCCCTCGTTCTTCTCTTCGTTAAATTAGACATACCCAATTCCAGCATCTTAAAAGCATCTTCGCTCTCAGCTGCCACTGTCTAAGCCCATTTTGCTAGTCCATACACTTTCCAATCTTCATCGCACCATCCCTTTGTCTCCTAAGGCATTTCTGCTACCAGTTCAGAGCACAGCATTAGCCTCGCTGTTTCTTCACTTCCTTCAGCCTCAAATCATCTCTGCCTGATCCGAAATGATCCTGAAAATACCTGCCATGTGCCTATTTGGGTTCACTCTGAACCTTCTAATTCAGTGGTTCTCAACTTTTTTAATGCCGCGACCCCCAACCAGTCATAAGTTGAGAACTACTCAACCGGTCGTAAGTCGAGGACTACTCAACTGGTGCAGCACCGTTTGCAGGCTGGGACTTTTGGCGGGCTCAGTAGGGCAGAGACAGCCTGGACAATTCCTATTGGCTTTTGAAAGCCAATAGAATTAGACTCTATTCAGGAGAGTCTATTCTATTGGCTTTCAAAAGCCAATAGAATAAAAGGGAGTAGCACAGCTAAGGAAAAGGGGGGAAAAAATGGCAGACTGCGTTGTTTGGCGACCCCCGTGAAATGGTCGTTTGACCCCAAATGGGGTGCCGACCCACAGGTTGAGAACCACTGTTCTAACTACTGTCTTTCCCTGAAAATAAGGCCTATCCTGAAAATAACCCCTAGCTTGATTTTTATATGTGCCCCTAATATAAGCCCTACCCCCAAAATAAGCCCTAGTTACAACGCTATCCACTCCGTCCCACTATCTGGTTGTACGAGGTGGGGCGAGGTACATGCATAAAAATCAACCTAGGGTGGAGGTGGGGTGGTGGAGCTGCCCCATGTCCCACACCTGTTTACTGCCCGACTTCTTCTGTGTCCGCTTGCTGCTGTTCGCGGCCAGACGTCACATGGCGCATTGCGCCAGTGCCGCCACTTGTGGCAGGAGGCCATGTGGCTCGTCGCGCTGGTACCACCACTCGCAGCAGGAGGCCACATGGCTCATCGGGCCAGTGCTGCCGCACGCACACGTCACGGCACAACATGCCACCTGACCTGCCGCGAGTGGTGGCACCAGCAGGAGGAGCCATGGGGCCTCCTGCCGGAGTGGCGGCACTGTCACGATGCACCATGAGCAGTGGCACCGGCACAATGCGCCACGTGCCGTCCAGCTGCAAGCGGCCACAGAATAAGTTGGGCAGTGATGCAACAAATGCGGTGGTCCTAAGGTCAGCGGGTAAGACATCCTCTGAAAATAAGACCTGTTGCCAGCTTTGGAGGCAAAAGAAAATATAAGATGGAGTCTTATTTTGGGGGGAACACGGGGGAATACTAAGCACAGAACATTTGTGTGGAGAGGGGTTTTCCACATAACCTCTGGCTGATTATCTTTTCCCCCAAAAGACTGTGTGAAATCCAAAATGAATGCATTTTACTTTAAAAAATAAAAACTTACGGGTTTAATACAGGTTCTGTTGATAACACCTGGAAAAAAAATAAAGCACGAGATGGTCATGCATTTAGACTCTTGACAAGGAATACCAGTCCAAATATATTAAGCTAAGATTTGCAAGTGCAGCTGCACAGAATACAGATTTACAACAGTTCATTTACCGACAGTGCAAAGTACCACAGCACTGACAAAAAGGGGCTTATGACTATTTTTCACGCCTCTGACAGTGGCAGCATCCCCATGGTCATGTGATCAATAGTTGGATGCTTGGCAATTGATTCATATTTATGATGGTTGCAGTGTCCTGGGGTCCCCAGGCAGCGACCTTTTGAGAAGCAAAGTCAATGGGGAAGCCAAATTCGCTTAACAATTGTGTTCCTAACTTAAAGACTGCAGTGATTAACTTAACAACTCCAACAAGAAAGTTCGCAAAATGGGGCTAAGTTCACTTAACAACTGTCTCACTTAGCAACAGAAATTTTGTGGAAATGAATAGAATAGAATAGAATAGAGTAGAGTAGAGTAGAGTAGAGTAGAGTAGAGTAGAGTAGAGCAGAGTAGAGTGTAGAGTAGAATAATAATTTTAAATAACGTTAAAATGAGATTTTGTTGCATACAGCTCTCAAAGGGGAACCATCTCCAGTATATATTGCATGAACATGACAAAAATAAATAAATAAAATAAATTATGTGTATATCCACATACACACACATATGTGGCCCACAGAAACAACAGTCTAGTTTGGATATACATACATACATACATACATACATACATACTATGTATGTATGTATGCATGCATGCATGCATGTATGTACATGATCAGAAAAACGAATCTCGCGAGTTTACCAGACTGATGACCTAGGGAACAAAGCTGTTGCAGAATCTGGTAGTCCTGCTAGAAATACTTTGAAATTACGCAAATCACTGAAGTTGTTGGGTGAATCAAATAGTCATTAAGCAAATCCAGTTTCCTCCATGGACAACAGCAAAAGGAGCATGATTTAAACTTGCCTTAAAGAGGGAATTAAGATTGAGATGTTCTTGTCCTGTCCTATTTAGTGCTTTAATAGCTGGAGTCCTGCAGAATAAAAATAAAACGTTAGTTGACCAATATAACTGATTTCACAAGTCAAGAGTGTGCAAACCTGGATTTTAAAATGTTGCCTCTGCTGCTGTGTTCAGCAAGATTTTAAAGAAGTGGATTGTTTCATATTGCAGGAAGAGATCCAGATATTTCCTCTTGCACCCAATCCATTTTTCCAGGTATGGAAAATACAATTTCGACTTCCAAAAATGCTTTTCCCTTTTAAGATTTTTCTCCCCTTTTTTTCCTATTAGGAACACTATATTTTGGGTTGTATTCTGCATTCTAGGAAATAGACATTACACGTTATAAAATTTATGAGAAAAAAATCACAAAATGCTTTGACGGTTGGGGATTTCTGCCTTCAACACTTAAGCACAAACTGGCTTCTGATATTCTACCAGTGACATAAAAAGCAGCTATGTCCTCTTCTCCAAATCCCTGCTTGATCCCAAAGCTTTTTTTCAGATTTTAGCCATTATATTTATCCCAGCATAGGGGATCTCCAGCATAAGCAGGCTATATTTAATAGAATTTAGAATAGCATAGAGCTGGAAGGGACCTTGGAGGTCTTCTAGTCCAGCCTCCTGCTCAAGCAGGAGAACCTATACTATTTCAGATAAGTGACTGTCTAATCTCTTCTTAGTTGCTCGTCTCTGAATTTTTTCCGAACTCTCAACATCTTTTTTGTGACACGGTGACCAAAATTAGCTGCAGTATTCCAGGTGTGGTCTTACTGGGGTTTTATAAATCAGTACTAATTCTTTGCGTGATCTTGATTCTACGCCTCTATTTATACAATCCAGGATTGTATTAGCTTTTTTGGCTGCTGCTGCACACGGCTGGCTCATATCTTGATATGGGTATTCTTCCAGAAAAACATACACTACCTTCGATCATCGTAAGGCGGTGGGTTTGTCCAGTGGTCATAATTGGTCTCCACTCGGTACCACCTTCCAAAAACAGAAAACATACTTAAAAGCAGCCATATTATAACATTTATTTATTTGTTTGTATTCCACTTTTATTATTTTTACAAATAATTCAAGGCAGAGATTATATTTAATACACCTCCCTTCTATTGTGCCCACAACAACTGCCGTATGTGACGGGTTAGGCAACCTTGGCTCTTTTCTGACTCATGGACTTCAAGTCCCAGAATTCTTGAGCTAGCCATGCTGAGGGGAAAGGGAGAGGTTTCTAAGCTGAGCCATGCTGGCTCAGGAATTCTGGGAGTTGAAGTCCACGAGTCATAAAAGAGCCAAGGTTGCCTACCCCTGGGTTAGGCTGAAAGAGAGTGACAGGTGTTTCGTGCCTAAAGCGGGACTAGACCTCACAGTGTCATGGTGATTGGCCCAAAGTCACCCACACGGCTTTCACGCCTAAGGCGGGACTAGAACTCACCGTCTCCTGGTGATTGGCCCAAAGTCTCCCAGCTGGCTTTTATGCTTGAGGCGGGACTAGAACTCTCAGGTTCCTGGTGATTGGCCCAAAGTCTCCCAGCTGGCTTTTATGCCAGAGGCAAGACTAGAACTCACTGTCTCCTGGTGATTGGCCCAAAGTCTCCCAGCTGGCTTTTATGCCTGAGGCGGGACTAGAACTCTCAGGTTCTTGGTGATAGGCCCAAAGTCACTCAGGTGGCTTTCACTCCTAAGGCGGGACTAGAACTCACCGTCTCCTGGTGATTGGCCCAAAGTCTCCCAGCTGGCTTTTATGCCAGAGGCAAGACTAGAACTCACTGTCTCCTGGTGATTGGCCCAAAGTCTCCCAGCTGGCTTTTATGCCTGAGGCGGGACTAGAACTCTCAGGTTCTTGGTGATAGGCCCAAAGTCACTCAGGTGGCTTTCACTCCTAAGGCGGGGCTAGAACTCACCGTTTCCTGGTGATTGGCCCAAAGTCATCCAGGCGGCTTTCACACCTAAGGAGGGACTAGAATTCACCATTCTCCCTCTTTCTAGCTATTCAGTTTTTGGTTTGTATTATTAGGTAGCATACAAAACCAGTCCATGTTATTTTGCTACAAATCCCAGTTAAAAGCCATAAAGGAGCATTTAAAGGTAAACTTAGTTTTATGTCCATCTCTAAGGGGTGGAGGTCATGTTTCTTAGCTGAGAGAGCCAGCATTGTCCGAAGATGCTTCCGTGGTCACGTGGCCAGCACGGCTATACACCGAGGCACACAGAACGCTGTTACCTCCCCACCAAAGTGGTACCCATTTATCTACTCACATCTGCATGCTTTCAAACTGCTAGGCGAGCAGGAGCTGGAGCAAGGAATGGGAGCTCACTCCACTGTGCGGGGGCTTGAACTGCGGCTATCAAGCTCAGTGTCTTTAACCACTGAGCCATCATACCCCTCCCCACACACAAACACAAAAAACAATTTACTTATTTGTTAAATTTATTTGCTGCCTATCTCGCCGAGGGACTATTTAGGCAACTTGCAACAACAGTTTGTTGCTCCCATCATCCTAACAAATGGGTCAATTGCTTGCCATTTGCCTTATAAAACTCAGATTCTACGCAACTTACGCCCCAGTTAAAGGTTCCAGGGGCCAAATATCTACCGGGCCTCTTCTTTTTCTTGTAATGATTGCTCCTTGTCTGGGTGCTGTGCCTCCGATGATGTAATAAACGTCTGCTATAATGGGTGTCTTGGAGAGCATCAGAGCAGCTTCTTCAAAGTTTTCCGCTTCACTTAGAACCTACAAAAAAAAAAAATATTCATGAATTATTGCCAAGTTTGGATAAACCTCTGTTAGACTGACTGCAGCGCTTCATTGTGAAAACAGCACAAAGTACGTGCTGGGGCAGGGGTAGGCAACCTTGGCTCTGTTATGACTCGTGGACTTCAACTCCCAGAATTCCCGAGCCAGTCATGCTGAGGGGAAAGGGAGAGTTTCCAAGCTGAGCCATGCTGGCTCAGGAATTCTGGGAGTTGAAGTCCACGAGTCATAAAAGAGCCAAGGTTGCCTACCCTTGGCCTAGAAGCTTCATTTTATTACTTGGCTCTTTTATGACTCATGGACTTCAACTCCTAAAATTCCTGAGCCAGCATGGCTCAGCTTGGAAACCTTTTCCTTTTCCCTCAGCATGGCTGGCTCAGGAATTCTGGGAGTTGAAGTCCACGAGTCATAAAAGAGCCAAGGTTGCCTACCTCTGGGCTAGGATGTGAGGGTTTCCTTTCAACGTTTGTAAGGTGACCAACCGTCCTTCTTTAGGGAGGACAGTCCTCCTTTTGTAAGTTCTGTCCTCCCTCAAAAAGTGTCCTCCTACATGTCCTCCTTTTCGAAATTTGAAGACTAATCTGCAGGGCTTTTTTTTCTCCTCATAGAACGCTCAGAACGGCGTTCTGGCACCTTTTTTTGATGGGTTTTTTTCAACTTTTGCATGTGCTGTGCTACTCCCGCTATTGGCTTTCGAAAGCCAATAGGAATTGCTGCTGAGCGTGCCAAAACACCCGGCTGGCAAACTTTGCACATGCAAGTTGTCTGTATTATTGTTGCAATGAATAAAATGTTTCTTTTATTTACGATATTTTTTTCTTCAATTTATTTGTGTCCTCCTTTTCATTGTAAAAAAGTTGGTCACCTTAACATTTGTAAAATTCACAGATAGTCCTCGACTTACAACAGTTCATTGAGTGACCGTTCAACGTTACAATGGCACAGAAAAAAGTGACCTAGGACCGTTTTTCAAACTTACAACGGTTGCAGCCTCCTCGTGGTCACCTGGTCAAAATCCAGGCAATTGGCTTGGCAATTGATTCATACTTATGACGATTGCAGTGTCCCAGAGTCACGGGATCCCCTTTTGCGACTTCCTGATGAACAAAGTCGACGAGGGAAGCCGGATTCGCTTAATGACCATCTCACCAATTTAACCAGTGCAGTGATTCACTTAACGACAGAAGAAAGGTCGTAAAAGGGGGCAAAACTCACTTAACAAATGTCTCACTTAGCAACAGAAATGCTGGGCTCAACTGTGGTTGTAAGTCAAGGACTATCTCAATATTTTTTTTTTTAAAAAAAGTTACGCACAGTTCTGATAAGCCAGCTGGCTGGACTGTATCGGGCCAAAAAGGCTGATATGGCGTTCTCCCACCAGTAGCCAACATCTGTAAAATAGAATATAAAAATGAAAAATGCCTTAAGAAAACCAGTTATTATCAAGAATAGAATAGAATAGAATAGAATAGAAAATATGGAATGGAATGGAATGGAATAAATAAGAATAAGAAAAGGAATAAGAATGGAATGGAAAGGAACGGAACGGAACGGAACAGAATAGAATTATTACTAATGGAATGGAGTGGAGTGGAATAAATAAGAATAAGGAATAGTAGAATAGAATAGAATAGAATAGAATAGAATAGAATAGAATAGTAGTAGAGCAGAGCAGAACAGAGTAGAATAGAAGAACAGAGTTGGAAGGGACTTTGGAGGTCATCTAGTCTAGTCCCCCGCCCAAGCAGGAGACCCTACACCATTTCTGACAGATGGCTGTCCAGTCTCTTTTTGAAAGCGTCCAGTGATGAAGCTCCCACATAAAAACGATCCCAAAATCAAAGATAAGTAAGTAGGTTCGATCCACTACATGAAAGCCAAAACTACAGGTATCCCCAACTTACAATCACAGTAGTGACCAGAATTGTCACTGCTAAACAATATGGCTGTTGAGTGAAATCACGCCCAACATTATAACCCTTTTTTGCATGGTTGTTAAACAAATCACTACAGTCGCTAACTGAATTGCATGGTTTTTAAGCAAATCCGGCTACCTTCCACTGCCCCAAATTGGCGATCTCATGGCTCTGGGATGCTGCAAGTGTCGTAAATGCAAGTCACTTGCCAAGCACCCAAATTTTGACCACTTGACCTTGGGGATGCTGTGATAGTTGTTAAGTGTGCGAAACGGTAATAAGTCACTTTTTTCAGGGCTCTCTCGTATCTCCGAATGATCACTAAACAAATGGTTGTAAGTCGAGGACTATCTATGTGTTGTGATTCCTCCTCAGCCAGTGGACCCCACAGCTGAGTCTGAGGAATTGGAGGAGGAGGAGGAGGAGGAGGAGGGGCCTGGAGTAACATTAGAGTCAGAGGAAGGCTCTGAGGAGCTCCAAGACTTACAGTCGGACGAGGAGCCTGGCCCCTCTACTCGCACTCAGGCTGAGACACAGCTGTGCTGGGAGTCCGAGTTGGACACTGATGAAGAACAGCTGGGACAAATCCCAGATGCACGAAAGCACAGGCAAGAGAAGCAAGTAGGACAGAGGAATGCAATGGGGCGGCTCCAAAGGCAAAGGAGAAGGCATTAGGACGCCACTCCTTGGCTGCATAATAAAAGGGAAGGTGTGGGAGGTGCTGGTTGCTTAAGGCAACTGTTTGTGTTAAGGAATCAAGTTTCAGTGAATTGTGTTTTGTTTGCCTTTGCCTTTGGATATTTTACTCAGGTCTGTAAATAATAAAAGGGGACTGGTTTTTTCCTTCAGTTCCAGCTTGCTTGTTGGAAGAGGGGTTTCTCCTTCTGGGCTTAACAAGACTCACGTAGGCTGGGACAGAACACTGTGCTGGAAAATGAAGTTAAATGGGCCATAGAAAATAATAGTAAACAAATAAGTAAATAATAAAGCTGCAAGAGTTTGTGGAATAACAGTGATAAAATTGGTAAGCAGGTATAGAAAACACAGCATTGGATAAGAGACTGGGGTTGTAAGTAGAAGACTGCCGGGTAGAGTTACAAATATGCAGAACCCTGCAGAACCTCAATTTAGATCAGTTTAGGATTAAGCAAACTTCTTCAGGTTTGAAACTGTATTTCCTCTTTCTCAGCTGCCACGGAACTGATGTCATTTAAGCGAATCAGGCTGCCATTTTCACTCTTCATCTAACACAGGGGTGTCAAACTCAATTTCATTGAGGGCCGCATCAGCATTGCGGTTGCCCTCAGGGGGGGCGGGTGGGTGTGGCCAGGGTGGGTGCGGCCTATTGGGTGGGCGTGGATGGAGTGGGTGTGGCCTACTGGGTGGGCGTGGCAGGCTCTACATCATTTGCCTCAAGGGTGCCTGTGGGGGCCTGGGCAGGAGTGGGACAGATCTGAGGGTCTCTGGTAGAAGGGGGTGGGACCGGGGCAAGCGCCAAGGCATGGTCTATTTCTTCATTCCTCACAAAAGGTGACATCTCCCCAGCATGCACCCAGGGGGTGGGGCCGACACGGCAGGGTCTGGTTCCTCGCTGTTTCTGGACGGCCTTGTGGAGCTAAGACTGAATGCGTTTCAGCATAGATGGTTACCACAAAATTGTACCTTGGCTCCCAGGGGCCAGGGCCAAGGCAGCGGGGGCCGTTCCCTCACTGTTTCCAGGATGGCTTCGCGGGCCACATGAAACCACTTCACGGGTCGCATCCAGCCCCTGGGCCTTGTGTTTGAAATGTCTGATCTAGCAAGAGCACTTAGACTTATAGATTAGATTAGATAATCTTTATTGTCATTTTTTACTGTGGGCACAATGGCACATATTGAAAATGAAATTTAGTTGCTTGCTCTCAGAGTGCACACACTACATAACACTCATTTAAACATACTATATACAACATATGTGTAGACCTACACCCTTACATATAAGTAACATATAAATATTAATTGCTCTCCATCTTAAATACTTAACGGAAGGAGGAAGCTTTAGAGTTCACAAGATTAATACAAGGTTAATATACTGCTTTATAGTGCTTTTATAGCCCTCTCTAAGGGGTTTTATAGAGTCAGCATACAGTATTGCTCCCAACAATCTGGGTCCTCATTTTACCCACCTCAGAAGGATGGAAGGCTGAGTCAACCTCGAGCCAGTCACGATCGAACTGCTGGCAAGTGGGCAGAGTCAGCCTGTAATACTGCATTCTAACTGTTGTGATTCCGTGCCAGACTGTAATCCCGGTAGTTGAGTCTGGGGAATCAGAGGAGGAGGAGGGGCCTGGAGAGCCATCAGAGTCGGAGGGAGGCTCTGATGAGCTGCAAGACTTACAAACTAATGAAGAGGCTGGTCCTTCCACCCGTGATCAAGAGAGCCAGCTGTGCTGGGAAGCTGAGTTGGACTTGGAGGAAACACAGCTGGAAGACCTCAGAGATGGGACAGGTCACATGAGTAGGATAGAGGGAGGCAATGGGGCGACTCCAGGGGAAGAGGAGAAAGCAGTGAGAAGGGGGGCTGCGTAACAAAAACGGAATGTGTGGGCAGGGCTGGTTGCTGGAGGCAACCATTTGCAAAGAACTTCAGTGTCAAGAGATCATGGTCTGTTTATTTTGTCTGTGAGTTATTTCCTGTTTGACTCGTGCTCCGTTTTGCTTTTGGACAAGGTCTCCATAGGAAAAGTGTTCTGTTGCTTTTGTTTTCTGGGACAATTATCAGGTCTGTAACTCAAATAAAAAGGGTTTATTTTCCAGTCTACTGTTAAAGAGGGGTTGTCTTTGTGAAGTAACAAGGACGTACGTAGGCTGGGACAGAACACTAACCACTGCACCACTACAGCTCATATTTTTATGTTTTGTGGTGGAATCTCCAGGAAGGGAGGAGTTGAGGGGGGGGGACGAGTTTAGAGGTTCTGTAGTGCAGGACCTGAGCCCCAAACTTCCATGGGTAAGCAAAACACTTCTTCAGTGAATTTTGCCCTGTTTTGATGTCTTTCTTGCCATAGTTGTTACGTGAATCACTGCAGTTGTTAAGTTAGTAACCCTGTAGTTAAGCAAATGTGGCTTCCCCACTAACTTTGCTTGTCAGAAGGTCCCAAAAGGGGATCACGTGACCCCGGGACACTGCAACCGTCATAAATATGAGTCAGTTGCCAAGCGTCTGAGTTTTGAACTCGCGACCATGGGAATGCTGCAATGGTCCTAACTGTAAAAAAAACAGTCATAAGTCACTTTTTTCAGCACCGTTGTAACTTTGAATGGTCACTAAACGAAGGGTTGTAAATTGAAGACTACCTCAAACAGAAGTTTTATTGCTAGTCACCTATAGTAGAAGAATCTCACCAGACTGACTGCCTTTGTTTGTGAAGAGTCAGGTATGGCTTCAAGCATTCTGGAGAAGGTCAGGCCTGTGCCACTTTCTGCAGTGCCAGGACTCTGAGCTCGGTTCCCTCTTAACACCTCCCTCCAGTCCAGCTGGAGCTTCCTCCACATGTTCTGAGCTTCAAGGAGGAACTTGAATCTAGAGAGAATTTGGGCTGGAGGCTAAAACATATGAAGAAAAAAGATGCAGAGACTGTAGAAAGGGGGCAGAAAAGAGCAACAAAGATGATTAGGGGACCGGAGGCTAAAACATATGAAGAACGGTTGCAGGAATTGGATATGTCTAATTTAATGAAGAGAAGGACGAGGGGGGACATGATAGCAGTGATCCAATATCTCAGGGGCTGCCCCAAAGAAGAGGGAGTCAAGCTATTCTCCAAAGCACCTGAAGGCAGGACAAGAAGCAACGGATGGAAACTAACCAAAAAGAGAAGCAACCTAGAACTAAGGAGGAATTTCCAGACGGTGAGGACAATTAATCAGTGGAACAACTTGCCTTCAGAAGGTATAGGCATCACTGGAGGTTTTTAAGAAGAGATTGGACAGCCATTTCTCCAGAGTGGTATAGGTTGTCAAACTCGCAATGTCGCATGACGTTTGCAATGTATTGTGACTTTTTCCCCCATTGCCGGCAATGGGGTAGGCGTGGTTTCACTATGATGCATCCAGCCTGCGGACCCGCAGTTTGACACCCCAGGTATAGGGTCTTTTGCTTGAGCAGGAGGTTGGACTAGAAGACCTCCAGGGTCCCTTCCAACTCTGTTATTCTATTCCAGTGGTGGCGAACCTATGGCACACGTGCCAGAGGCGGCACTCAGAGCCCTCTCTGTGGGCATTCTCGTCATGCCCCGGAAATGGCAACCGTCTCTCTTCAACCAGCCGCCTGCTAACTTGCCGAGGTCCCATGTGGCTGGATGCATCCCAGAACCCATGTGCTCGCTGGCCTCTGTGTGCAGGGGCCTGTGGTGTCAGTCAGCAGTTGCCCCGGCCCCTGCCTCACCTTGCCCTGTGACAATGGCACCCTCGCCCTGCCTCGCCTCGCCTCACCCCGCAGGACGAGCTTCTTGCCCACTGCCCTACCTGCCAGAGACCCCCTGGATCTCCCCCAACCCTGCCCGCCCCCCCCCCCCGGTATTCCTCCCCACGAGCAACATTGAGGTTATCATGCTCACCTTGGCCACACCCACCCAATCTGCCATGACCACCACAGCCACGCCCACCCAGTGGGCCACGCCCACCCGGCACCCAGCGATAAATAAGTGGGTTTTGGGTTGCAGTTTGGGCATTCGGCCTCTAAAAGGTTCACCATCACTGTTCTAATCTCTACTCCCAAATCCTGTTCCGTTAATCCGTTCTGGAATTTTTAAGGTGTGCTGCATCTCTTAGTTTTCTCCCAAAACTTTCAACCTGCCTTCTCTAGAAGAACAATCTAACAGACATTCCTCACAAATGCTTCACCCCTGCTCTTTGCCTTCAGAACCAGGCAAGTGAGTCAGCAAATTATCAGCTTCTCCGGGTAAAAATAAAATTTGCCTTACCTCGCTCATTCCCAGTGATGGAAAACTTGTGTGGACTTTGCCCCGTCCATAAGCCGACGTAGCCGAAGAACGTAGTGCCTTTGAATTTTACCTGGAAATAATTAAAGGACAGAAGAAGCTATACTTATTCCTCATTACTTTTGATATTAAGTTCTCTTCAAAATAGTAAACAAGCCAGGGAGATTGGGAATCCTTTAATTTGATGAAAACCTGTCTTGACTTAAATGTAGAATAAGAGTTAAAATACTTTAGGGATGTAGGAAAAAGGTTATTTTATCTTATCTTAATTTATAATAGTAATAATAATTTGTTTAGTACTGCAAAAAAAAAGAGGAACAAATTTAAGGAAGCATAATTTCTGCGCCTGCTCAATTCTTCCTCAAACCAGTTCAGTGCAAAGTTATTATTTATATTTTTTGATCTTTCTCCTTTCTTACATTCCATTGCTTGTCACATTATCCAGAAATGGAATAAAGTTCACCAGAAGGATTATTTAAAAAGTTTGCCTCACAAACCAAGAAGGGAAATTAACAGAATAACAGATCTGGAAGGGACCTAGGAGGTCTTCTAGTCCAACCCCCTGCTCAGGTAGGAAACTCTATACCATTTCAGACAAATGGCTGTCCAGTCAGTTCTTAAAAACTTCCAGCGTTGGAGCATTCACAGCTTCTGGAGGCAGGTTGTCCCACTGGTTAATTCTTCTAACTGTCAGGAAGTTTCTCCTTAGTTCTAGGTTGCTTCTCTCCTTGATTAGTTTCCATCCGTTGCTTCTTGTCCTGCCTTCAGGTGCTTTGGAGAATAGCTTGACTCCCTCTTCCTTGGGGCAGCCCCTGAGATATTAGAACACTGCTGTCATGTCCGCCCTCGTCCTTCTCTTCATTAAACTGGCTGTATCTAGTTCCTGCAACTGTTCTTCATATGTTTTAGCCTCCATTCCCCTAATTATCTTTGTTGCTTTTTTCTGCACTCTTTCTAGAGTCTCTACATCTTTTTCATGATATGGTAACTAAAACTGGATGCTAAGGCTTTATGAAGCAGCATTCATATGTCACATGATCTTGATTCTATCCCTCTGTTAAATTAGCTTGTTTAAATTTCACTGCAATAGATATCAGCTGCAGAGATGACACATATTATTAAACAAAAATGCAAGTGGAAACTTTAAGACTCATCGTATTTGTGGTGTAGTATAAGAATAGAAAATCATATGATTGTAGCTGCTTGTTGCAATTCTTAACCACGCAAGTTAAAAGTAAAAATTGTGAAAGTGCCATAGTGTTAAATGACTTTGGGTTTGAGGAAGTATAGTTGCACAACAGTTTGATGCTTTAGCACAGCGGTTCTCAACCTATGGGTCGCGACCCCATTTGGGGTCGATCGACCATTTCACGGGGGTCGCCAAACAAGGCGATCCGCCATTTTTCCCTCTCAGGGGGCGCCGCCGCGCATGCGCGCCGCACACGGGGGCGGCGGCGGCATGGGGGTGGCGGTGCGCATGGGGGCGCCGCCGCGCATGCGCGGCATGTTTGTGTGACAGGGGTCGCTGTCACACAAACGTTGAGAACCACTGCTTTAGCAAAACAATCTTTGTGTTTGTTCTAATCCAAAGCCAAATATATAATCCATTTGTTATTTAATGCATTTCTATCCAACCACAATTAAAAAGAACATTTTTGATGACTTACATAAAATAAAAATGATATAGCAATAGAAAAGTGAGAAATTTGTTCCAGTGCAGTAATTTGTATTTTCTTCTAATTTTTTCTTACTTTGCAATCTTTTCCATATAATATCTGAATTTTGTAATTTCTATGCGGGTTTTTTTCCTCTCTCCCTTTCCTTTTAAAAGAAACACATTAATTAAAAAAAACTTTAGAACAATTGGGTATTTATTTTTAATGACCAAACTTTATGGAGGGTCACGTTTATAAAAATTGGAAAGAAAGATTCCGAAAAACAAATGTTTGCAATACAATTGATTTACTGACAATATTATGGTTTGGCTACTAAATGCGTGTACAGACAGTCCTCAACTTATAACTATTCATTTAACAACCATTTGAAGCTACAATCTAAAAAAAGGGACTTACAACTGGTTCCCGCACTTATGACTATCACAGCATCCTCACAGTCATGTGATCAAAATTCGGGTGCGTGGCAACTGGCAGGTATTTAGAACAGTTGCACTGTCCTGAGGTCATGTGATTTCCAATTGCAATTTCCTAGCAAAGTCAATGGGGGAAGCTGGATTCATTTAACAACCGCATGCTTCATTTAACAACTGCACTGATTCCCTTAACAACATGGCAAAAAGGTTGCAAAATTCGGTGCTTCGCTTAGCCACAGAAATTCTCATCCCAATTGTGGGCATAAATCAAGGACTGCCTGTATCTCCAAAATGAACTGTTTCCTACGCTACTTGCCAATATTTTTTATACTTGCTGGGCTCTTTTTTTGTTTTGTTTTGTTTTGTACCTGCCCATTCTCGATAAAATCCACATCAATTGTAATCTTGCGTAAATACTCTCCAAAATCATAATCCATATTCCGACCATGATATATATTTCCTTGCTTGTCTTGAGCAACAATACTGGTGCAGAAGCTGTGAAAGAAAAAGAATAGCAGCTGTGTTAGAAAAGGCTGGACTTCTAAATTCATTTTTCCCAGGGTGTCTTTTTAAATGAAGGAAGGTGAATATACACATCCCAGGATAATGTTGCAGGATCCAATTGGGGTGAGTTACTGGGACCAAAGGTTTTGTCTTCCAAGGTTTTGGACTCGTGCTGGAACCCATCTTCAGGGAATTTCTCTCTAGCAAAGTGTGTGCTATTCTCCATGTGGTATTTATATGGAAATAAATACCTGGCAGGTAGAACAATTAATCAGTGGAATCACCTGCCTCCAGAAACTGTGAACATGCCAACACTGCAAGTTTTTAAGAAGATATGGGGCAAACATTAGTCTGAAATGGTATAGGTCTCCTGCCTGAGCAGGGGGTTGGACTAGAAGATCTCTATGGTCCCTTCTAACTCTGTTTATCCTATCCTAGCCTATCCTATTCATGGACCACACATATAAATACCACACACAGAACAGCACACCCTCTGCTAGAGCAGGAGTCCCCAACCTGTGGGCCATGGCCCAATAGGGGGCCAGGACTGCTGGCCACTGGGCCCCAGGATAGGCTGGCCAGTGTGTGTGCGTGTGTGTGTGTGTGCGCGCACCACCTCACCTGTGGAAGAGCTGCAGCCATGGGGCGCAATAGCAGGCCACCGCTGCACCTCGGGGCATGAAAACGGGATGCTGCCATGCCTCAGGGTGCAAAAATGGGACGCTACCATGCCGCGGGGTGCAGAAATGGGCACTGCCACACCGCCAGGTGCAAAAATGGACCGCCACAGCACTGCAAGGCACAAAAATGGAGGCTGCTGGGCCACGGGGCACAAAAACGGGCTGCTGCCACACTGCAAGGCGCAAAAACAGCCATTGCCATGCTGCAGGGCGCCGAAACAATGCGCTGTGCCACGTAAGACGGGGCAGGCTAGCAAGTATCACACGGGCGCTAGCCCCACCCCATTTGTGGTGCACGCATTCTCACAGCCCCACGCGCATGTGCATGCAGGCATGTACAATGCTTCCCCCTCCTTTTTCCTCCGGTCCGCCAACCTCTGGCCTAGAGAGAAGTTCTCTGAAGATGGGCTGAAAGCTCAGAGAAAGCTCTGATCCTGGTGACCAAACTAGATTGGATCCTGATTTTTTAAATTTTAAATTCATTTTCCCAGGGTGCCTATTCCTTCTCACAATATTCTTAGACCCAAAACAGCATAAGAGAAACTAATTAAGATCTAGTTAATTAAGAACTAATTACGTCTCTGGACTGATTAGATGAGGGATGACCAAGCTTGACAACTTTTAAGACTGGTGGACTTCAACTCCCAGAATTCCCCAGCCAGCTGTGCTGAATTCTGGGAGTTGGAAGTCCACCACTCTTAATGTTGCCAAGGTTGGACCCTGCTGGATTTAGACCAGTGGTTCTCAACCTGTGGGTCAGGACCCCATTTGGGGTTGAACGACCATTTCATGGCGGTCGCCAAACAATGCAGTCCGCCACTTTTCCCCCCTTTTTCCTTAGCTGTGCTACTCCCTTTTATTCTATTGGCTTTTGAAAGCCAATAGAATAGACTCTCTTGAATAGAGTCTAATTCTGTTGGCTTTCAAAAGCCAATAGGAATTGTCCAGGCTGTCTCTGCCCTGCTGAGCCCACCAAAAGTCCCATTCTGCAAACGATGCTGCACCAGTTGAGTAGTCCTCGACTTACGACCGGTTGAGTAGTCCTCGACTTACGACCGGTTGGGGGTCGCGGCATTAAAAAGGTTGAGAACCATTGATTTAGACTCTGGAAAACCTACAGGGCAGAAAACAACCTAAAACAACATAACAAAGAAAAAGAACGATGCCCATTTAGAAGGAAATAAAACCTCCAAATCTTAATTATTAATTAATAATCTTAGCGGATGGTTACCACCCACTTGAGCCCCAAGGCTTGTGGAAAAACCAAGTTTTTAAAGACTTTTAGGGCTGACTCAATCTTCACTGTTCCAAACAGGAGAAAGTCCTGGATCTCATCAGATGACATTGTCCCGTCGATGTATTGTTGATGTCCACACATTTTGTTTAGAGAAAGCAGAAAACTTATTTACAACCCGATAGCAACCAGAGATTGCTTCCTCTAGGCCAGCAGCTTCCCCTGGCTATCTTTTTCCTTACAAAATTTTGCTAAGGAAAGCTAAGAAAAGACAGCCTGATCTTTGCAACAGGCCTGTGCCATGATGAATTTCCCCCCCCCCACACACACACTTCCAGTTCTTGAGACCCACAATGCATTGCAACACTCACGCAGTGAATTCGTAGGCCAGATTCAGCAGGAGCCCATCACCAACGTTAACCCCGAAGTACTTGGAAAGTCCCCGAATTTCTCCTTCATAAGGCTGGGGGATGAATTTCTCTATTTCTTCTGCTATAGGTCGAATAATGGCATGGACCCATTTGGGGATCACTGAACTGGAGGAAAAAAGAGACTCTGGATCATTCATTGCTCAACTAACACGTTTTATTCTACGTTCCTTTTATATTCAGTGGAACGGCTTGCCTCCAGAAGCTGTGGAGGTTTTTAAACAAAGATTGGACAACCATTTGCCTGAAATGGTATAGGGCAGGGGTAGGCAACCTTGGCTCTTTTATGACTCGTGGATGTCAACTCCCAGAATTCCTGAGCCAGTATGGCTGACTCAGGAATTCTGGGAGTTGAAGTCCATCAGTCATAAAAGAGCTAAGGTTGCCTACCCCTGGTCTAGAAGCTTCACTTTATTACATGTCAAGATGTGAATAATTTAGACCAGGGTACACAACCTTGGCTCTCTTATGACTCGTGGACTTCAACTCTCAGAATTCCTGAGCCAGCCATGCTGAGGGGAAAGGGAGAGTTTCCAAGCTGAGCCATGCTGGCTCAGGAATTCTGGGAGTTGAAGTCCACGAGTCATAAAAGAGCCAAGGTTGCCTACCCCTGGTATAAGGTTTCCTGCCTGAGCAGGGAGTTGGACTAGATGACCTCCAAGGTCCCTTCCAACTTTATTATTATTATTATTATGGATCATCACACAGTCAGCCAGAAGTTCAGACTGGATTTGGCATTTTGTCTACCTATCGAGTCCTTACCCAGGACCTGGGATAGGCAGATGTGGATGTTTGATGGTATTACAGATAACGTCGCAGGATGGAAGCAGTTCCTAGTAAGGCCGCCTTTTGCAATTGACTAATAGCGAATTTGTCAATGCCAATGGTGTTCAAGTGGTGCTCCAGTCATCTGGGGATTGCACCCAAGGAGCCTATGACTATTGGTACTACCCTTGCTTGCTTTTGCCACAGTCTTTCTATTTCTATTTGTAGGTCTTTGTATTTTGTTATCTTCTCCAGTTCTTTCTCTTCTATTCTGCTGTCTCCAGGCACTGCCACGTCCACTATCCAGACTTTTTTGTCTTTCTTATCGACAATTGTTAAGTCTGGGGTGTTATGTTGCAGGTGCTTGTCTGTTTGAATTCTGAAGTCCCAGAGCAGTTTAATTTTATCATTTTCTATGACTTTCTCTATTTTATGATCCCACCAGTTTTTGCTTACAGTCAAATGATAATTTTTGCAGATCTTCCAATGCACCATTGTTGCTACTTTGTCATGCCGCTGCTTGTAGTCAGTCTGTGCAATCTTCTTGCAACAGCTTACCAGTTGGTCCACTGTTTCTTCAGCTTCTTTGCATAGGCAGTACTTACTGTCTGTTGCTGTCTTCTCAATTTTGACTTTATATGCATTTGTCCTTAAGGCTTGGTCTTGTGCAGCCAGAATTAGTCCCTCGGTCTCTTTCTTCAATTTTCCTGCTCTTAGCCATTGCCAGGTCTTGTTATTATTTGCTTTCCCAGCTATTTTTTTAATGTATTGGCCATGTAGTGTTTTGTCTTCCCAAGCCTCTATTCTGTTCTTCATTTGATCTTTCTTGTAGGCCAGTTTGGATTATTATTATTATTATTATTATTATTATTATTATTATTATTATTACTACTACTACTATAGCAGGAGTCCCCAACCCCCGGTCCGTGGACCAGTACCGGGCTGCGGCATGCCATCAACCAGTCCGCACAAACAGGCAAAGCCCTATCCGGAGGATGCAGGCCGCACATAAAACCACGCACCCTCCAGTCCACAGAAAAACATTTCTCCATGGAACTGGTCCCTGGTGCCCAAAAGTTTGGGGATCTGTGCTTTATAGAACCAAATCCAGTTAGTCGTCGTATGGGAGATTTATGGGAAATTTTCAGTTCTATAGATTACATGGAGGAATAAAAGCAAGCTAACCTAGGGGAGAACATTTGCTAACTCTTTTTGTATAGCCCCCACTCCTCAAATAAGCGACCACCTCACACTTGCTGAATCCAGACATCTGTTTCCACCCATAGACTAAAAGCCAAAGCAGCAAGACATTGGAAGGTCTTTTTGTAATTTTCCTGCAAAGTACAGGTAGTTCGCGACTTACAACAGCTTGCTTAGTGACCCCCTGAATTTACAAACGGCACCCAAAAAGTGACTTATCGCCGTTTTTCACGCATATGCTCGTTGCAGCATTCCCGTAGGGTCACGTGATCAAAAGACAGCCCCTCGGCAACTGGCCTGTATTTATGACAGCTGCACCGTCCCGGGATCATGTGATCTTCCCAGCCAGCTTCTGACAAGAAAGAAGCCAGATTCGCTTCACAAATGAATAATTTACTTAAGAACTGCAGTGATTCGCTTAACGACCGTGGCCAATAAAGATGGTAAAATCGGGTTCCGCTCCCTTAACAATCACCTTGCTTATCAATGGAAATTCTGATGCAATTGTGGTCGAGGGCTACCTGTAAAGGCTACCTAAAGCAGTCAACAGAGCCACACAAACAACCCCAATTTCTGACCAGTTCAATCCCATCCAATTTTTCTGCCAGGAAATGGAATTTTACCCTAAACTCCCTCTCTTTGTCTGAAACGGTATAGGGTTTCCTGCCTGAGCAGGGGGCTGGACTAGATGACCTCCAAAGTCCCTTCCAACTCTGTTATTCTATTCTATTCTATTCTATTCTATTCTATTCTAATTCCATTAAATGCTATTCTATTCTACCCTATTCCACTCTACTCTACTCTACTCTATTTCCATTCTAATTCCATTACATTCTATTCTATTTTCTACTCTATTCTACTCTATTCCACTGTATTCCACTCTACTCTACTCTACTCTACTCTATTCTTTCTATCCCTATATTCTATTCTATCCCTATAGTCTATTGAATAGACTATAGGGATAGAATAGAATATAGGGGTAGAAAGAATAGAATAGAATAGAATAGAATAGAACAGAGAATAGGAATGAATAAGAATAGAATAGAATAGAATAGAATAGAGTAGAGTAGAGTAGAGTAGAGTAGAGTAGAGTAGAGTAGAGAATAGGAAAGAATAAGAATAGAGTAGAGTAGAGTAGAGTAGAGTGGAATAGAGTCTATTCAATAGACTCTATTCTATTCTATTCCACTCTACTCTATTCTTTCTATCCCTATATTCTATTCTATCCCTATAGTCTATTCTATTCCACTCTACTCTCTACTCTACTCTACTCTATCCCTATATTCTATTCTGTTCTGTTCTATTCTATTCCACCTCCTCTTCCTCCAATGCCCCATCAGAGAAGGTCTCTCAAGTTCACCCAGCCAAGACAAACATACACTTTGTTCCAGCTCAGGTGAACTTGGCTCCAGTGTGAGATGTTCAGTCTGAAACACAAACAAACAGGAAGGATGAGAAGGAAAGAACTCGTTCCTCCGCCTGGTTCACAGTTTTGCTCAGCTGGGTAGAACCTAACATAGAACAACAGAACTGGAAGGGACCTTTGAGGTCATCTGGTCCAACCCCCTGCTCGAGCAGGAAACCCTGTACCATTTCGGACAGGTGGGCTGTCCACCCTCTTCTTCAAAACCTCCATTGATGAGACACCCACAATTTCTGGTGGCAAGCAGTTCCACTGGATAAATGTTCTCACTGTTAGGATGTTTCTCCTTAATTCCAGGTTGCTGCTCTCCTTCATCTTCTGAAGGCAAGGCAGAGAGTCTTTTCCCTTTAGCAAACCAGGAAGCCAGCCAGGACACAAACAACCCGAAGCAAAGGCAGAGACAGGCAAAAATGAATCCGAATAGAGCTGGGAGGCACCTGGAGTCTTCTAGTCCAGCCCCTTGCTCAAGCAGGAGACAATCCTGCAGGATTTGGGGCAGTCTCGGTCCACTTTCCCCCACTTTCCCTTCCAAAGACCCTCCCGCGCTTTCCCTTTCAAAGACCCTCCCGCGCTTTCCCTTCCAAAGACCCTCTTGCGCTTTTCCTTCCAAAGACCCTCCCCCGCTTTCCCTTTCAAAGGCCCCTGCTTTCCCTTTAAAGACCCTCCCCCGCTTTCCCTTCCAAAGACCCTCCCCCGCTTTCCCTTTCAAAGACCCCTGCTTTCCCCTTAACGACCCTCCCCCGCTTTCCCTTCCAAAGACCCTCCCCCGCTTTCCCTTCCAAAGACCCCTGCTTTCCCCTTAACGACCCTCCCCCGCTTTCCCTTCCAAAGACCCTCCCCCGCTTTTCCCTTTCAAAGATCCCTGCTTTCCCCTTAACGACCCTCCCCCGCTTTCCCTTTCAAAGACCCTCCCCCGCTTTCCCTTTCAAAGGCCCCTGCTTTCCCTTTAAAGACCCTCCCCCGCTTTCCCTTCCAAAGACCCTCCCGCGCTTTCCCTTCCAAAGACCCTCCCCCGCTTTCCCTTTCAAAGATCCCTGCTTTCCCCTTAACGACCCTCCCCCGCTTTCCCTTTCAAAGACCCTCCCCCGCTTTCCCTTTCAAAGGCCCCTGCTTTCCCTTTAAAGACCCTCCCCCGCTTTCCCTTCCAAAGACCCTCCCGCGCTTTCCCTTCCAAAGACCCTCCCCCGCTTTCCCTTTCAAAGATCCCTGCTTTCCCCTTAACGACCCTCCCCCGCTTTCCCTTTCAAAGACCCTCCCCCGCTTTCCCTTCCAAAGACCCTCCCCCGCTTTCCCTTCCAAAGACCCTCCCCCGCTTTCCCTTTCAAAGACCCCTGCTTTCCCCTTAACAACCCTCCCCCCGCTTTCCCTTCCAAAGACCCCTGCTTTCCCTTTGAAGACCCTCCCCCGCTTTCCCTTTCAAAGACCCTCCCCCGCTTTCCCTTCCAAAGACCCCTGCTTTCCCCTTAACGACCCTCCCCCGCTTTCCCTTCCAAAGACCCTCCCCCGCTTTCCCTTCCAAAGACCCTCCCCCGCTTTCCCTTTCAAAGACCCCTGCTTTCCCCTTAACAACCCTCCCCCCGCTTTCCCTTCCAAAGACCCCTGCTTTCCCTTTGAAGACCCTCCCCCGCTTTCCCTTTCAAAGACCCTCCCCCGCTTTCCCTTCCAAAGACCCTACGGCTTTTTTCTACGGCGGAGGCTTAAGATCCGCTCGTCCTTCCCCCCTCCCCCCCCACCGCCTCCCCATCGCCCTTTCGCCTCCTCGGAGAAGCGTCCGGTCGCCCAAGCGGAGCGGCCGCGCCAGCCCACCCCCCCCCCCAACTCTCACTCGATGATGCGATTGAGCACGGCGCGCATGAACACCGGCTCGAAGTGCCGGGCGACCGGGCCCCAGCGGAGCTCGGGAGGGCTGTCCAGGCTGACGTTGCAGCGCAAAGGGGCCACTTGGGACCGGGAGCCGCCCGCCCCGCCGCGGGGCAGCGCCAGCAGAAGCAGCCCCAGAAGGAGCGCCAGGGAAAAGCCGGAGCCCCCGCGCCCCTGCTCGGCCATGGACGCAGCTGCAGGACGCGGCAGGCACCCGCCGATCGCCTCCGTTTTCCACGGCCGGCCCCGCCGCTCGGATTGGCTGCCCCGCCGCCTCTCCACGCCCCCCCCTTTTCCGCCCGGACATCTGGGCGCGGCTGGCAAAGGGGATCCCCGAGGCGAAGGGCGCAACTCCGGGCAAGGAGTTTTCGGGGGGGGGGACGAGCAAAATTCAGACGGCGGAAAGCGAGGCCTTCGATCGGATTAAAGCTGGAGGGGACCTTGGAGGTCGTCTAGTCCAGTGGCTCTTAAGCTGGGCCATATTGCCCCCCATATTGCGATTTCATTTTTTAGGGGGGGTGATGGAACGATATGGGGGCAATGGAGCGAGAGGTTTTGGGGACACTTTTGAGACTTTTTCCGTACAGTGAATCGCTGTATATCTGATGGAGGGGGCAGCGCTTCTTTCGAAACATTGCATGCTGAGTGGCTCTGTAAAACATTTTGTATTGTACTTTTTTTAGCGTGCGTTCCAGTTCAATATTACATTTTCTTTGTGTCTTTTTAATCCTTTTTACAGTGTGTGTGACTATGTGTACTTTCCTCGAATCTTAATTGAGTTTCAGTGTTTTCGTCTTGAAATTCTTAGTTCCTGCGTTGCGGTTTGTTCTTATGCCCATTTATATTTCTTTTTTGCGTCTTAAATTTCACTTGTAATTCAATTATTAAATGTTACTGTTTTTCATTTCGGGCATTTCACTTTCTTGCAACTGAATTTTGTTTTCAGTGGTGGTCATTACATTTAAGTGTCTTGAATCAATAAGATAATAATGAAATACATGTATCACGAAGTTTGGGAATAAAGTGACGGGTGGCACCAAAATTTTTCACACGGTTGAGATATGGGAAAAAGACTGGAAATAAATTATTTGCATCGATATGTCCCGATGACAATTTTAAAGAAAACCAAAAAAGTGTTTGGATAAATTGAAGAATTATTTCCTATGTTGTGATTGAGAGATTGAACGAATCGCCCCCTTGAGCCAATGAGGAAGTTGTCATCGCCCCCCTCCCCCAACATAACCTCTCAATCACAACATAGGAGAGAATTCTTCAATTTATGCAAACACTTTTTTTTGTTGTTTTCTTTAAAATTGTCATCAGGACATAGCGATGCAAATAATTTATTTCCAGTCTGTTCTCCATATCTCCCGTATTCTGGCCAATGGCATGCCACTGTATGGGTAGAGGCTGCTGCGCAATGCGCATGAAGATAAGCGATGTGTATTCACATATGTACGGCGTTCTGTACTGAAGCTAGCTGGAGGAACATTTGAAAGCACAATTCAATCCACTAATAGCGAGTGATCTGATGTTTTTGTAGGACAGATATACAGCAATTCACTGTACGAAAAAGTCTCAAAAGTGTCCCCAAAACTTCTCGCTCCATCGCCCCCATATCGCCCCCGTTTCGTTCCATCGCCCCCCTGAAAAATGAAATCGTGCCCAGGGGGGTGAATTTGCCCAGGTTAAGAACCACTGCATTACAGCATTAGTTTTGAGGTGGTCAAAGACCTAATGAGAATATATTTTATTGGCATAGGAAGACCATAAGTTGGAATGTCATAAAGGATATTTTCTCTGACCTAAGCCTTATTATCTTTTTAATTAAATCTTAATCGGGAGAGTACAAAATAGGTCATTAAAAATGATGTATTAATGTTATAGTAATGTCATGCCTGAACTTGTTTTCTAACAAATTAAAATTGGGAGTGTGAATGTTACTATGCCAACTTACAAAGTCATTCCAATAGAAGCTAAGTTGTTTGCTGTTGCTTATTGAATTTTAATATTTTGGATGTAACTAACATGAGGATGTCATAACCTATTAAGCAAAATAAAGCTATGACAGTGGTAAAAAGAAAGCATCTTTATCTGTCATTAATAGCCTATATAAAATGAGATGCTTAGTGTATGTGTGGAGAACCTGAAAACTAAAGTCCTATGAGAACAAAAAATACCATCACTAACCATTTTTTACTAGCAGCTAACTGCAGCTTCTTTGAAACAAATGAAATATATTTTCTAAATGTACCCAAAGTCACAACAATGATTTAGCTGCAATATTCTGTCATAACTGCAGCTTTCATTCAACTTAACTCAAAATAAATTTAGAATAATCTAAATGGGGGGTTGGCAGTCCATGGACTAGTGTTGATGTTATCCATATCCTGGATTAATCACGTGATAAGCCAGCTAAAGTACTCCAAAGCAAGAGAGGCTGACTGATTGAACCTCAAGTGATACAGATGAATTTAGCACTTCCAAACTCCGTACTGCTTTGTGCAGACAATATTGAACAGCCCTGCTGTCAACAAGTTAGAAGGACGTCCACATGTTGAGCCCAATTGTCCACATTCCAGAGGTCTTTGCACGAAAGCAAAACGTCCATGATGGTGACTGGCAATTTGTAGCTCTGTAATAAAGACTTTAGGAAACGTGCCTGAAAGTTCTTTGAAGTGCTTCATTAGTCGGAGCCCTGACAAATGAGTTAATAGGACAAGATTTGAGATCATGTAAATCAGGGCTTTTCAACCTTTTCACCCATTGTACCACTTTTATGATATGGCAATATCCGAGTACCACCAGTCGCCTAGCAAGGTATCAAAAACTTGATGACCCCCCCAAAAAGGAAAAAAGTGATAAAGTACAGGTAGTCCTCGACTTACAACAGTTCACTTAGTGACTGTTCAAAGTTACAATGGCATTGAAAAAAGTGCCCCCCCCAAGCCACAGCCAAGCAAGACACCTGCCTGCCAACTCGGCCGCACTCTTCCTCCTGTCCGAGGTTTTCATTGTCCGCATTTCTATTGAGGATTGGAAGTGGGGGTGGGGTGGAAGGGTGTTTGGTTTTTATTCCCCCCGTCTGCTGGGTGGTTGCAGCAGGTTTTGGTCACTTCATATGACTCTGGGACACTGTGACTGTCATAAATATGAATCAGTTGCCAAGCATCTGAATGTAAATCACAAGACCCTGGAGATGCTGCAACATTCCAGCTGATTGGCGCTTCTTCTGGGCTCAGCAGAAGCGCCAGGATCAGTGCTGAGTTCCAGCTGGAGTCTGGCACTGATCCTGGCACTTCCACTGAGCCCTGACAGTCCCGAAGAAGCGCTGATCCTGGTGCTTCCGCTGAGCCCTGACAATCCCGAAGAAGCGCTGATCAGCTGGAAAGCAGCACTGATCCTGGCGCTTCCGCTGAGCCCTGACAGCTTTGCAGCTCCAGCCGTCTCTCGCTCAGGCTTGTGCGGTGCTGCCACCGGTTCAGCTCATTCCCCTCCCCCGCTACCACTTTTCTAGGATGGTCGCATACCACCTGCCAGGTGCCAATGTACCACAGGTGGTACCCATACCACTGGTTGAAAAGCCCTGATGTAAATTATGTACTTCCCCAGCCATAGGCTTAGGCAAAGTAGATATTGGCCCAGGGCACCAAGATTTAAGAGGTGCCAATATGTCCCTCCTTCTGAGTTGTTCTAAAAATGCGAATCTTCATGTCAGTGGGACAGTGCTCTGCAACTGTGTATGTGAAGGTATCTACATTAAGCAAGCATAGCATATATTTAAAGTTTGTCTCTAAACTAACATAATAGAATACTTTGGAGAAGAGAAAGCTAACTGCCTCACATGGAAAGTTACAACAATTGAAGAAGGCAGTATATATTGTATGATATATGACAGTGGTGGCGAACCTATGGCACGGATGCCAGAGGCGGCACTCAGAACCCTCTTTGTGGAAACACGCTTCATCGCCTCAGTCCTAGACCTTCAGCTGGGTTTTATAAAATCTTTTTACTTTAGGCCTCCACCGCCGTGTGCAAAAAAAAAAAAAAAAAGTTCAATCGATTTCAAGATCTCGCAAAGTTGTAATTGATTAAACTTTTTAGTCCCACCCAGTCTGCCATTATCACTGCAGCCATGCCCACCCAATGGGCCACGCCCACCCAATTGGCCAGACACACCCAATGGGCCACGCCCACCCAATTGGCCAGACACACCCAATGGGCCACACCCACCCGGCACCTGACAATACATAAGTGGGTTTGGAGTTGCAGTTTGGGCACTCGGTCTCTAAAAGGTTCGCCATCACTGATATATGATTTTGGTTGTCCTTTTGATGGAAAGCCTCTAGAGCAGGGGTCTGCAACCTTGACAACTTTATGCTATGCTGGCTGAGGAATTCTGGGAACTGAAGTCCACAAGTCTTAAAAGTCGTCAAGGTTGCAGACCCTTGCTCTAAACCAGTGATTCTCAACCTGTGGGTCAGGACCCCATTTGGGGTCGAACGACCATTTCACGGGGGTCGCCAAACAACGCAGTCCGTCATTTTTCCCCCCCTTTTCCTTAGCTGTGCTACTCCCTTTTATTCTATTGGCTTTTGAAAGCCAATAGAATAGACTCTCTTGAATAGAGTCTAATTCTATTGGCTTTCAAAAGCCAATAGGAATTGTCCAGGCTGTCTCTGCCCTGCTGAGCCCGCCAAAAGTCGCATTCTGCAAACGGTGTTGCAAGTTGTCTGCAGCAAAGGTGAGTTGTCTGGAAGTTTCCACCCCTCCCTGCTGAGCAACTACTAAAAATGTAAGTAAAAGAGGGCCAGGGGAGGGAGGTGGGAGGCTGGTGGGTGCAGGGCGCGCGTGGGGCCCGGCGGGTGCCTTATCTCCCTTGGGCAGCCGGTGGTTGGCCTGCGCCGTCTCTGCCGCTTGCCAGCTACACCTCAGCCGACGCAGGGGGCAGCACCACGCATGCGCAGCACTCCCGGGCAGGGAAAGTCCTCGACTTATGACCGGTTGGGTAGTCCTTGACTTACGACCGGTTGGGTCCTCGACTTACGACTGGTTGGGGGGGTCACGGCATTAAAAAGGTTGAGAACCACTGCTCTAAACAAAGTTATTCCTTCGTTTCTCTGCTTTTAAGTGCTCTACTAGAAATAAGAAGTGGCTTGAAATGTCTGCAGTTTACTCTTTTTGTTTCTTATGTTTCTACTTCTCATAAAAGATGAAAAGACTCCAGAATGAAATGTTAGCCTTTATTGACAGGAGGTATGTTCCAAATTGTTTCAGGCTACCTGGTCCTTGGGAATTCTTGCAGCGTGTTTCAGGGAAAGAAAAAGGAGGTTTGATTTTTTTTTTTTTCCTTTTCTGTTTGGCAGAAACTGAAGCACCATGAAGACCGCTATGAAGACAGAAAACCTAGTGCTTTCTCCTTCTTCTCCTTCTTCTGCCACCTGAAGATTTATGACCTGGAAAAGAGAAAGCCAACATTAGTGATGTTGAGATTGGTCATGTAAGGAAACACAGGGGTATTGGCGTATGGTTTGGAAATGGGTAACAGAAATGAGCATACAAAATATTCAATATAAGCCTGAGACATTTTTGTTAGGAATTGTTGAAGAAAATGTTAGTAAAGAGGGTATGTATTTATTTATTCATGCGGTTACAGCGGCAAGAATAGTATTCGCTCAGAATTGGAAAAATTCAGCTGTACCGAGTGAGGAAATTTTAATTTATAAAATTATGCATTGCACAGAATTAGATAGGTTAACTAAAAGATTCAAAATTCAGGATGTTATGGATTTTTACCAAATATGGAATAAATTTTATAAATGGTGAGGGAAAAAATTTGGAGGTCACTGTGATGAGATAAGTTAAGATTGAGTTTAGAGTGATGTTTTTGTATAGAGTTTAATTAATTATGAATAGGAATGAACTGCGATGTTGGTCAAGTCTGATTTACCATGTTCAATGTTTTTAAACTTTTTCTTTTTTTGTTATTTAATAAAAATTTATATATATAAAAAAAATTAGTGATGTTGAGATGTGTTTGAATATTAGTGATGTAATGTTAATCTTGTGGAAAACGAAAGGACTCTTACGAATTCCAGAGGGTTTTAGCAGAGAGATTTATTGCGCAGGTTCAGAAGCAATAGCAACAAGCAATTCTGAACCCCAAGGGTGGGTTCAGACTTCAGTTTTATACCTTCCCTTTCTCAGGAACAAAGGAATACACATTGAAATACACATTGTAATACATTAGGTTCGTTTCTCACAGGTATACAATGGAGAGTTTGCTACCTACATTGTATCGAAGTGCAATGCGTATTAGGTTAGTCACATACTACTAACACAGCACTATTCCAGTAATTATGCAGACACATCATTATTCTAGTGATTGTTCATCATTCCACATTATTAACATGTTGAGCTGTAATGTAGTTGTAAGGTTTAATGCCTTGACTGTATACCTCTCCTTCTGCCATGTCGTCTTCCACGCCTCCTTCCAGATTTACCCCCACGCCCTTTCCTCCGTCGACGCCTGCGATGGATGCGAGTTAAGCTCCAGCTCCTGCTGTGTCTGAAGCTGGCCATTTCTGATGGTCTTGTTGTTTTTACAAGATCTTAGCAGCTGGAGCTCCACCTGTCTTAGATGGGCCTTTTAGATTTTGTGAGTTGCAGTGGCATCTCCGATCATTTAACAGCTCAGCTTCGAGGTGTAACAATGACCAATGATGTCAGGCTTTCCATTGTGATGAAACTCAGTTACTTGTTGCATATATCTGAGCAAAATAATCTGGCTCCTGTTTTACAGAGATAAGCCAGGAGATGCTATATGTCCATGGGGTTTATCGTATACTTGAAAATTATATCATAGTTTGCATTTTAATATCTATTTCTCAAGAAATCTAAAATTATTCAATTACTTTCCTATGGGGGTGTTCAGTTAAATTAATTAAAGTTCAAAAAGATAGAAGAGTTAAATATCTACATGTGTCCCTTATTATAAATACAATTTTCCTTTAAATTGTTTTTTTAATTCCTGTTGAAAATAATAAGATGGCTCGCTATTTATTTAATATGCAAAAGCCACTGCACTGACAAGTTTTTCTTTAGATTGGTAATGGACAATGTCCATTACATATTTCAAAAGAACAGGGTGGTATATATTAGCATGGCGTCTCCCACAGTACATAGCAACTGATATTTGAAGTAATAGCCTCATCTTGGCTAGTGATCAGGACAATCCAGCTTTTTTTTTTCATAATGTGTATTTGTATCCATAGTTGAAATACAGAATAATAGGAGTTGGAAAGACCTTGGAGATTATCTATTCCAAATCCCTGCTTAAACAGGAGACCCTATATCAGGGGTAGGCAACCTTGGCTCTTTTATGACTCGTGGACTTCAACTCCCAGAATTCCTGAGCCAGCATGGCTCAGCTTGGAAACTCTCCCTTTCCCCTCAACATGGCTGGCTCAGGAATTCTGGGAGTTGAAGTCCACTAGTCATAAAAGAGCCAAGGTTGCCTACCCCTGCCCTATATCATTCCAGACAAATGGCTATCCTGTCTCTTCTTAAAAACCTCCAGTGATGGAGCACCCAGAACCTCTGGAGGCAAGCCATCCCACTGTTTCATTGTTCTTGCGGATAGGAAATTTCTCCTTAATTTTAGACTGGATCTCTCTTTACAGAATAACAAAATCACAGTGTTGGAAGGGACCTTGGAGGTCTTCTAGTCTAACCCCCTATTCTGGTAGGAAACCCTATACTATCTCAAACAAATGGCTGTCTAGTCTCTTCTTAAAAACTTCCAGTGTTGGAGCATTCACAATTTCTGGAAGCAAGTTCCACTGATTAATTGTTCTAACTCAGGAAACTTCTTAGTTCCAGGACAACTGCTTTTCTCCTTGATTAGTTTCCATCTGTTGCTTCTTGTCCTGCCTTCATTTGCTTTGGAGAATAGGTTGACCCCTTCTTCTTTGTGGTAACCGCTGAGATATTGGAACACTGATATGTCACCCTTAGTCCTTCTTTTCATAAACTAGTCATAGCCAATTCCAGCAACCATAAGTTTCCATCTATTACTTCTTGTCCTTCCTTTAGGCATTTTAGATAATAGGGCCACCCTATCCGTGACAGCCCCTCAAACAATGGAAGATTGCTATCATATCACTCCTAATCCTTTGCTTCGTTAGACTAGACATACTCAATTCCTGTGCCATTAATTGTGCGTTTTAGCATTCAGTTTCCTAATCGTGATGACCAAAACTGAACAAGTGTCAAATGTGGATGGACAACAATTAAACTGGGACAATTTTTGGACAATGCTTTTGTCCCAAAATATTCTTTTAGAAGGACATATATTGTTGTGTGAAAAGGGCACTACTGTTAGCATCTCCTTGACACTGGTGAAAAAAGCAAAGTTCTACATTTTGTTAGATAGCGCCCAGTGTTCAAGTCTGTCCAGATCCTCCTGTATCCTAAGCCTGTCTTCTGGAGTGTTGGCTATTCCTGCCAGCTTGGTGTCGTCTGCAAATTTGATGAGTTCCCCATCTATCCCCTCATCCAAATCGTTGATGAAGATGTTGAAGAGCACTGGGCCCAGAACAGAGCCCTGGGGCACCCCACTACACACTTCCCTCCATGTAGATGCAGTTCCATTGAGGACCAAATTAAGATATGTGCTACTGGGCTCTTATTTTATTCAGCTTATACATAGGCCTAATAATGTCATTCTTATGTACCTGCCTTGATAGAACAGAAGAAGATAAAGTTCACATTTTATAAGGAGAAAGAGAAAGATAGTTAAAGTTTACTTACTAAACTTCACTTACCATTACAGTAATGATGGAACCAGGGAAACTCCCTGTATATACAAATGTAAGAAAAGATAATTGGAAAAGAGAAAAAGAAGTGAATGTGTGGGGCAAGTAAATCTTACGTGCTGAGGGTATAGGTCAGAGATAGGCATTTAGGCAAGAAAAACCAAATGCACAGGTATAGTATAGGGGGTACCTTGCTCAACAGTAGTAACTGTGAGAGGGATCTCAGAGTCCTAGTGGACAATCACTTAAATATGAGGCAGCCGTGTGCTGCAGCTGCCAAAAAGGCCAAAACAGTGCTAGGCTGCATTAACAGAGGGATAGAATCAAGATCACATGAAGTGTTTATACTGTACCACTTTACAATGTCTTGGTAAGGCTACACTTGGAATACTGCATCCAGTTTTGATCTCCACGATGTAAAAAAGATGTTGAGACTCTAGAAAGAGTACAGAGAAGAACAACAAAGATGATTAGGTGACTGGAGGTAAAGCATATAAGGAACGGCTGCTGGAATTGGGTATGTCTAGTTTAATAAAGAGAAGGACAAGGGGGTACATGATAGCAGTCTTCCAATATCTCAGGGGCTGCCCCAAAGAAGAAAGAGGGTGTCAAGCTATATTCCAAGGTGCCTGAAGGCAGGACAAGAAGCAACAGGTTGAAACTAAGCAAGGAGAGAAGCAACCTAGAACTAAGGAGAAACTTCCTGACAGTTAGAACAATTAACCGGTGGAACAACCTGCCTCCAGAAGTGGTGAATGCTCCAACACTGGAAGTTTTTAAGAAGAGACTGGACAGCCATTTGTCCAAAATGGTATTGGGTTTCCTGCCCGAGCAGGGGGTTGGACTAGAATCTAGTCCAACTGTCCAACCGCCCCCCCCACTCCACTCAAGCCGGAGACCCTGTACAGATAGTCCTCGACTTAACAGCAGTTCGTTTTAGTGACCATGCCAAGTTATGGCACCAAAAAAAAATGTGACTTATGACCTAGTTTTCACACTTGGGACCTTTGCAGTTATTAACGTGGCCATGTGATCAAAAGGCAGCCACTTGGCAACTGACTCATATTTATGACGGCCGCAGTGTCCCGGGGTCACGTGATCCCCTTTTGCCACTTTTCTGATGAGCAAAGTCAATGGAGAAGCCGGATTCTTCTCTCTCATTGATTAGTTTTCATCCATAGTTTCTTTTCTTGCCTTCTGGTACTTTGGAGAATAAGTTGACCCCCCCCTCTTCTTTGTGGCAGCCCCTCAAATGTTGGAAGACTGCTATCATGTCCCCCCCTAGTCCTTCTTTTCTCTAGACTGGCCGTTCCCAAATCCTGCAACCATTCTTCATGTTTTAGTCTCCAGGCCTTTCAGGGGGTTGGACTAGATGACCTCCAAGGTCCCGTCCAACTTTACTACTACTATTATTATTATCATCTTAGTTGCTCTTCTTTGCATGTTTTCCAAAGTCTCAACATCTTTTTTGTAATGTGGTGAACAAAACTGGATGCAGTAGTCCAGATGTGGCCTTACTAAGGTTTTATAAAGTGGTGCTCATACTTCAAGTGATTTTGATTCTATGCCTCTGTTTGCAAAAACCACCTGCTCAACATCCCACCTGGTCATTAAGAGGTCATTGATTGGGGCTCAAGGCGTTGTGTGAACACAGCCCTCTCGCTTAAAAGCAGTGGCTGCCCCATTTCTCCACCAGGGGATTCAAATGGAAGAGGGAAGCCACAGGCTGGTTTAGCAAGGAGATGCCGTGTTTTGATTCCTCTGCATTGTAAATCCTGCTGTTTGCTAAGGGAGTGGAATTTCTTCCATTTTGCATGTGGACTTTGCCTCCCTTGGCCAAGATGCCCATCACAAGCCATGGCGTGCTTGAAATATGGTTTTGATGTGTAATTCAGGGTTGAAATGGTGCTGAGCTTGGTTGTTTTCTTGCAGATGTTTCATGACCCATCTAGGTAACATCATCAGTGTTACTGTTAGAAAGGAAAAAAAACCCATTCCCTTCGTGCACCAATGCTGTTACCTAGTTTGGTCATGAAACGTCTGCAAGAAAACAACCAAGCTAGGCTCACCTTTTCCCTTTCGCCCTCAAGCTTCAAAACTATATTATGGGTTAATTCAGCCCTGGGAAATTTTTAATCACAACCTCAATTAAAAGAAATCATGAATTAACCATCCCCTCTGACCCACACCTTGCAGATTCTATCTTGAGCAACCAGGTGAGCAGGAATGGAGGTAGGCACCCAGATGTGTTTCTGCTGAGGAAGCTGCAGGTACCTAGATTGTTGTTGTTGTTAATTGCGAAGTCGTGTCCGACCCATCGCGACCCCATGGACAACGTTCCTCCAGGTCTTCCTGTCCTCTACCATCTTCTGGAGTCCATTTAAGTTCACACCTACTGCTTCAGTGACTCCATCCAGCCATCTCATTCTCTGTCGTCCCCTTCTTCTATTGCCCTCAATCTTTCCTAGCATTAGGCCCTTTTCCAGTGAGTCCTTCCTTCTCATTAGGTGGCCAAAGTATTTGAGTTTCAACTTCAGGATCTGGCCTTCTAAAGAGCAGTCGGGGTTAATCTCTTTTAGGACTGACTGGTTTGAATGCCTTGCAGTCCAAGGGACTCGCAGGAGTCTTCCCCAGCACCATAGTTCAAAGGCCTCAACTCTTTGGCGCTCAGCCTTTCTTATGGTCCAACTTTCACAGCCATACATTGCAACTGGGAAAACCATGGCCTGGACTATACGTACTTTTGTTGGCAGGGTGATGTCTCTGCTTTTTAGTATTCTGTCTAGATTTGCCATAGCTTTCCTCCCCAGGAGCAAGCGTCTTTTAATTTCTTGGCTGCAGTCCCCATCTGAGGTGATCTTTGAGCCCAGAAAAATAAAATCTGTCACTACCTCCATTTCTTCCCCATCTATTTGCCAAAAATTGAGAGGACCGGATGCCATGATTTTGGTTTTCTTAATGTTGAGTTTCAAGCCAACTTTTGACGTACCTAGATAACCACCCTTAAGTCATGGCCATGTTCTGCCAGCTGATGTTTTGTCTCAAACGAGACTCACAAACCCTGATTTAATATTTCACCCCATTGTGTAAGGGTTCTCCATCTATCTGTCCGGTATGTGATCATTTATGTGGCTAACAGAGTGGGATCTCAGGTGATCTACTCAGGGGTTGGGTTTTTTTTTTTTCAATTCCAGGATACTGTCTTAATTTTTTCCAACATCAAAAGCCAGGCTTTTTGTAAGCTGCTCAGAGTCACCATGAATGAGTTAGGCAGCTATCTACATTTTCTTAAGCCAGGTGGTCCTTCACTTACAACCATTCAGGGACCATTTGAAATTAACACCAGCCCTGAAAAAGTGATTTATGACTGTTTTTCACATGAGAATTGCAGTATCCCCGTGGTCATGTGATCAAAATTTGGATGCTTGCACTGTCCCAGGGTCACGTGATCCCTTTTATGACTTCTGATTAGCAACAACCGTGTTACTAACCGAACAACTGCATGACTTGCTTAGCAATTATGACAAGTTGGGTCCTAAGATGCATGGGGCAAAATTC